TTTACCTGTTGCACGCATCTCCCCAGTTTTGCTGCATTTTAATATGTGCCCGTTTGTAAAACCAAACCCTCTATCAGGATAATCTTAAAGAGTGCAAAGCAGCACTGACTGCTACACCAGAGTCCTGAAATGGTTTATTTGCATCAGAACGCTTTACGCTAAACCAAACCCCAACATGTTTGCCACAAATACAGAGGGGGCAGAAGAAGTTGCACTGTGGTATAATGAGACAGCATGAAGCAAAGACTGATGCTGTCGCAGAAAAACAAAATGAAGAGATCTGGGAAGAGAAGAGATGTTCTGTTCCCACGGTTGGAGGCAACGTGTATCTTCACGTTGGCATCTGCTTGGACACTATGAGAATAGGATGCTGGATGAGATGGGCCTTTGTTTTGATGCAGGAAGAAGAAGAAGAAGAGGAGGAGGAGGAGGAGGAGGAGGAGTTTGGATTTGATATCCCGCTTTATCACTACCCGAAGGAGTCTCAAAGCGGCTAACATTCTCCTTTCCCTTCCTCCCCCCACAAGTGAGTGGGGCTGAGAGACTTCAAAGAAGTGTGACTAGCCCAAGGTCACCCAGCAGCTGCATGTGGAGGAGCAGGGACACGAACCCAGTTCCCTAGATAACGAGTCTACCGCTCTTAACCACTACACCACACTGGCTCTCTAACGACAAGCCAGGAAATTAATGACCTGAATGTAATCCTGAATTTTAATCTGCTAAGCAAGAGCAGCAGATTGAAACCGAATTTACTTTTGTTTAGAGCAGCCAACAGTTGGATGACTATTTGAGAAGACAGTATTTTTATTCCCCCCTATCCTAGTGGCCATTGGCAAGTGGTGTAAACTAGCCACAAAAGAATTTGTGACTAGTATGAGATAGGAGTCAAGGTTTTGCCAGCTCGTTCTCTAAAAAACAAAAAAAAGAAGTGCTGCACCCTTCTCTCAAATACCTGCCCACAATGTTAAGCTTCTTTTTTCAGGAATGCCCCATAGATTTGGGTTTATTGTTTTCTAGAATGGCAAGATCTGCTTTTGTTGTTTTTAGAGATTTTTGTGGATGATTCAATTGCTTTCAGAAATAGGGTTTTGTGTTTTATCCTATTTTTTAATTTTGTATACAACTTTGATGGTCTCTAGCCGCAAAGCAGTTTATAAATCTGGCAAATGTAATAACTTAAAAGATATTCAGGACAGAAGCACAGGAGTCCTAGGCCTGTGATTCTGACATCCCGTTGCTGCATATGAAACTGCGTTACACACCAGTGTTTAGAATCTGAACCCGAGTAAAAACGAAACACCCCAGAAACTTAGGAACAGAGGAGTTGTGTCCATGCGAGTAAACACAAGCCATAACCTTTGCAATACTTTATTCCGAAGCCGAAGAAAACAGGCTGGGGAAACCACTGCACAAAACAGCATTCACCGGATTTTGAAGTGTGCACATCTGCTCTGAGCCCTGTCCGAAGGGTCAAATGCGCTAGCTCTTTCTTTTTCTTCTTCTTTTTTTGCTGCTCATAGCATTTTCCTTTCCTAGACTAATTGGAGGGTTTTATATCTACATATATATAAAATTAAGCCCCAAAACTCAGAGGACTAGTATTCTAGCCAGCTTGGCTTCTACCACGCTATAAAAACCTACTGAAAGCTAAGGGATTATTCCTCAGCAAACACAGCTCTTTACAAAAACCTTCTTCACACTGTTAGGGCCCTTCAGATAAGCTTGCAAAGGGTTTTATGGAGGTCTCTTTATAGTTTTATAGGCTGGGTAGTACACAGTAGGGAACTGCTCAACTAAGTCACACCATTGGTCCACCCGGTTCAGTATCACTGACACTGGCTGGCAGCAGCTCTCCAGGTAGTTTCAGACAAGGTTTTCTCCCCGCCCTACCTGCAGGTGCTGGGGACGGAACCCAGGACTCTTTGCAGGGTATCTTCAGGAGAAGAAAAGGCTAAGAAGATCTGGAGTCTGTGGAGCCTTGTATGCCTCCTTCTTGCAACCCCTGCAGCCCAGCTGGTGCGAAACGTCTTGCTCTGCTTTCCCTTGGACCACATCAGCGAGGTCGAGAGGGGGGTCCTGTTGTCTGGGCAGCTCAGGACCTCCATCCACACTGCCCAGGCTGGCACCCCAGGAAGGTTGCTTTGGTGCTGCTAACTTTAGAGGGTAGTTGTAAAAAGTAGTTTGAACGGTTGAAAGCACACTGAACAGTTGAAAGCAATATCGCCACCTAAAAGGTAGCCTTTCATAGGGCCTGCAAGGGAAACTCTTTACGCTGCTATCATTTCTTAAGTCTTACCTTTATTTGCATCAGGGGAAATCCATTCATTTTGTATTCTGGCAGGTTTATCTGGAATGCCAGAAAGACATTTTATGATTATCTCATCAGTATCCGGCACTATGAAAAAAATGCCACTGAGTCCAGCCATCAAGACTGCTATTATTGCTTTGGATCGGAAACAAGACTAAACAGCATTGCTTTGTACCCAGATGAAACCCTTCCCTAACCAACAAGCATCTTCTCAGTGCAATAGTACTAATTTGTATTCAGACTTCCTCTTAAGAATGTGGTACCTGGCCTTATGCTTGTCCCCCTCAAAGTTCTGCCCATTTCCCAGGCCTGTCTACTGCCTTCTCCAAATCGGTTTTCCTGTTTGCCTGAGTGAAGTCCTGTAGAGTGTAGATAACATAAAACATCAATGTCATACTAGGAAGTGTTGTTTGAACATCTTAGCAATGTCTTCTCAAAGCCGTTGAGCTTCCGGTGGGTCGTGCATACTTGGAGCAGGACATCTTGTGTGCCATATCCCCGTTTCAGTAGAAAACCCAAATTGCACTCGCTTTGAGGATCCAATTAAAAGTATGTGAATTATCTTGCAATCACATTCATTTTAAACAGCTTAATGCTCAAAGCGGGAAGACAACTTGAAAGGGCACCATCTAAAACAAGTGTGTTTATGAAGAAAAAAAACTGGCAAACTCTTGCCTGGCCCCTTTAATTTTGATGGGGTTACCCTGGGTTATTATCAGAAGTTGAAAGGTCCCGAAGCTTTTGTTTTGAACCCACAGGTGTTCTTTGTAGGGCCTATTTTTTAATAAAGAGTCTTATTTGTTTTTTTAAATTAGCTCATATTGTGAGTTACCACATCTGTGCTATGTGGTAATGAAACCCAGGGGGAGGTCACAGCAGGAGGGGGGCTTTAGCAGGCAGAAAACATCTGGATATCGCTTTCGAGATTCACTTGCAGCTTCTTGCATTTTATTAAGCAAAGAAACTTACACTGTGCTCAACTGTGGCACCCAGGAAAAATATATTTCTATAAAAAATACACAAGCCTAGCTCTAAAGAAGCATTCTCTCTGCTCGGTAAGTTTGGGGCTACCTAGCAGACCATCGGCAAGGCAGTCTCCACCTTTAAAGATCTTTGCACAACTTATACGACATCATTAAAAAATGTGCATGTTTTATTTCACAGCATGCTGGCCTTGAACACTGTGATGTTGTCGTGCTCCTTGGTAACCAAATGGCTCCATGTTGAAAGTTGCGGGGAAGTGACCTAGTTTTACAGGCCACGCAACTGCCCATTTCTAGAGGATAAAAAGCCATATTGGACTGCACCTGTAGCAAAGTCGTACATAGGGCAGGTTCAACATTCAAGTTTAGAAATACAAGAGACCTCTCTCCTTTCATCTGCTTCCCAAGCTAAATCCCAAGTAGATTTAACCTTCAGAAGTCTCCTTGGCTGGAAGTGCAGGTCATCCAAAAAAGGGCTGAAACTCCAGACAACAGTTGCTTCGGCGCGTAAAACGCTGATGACTAAATATTTAGGAACTATCCCATTAAGAGATCAAAGCAAGCACTTAAAAGCGGAGTCAGCTGACCGTCCCTCAGCTAAAAGGACAGCTGAGGTAGAGAACTGCTAAGAGCTCAGAATTTCCATAAAGGTTGCATTGATGCATTACAGCTTTGGGGTAACAAATGGGCAGCGGGAGGGGGTTGCACCGCCTCAATCGCATGCCGAAACGTCCCTCTCCGGAGATAGCTCACTTTTACAGAAAGCAGAACGTTTCAAGAAGGCAGTTTAACATGCTTGTGTGTGTGTCTAAGTCTCCAAACAAAAGCTTCCCTGTTTTTCAAAACCAGGGGAGCTTTCCGAGTCCCAGTGGCATGGCAGCAACTGCCACCACCTGGAAGTCATCTTCAAGCCTGTGCTGGTAATTGGAGCTGCACTGCCATTTCCTCGGGGAGGAAAGTCAGGCTTGGATAGGCCAAGGTTATATGTACTGCTGGCCGGGGTGGTGGCTGGCTCGGGCTTCAGCTATCCTCCTTCCAAATTAGTTGCTTTCCGGAGCCCTAACCCCAATGCTGTGCGTCTGTGCCTTTGCTCCTCCTATTCACAATTTCCTTAAGGCCTAAGGCTGATGCCCAAGAGTTTGGTTTCAAAGGCAGGCGCTCTTACTGAGTTGCCTACCTGAGCAAAACAGGAATCTGTTCCAATTGGAACCTCTTAAAAAGATGGACACTCAATCCATAGCTAGGCCTTGCCACCATTTAATCGATCACCCACTGAATCTCATAATTTCATAAGACAAGGTTTCTAGAGTCCTACCTCTGTGTACATGACTACAGTGGTACCTCGGGTTACATACGCTTCAGGTTACATACGCTTCAGGTTACAGACTCCGCTAACCCAGAAAGAGCGCTTCAGGTTAAGAAATAGTACCTGGGGTTAAGAACTTTGCTTCAGGATGAGAACAGAAATCATGAGGCGGCGGCAGCGGGAGGCCCCATTAGCTAAAGTGGTGCTTCAGGTTAAGAACAGTTTCAGGTTAAGTACGGACCTCCGGAACAAATTAAGTACTTAACCCGAGGTACCACTGTCTTGAGGCTGGTTTGACTGCAGAAACGGGACAACGATAAAGAGAAACCATCCCTGTGATATTTATACTTTTTAAACACAAATGTGTGCATTTTCGTACTGACTCCCCCCGCCCTGGCAATTTGAATATCTGAGATTTTATTTTCTGGAAGAAGAAAAAAAAGACACTAGACTCTCCTCCCCCTTTCCCATTGGGCATTTTATTTTATATATCATTTGCATTAGGTAATCAACTGAAACACTTCAACAACAGAAAGCTCTCAGCAAAGTACGGGGGGGGGGGGAATGAAGCAATTATCTCAAACAGATGTGACAAAACGGTTTTAGATTTGGGAGTATTGCACAACTGAAATCAGCACGTGAAGAGGAAGGAAAACGAGAGAGGGGGGCGAGCATCTTCTAACATGGATTGTGAGGGGGGAAAGGCACCATTTAGCTGTGTGTATTAAAAAAATAATGAGGCACAATCCAAGTTCTCAATATTACATTCGACACTGCTTCTGAAATGCTCAAACTAACACAGAAGCTACGGCTTCCATTTTCTAAAATTTCGGTACGTGGGGAAAAACAAGCATCTAAACAGATTTTTGAAAGCAAACCTGCTATTTAAAAAAAAAAAATCTTTACAAGGGTTTCAGTTTATAAATAGGTGCCACAAAAGTTTACATAGCTACATGGTCTTAAAATATTCTGGCAGCTGATCGTAGATTACACGCTTTTCCCCCTCAAAATCTCTTTCTGGTCTGATCTCTAGGACTCACAAAATGATCCACCTTTTAAGAGCTAAATTGGCAGTGCGTGAGACAGGCTTTTCAGCATGCTTTCTCTGCAGCATAGTTTAGGCACCATATTTTCTTTATACAAAACACTTCTAATGCCACATGATGTATTCCGCCCCACCCCCTTCCGCTTAAAAAGCCACAACTTGATCTGCTGTTCTGGCTGCAATCCTATGCATACTTACTTGGAAGCAAATCTCACGGAAATCAGTAAGGCTTTGTTGCCAAGGGCATGGATACAGGACCAGAAGGTTTTAAACACAGGCAAATGTTTAGGATGGGAATGACGTGGCAGCTGCCTGTATTCAGAAATGTAAAGTGTCTTGGCAACAATACAGATTCGGAAATAGACCACTTTTTCAGAAACCATCGCTTAAGTCTCTAAGAATATACAGTGTTTGAACAAGTCTGTGAATGAACACATTTGTATATTTTGAAGCACTTGCTCGCAAAAATATTCTATGAATAAAGCTTTGCTTCAGACCACATGGCTCTGCACGTTAAAGGTTTCCAAAAAGGTACCAATAATTAGAATCTGCTACAAATACTGTTCAGCTCTTCAATTTGCACGCTTTCATAAGTGAATTTGCAGGTTGCAGATTCTAGAAGAACAAAATTCAGTGAATTCAGGAGGGAGGGAGCATCTCTCATTTGTAAGGAAGAAATGTAGGCTATTTGTCAGATTTCTAATCCACCTTCCAGAGCCTAGCTGTTCATAATGTTTTATACAAAATAAAAACAAAGGGCCCCAAACAATCCTCTAAGAGAAGTAACAAATAAAATTAATGAACCGGCGCATCAAGCACACATGGATTGAAATAAAGTCTTAGAAGTTATTTTAAAAGCCAGTATCAATATGGCCATGCATATTTCCCTGGAGAGGGCATTCTGAAGCTAAGAGTCACCACTAACAAGGCCCTGTCTCTGGTACCTGCAATTAAATAATTGTAATGGTGAGCCAGACAGCAGAGCCTCCGAAGCTGATCTTAACACCTTGGTAGGCTCATATGGGTGCAAGCGGTAGTTCGGATATACTACTGGAGTCCAGTTTAAAGGCTGCAAAGGTTAAAAGCTGCACATTAAACTGGACCCAGAAATGAATAGGATATACTTAGGGTGCCTGACCTGCCAAACCATGACTAAAACAGTTTCACTTGCAGAGTAGACAAACACTCATAGACTAGTGCCACAATGCAACCTCTCCATACTTGCGTCCCAATTCCACAGTGCTTGCATGTATAGATCTCCCATTTAAATTCAACACAGCAAGGCAAGCACACAATTATCCAAGTCTCCCATCCACGTGAATAGTACTGCCCTTTCCTGTATGGATGTGGACTCTCATACAATAATTTGTAATGATCCAATAGCTCAAGGAAATACTATCATAATCAGGAATGTTATGGCAGATATAGAAACCCATCTAGAATTCCAGGTTTCACCAAACATGTATAAACAAGCAAAGAGAAACGAAGTCCCTCGCTACCTAGTGATTTGTAAATGAATTCCGTAAGACTTATTCCAATGTTCCTAACTGTACTTTTCAATTCATGCATCAAAATATTTCAGTGAACTTAAATCTACAGGCAACTGTCACCAGGGATTGTGGGCTACAATTTGAAAAAATATATTTTATTCAATAGCCAATACAAGTTTATTTCTGGTTGACAATTAAACTGGGAAAATAAGTTCCCCATTGGGGGGCAGGGCGGGAATTAGTCACAATAGTCCTGGCATATACTATTGGGCTTGGAAACTCTGGCATACATTTTTCTGGTCAAAACACTCCTCTCCACCCCTTTCCAACATTTTACGTTCAGATCCAAACATTTTAAACAGCTCTCCCCCCATAGTGGTATATTAATGGCTCTGTGTCGAGAAAACAATGGGCAAGATCCATCACCTGTTAATATGCTGTGCAAATTTTTTCTATTATAGCAGCCCCTTTATAGGATGCTACTCTGGAGGGCTCCTGACCTTGAGAAGAGCTTTTTCAGGGGGCCGCCTCTTAAAGAACAGGGGAACTCAAAACAGAAATGATTCCTGATCTCCAATCTCACAACAAACCATGGTTTACAAACAGCCATCAAAATCAGGAGCTGAAAACACGGTTTCAAACTGGTTTGCAAACCTTGCCTGCAGAACAATGTTCCAACAAGCCATCATGGCTTGTCAGCAACACAAAATCACTGTCTGGATTGGGATGAGGTTTCACACTCTAAACCATGGTTTGGGAGGTTATCCAGAGATTTGCAGGGGAAAGAGGGGAAGAGAAACCATGGCTTGCCTTTATGTCTGAAGGACTGCCATGTGTGAGCAGGGCAGCCACTCATACTTGATTACGTTCCAGCCAATTTTATAAGCGCTGCAAATGAGAACGCAATCCATATAACCATGCTAGTCGTAATGGTTAGCTTTGAAACCTTGAGAAACAAGGTTTCAAAGTATTTGGAACTGTCTGAAAAATTGGGTGGGAAGAAACTATTTAAGTAAACCGTGATAGCTAAGTCCAGAGTATTTTAGTCCTGAGTGAACAAGACCCCAGAGACCTAAGCTCTGAACTTCCTCCCTCTTACCCCTGAAATTCAGATAATGAACCCCCAAAGCTTCTCCTTGCAGCTGTTGAACCAGAAACTGGATTTTAGTTTTTGCACTTGCAAAGCAGATCTTATACATGCAGAACATAAAAACAGCTATAGGTAAACCATTCCTTTCTAAACTTTTAAATACTGTCCATATGAGCAGACGGTACGAGTCACATTTTCAGTGTCTCTTTGCAAAGGGAGTTTTAAAGCGTTTAGATGCCTTTCACTTTGTAAGCACCTTTATTCGGTGCTCTCCTTAAAAGTAGTTTGCCGCCGCTTCATGAATAAAGTATATATTATGGAATAGAGCGCAGGGAGGATGCACATTATAAATTTCTGCCAATATTTTCAAAATTGCCTACCTCTCAGTTCTGCAACATCTTACACAACTAGGGAGAAGAACCAAAACGTCATGAGAAATGTTATCTTCCCCAACTAGAGTGGGGCATGGCGACGCCAAACGCAACTCAAGAAATTTCATTTATGACTTAGGGTAACTTAAGCTAAGCCGTCCACAATCGCTCAAGCTTAAGATGAGCACATGGGAAACCAACACTTTCTACTTTTATTATCTACCCGTCAACTATTTTTCGCTTACTACGCTGCCAGTGTGGTCTTAGACATGGTTATTCAGAAGCCCCGCCGGGTTCATTAGCGTTTTACCCTCAGATTACTGTACACTGGACAGCCGGAATATCGAAAATAAACCTTAACTACCAAAGCCGTTTCTACAGGCTGCCTAAATATCTTAACATCTAATTAATATAAATGCACCTCTTGTTTTGAGGACATGTCAACACAGTGGATATAGTATCGGGAATTGTAACCAGCCTACCTCGTGAAGGCTGTACCGCGGCTCTGAAGGGTCCAAATGGCAGCTTTGCTAATTGCTTGCACAATCATACTTTCAGTCAACTTGGTGGCACTATGCTACACCGACCTTGGGTTTTGAGGCACTCAGACTCTCTTCCTAAGACGTGAGAATGGAATCAACAGGCCCACTAACATATCAATCAGCCTGGACAATCGTGATTCTAGTTGTACTCCGAGCATCAGCACCTGACGCTGAACACGCTGCTGCAAGTAGCAAATTGGTCTAATGACAATTTGTTTTGTTTTTGTTTTTTCTGCGTCTCGTTCAGTTGAACCAACATGGCTATGAAAACACTCTGGCTCATGGTCATACACTGTGGAAAAATTAACAAAGAACACTACGAATGACTGCTGACTAAAAAGAAGAAACTGCCTAGGAAGGCAGTGCTATTTTTGTATCTTTAAGAACAAGGCAAAAGGAAGAAGAAGAAGAGCAAATTAAAAGCTTTCCTTAATATACTCATTACCCTTTTGTAACAGGATCCCGTTTTTGGCATCAAAACATTCAGTTTACAGACAGCTAACAACTTTGTGTTCGTATAGCGGACAATTTTGGTAACGTTCTTCTATCAATACATCTATGCTGCACTTTGACATCCTATAGAATATGACGCTCAAAGTCTGGATTTAAATGAACTAAAAAAAAATCTGCAAACTTTAATATATATATATTTAAAAAAAACAAAAACAAAACATAAACCTTCCAGTAAAAACAAATGCAGCTAGGGAATTTGAAGAACTGCAGTTTTTCTAGAATTTTGTTAAAATGGAGCTTCCCAGTATACAACCAACTGCTAAACAACCTCGTGTATAGAAGTTACTATAAGGTGCTAATCATGGCAAATGCACATTTACTGAAGTAACATAAAGCAGTGCCCTGAACACATTGACGTCAATTTCTGTGTATCTCTTTTGGCCAGGCCACAGGCATCCGTTTTCCTTTTCCTTTTAAGCATGATAAAAGGATGCAGATTAAGGAGGGTGTTTCTTTCTCTCTTTTTTTGCAAAGGGGGCTCCTGGACAGACACACTGTGTATTTAAAGTTGTTGAGGTCATTGAAGTGCGTTTCAGCGATGTCCAAGAGTTAACTCAAAACTGGAATTTGAACGGCAGGTGGGATGCTTCTACTTCACATATGGCAAAACTGGTGCAAAAATGTGTTAAACTAGTTGTCCATAACCTTTTGGTCCAAATACATAAAATATGCATTATTTACAGCATTTTATTCCTTTTTTTTCCAAATGCAATGCTTTAAAACACATTATAAAGCACCTTAGTAAAAATATTCTACAGGTAAAAGTATCTAAATAGGAAACCCCTAACCATACCACAGCTCACTAGTTGAGTCATAATATGGATTCACCAGTAGTTCTTTAAAGTACAAAGAATCTATGGAACAAGGATACAGAATTCACTATTTGTTTTATATTGAAGTGCAGGCAAAAGCCAGCTTCTGAAGAGGTGTTTTCCCAACATTAGTTGGAAGTGCAGAGGATATTAAAGAAACACTGCCTTGGTTTTAGGCGTTCTGACAAGATCACTATGGAATTTGAATTTTCAAACACACTGATGATCAATTTAGCTCTTTAAAATGAAAACCCCACACTGATAAAATATGGGCAAGTCCAGCTGCAGCATTTCTCAGCAGAACATGATTGAACATGATTCATGTGATATGAATTCACAAGAACAAAGCACAGATGTCAGCCGGTTATTAACATTATTCATAAACGTATACAACCCAAATTTCCATGTTGAAGCTAGGGAACCAACAGCTTCCTCTTCCCAGGAGGTTAACTAAAATAAGCTGTTCTATGAATCAAAAAGAGCGGAAAGAGAGGCCTTTCATCTTTATCGTTTCAGCAACATAATTGGTAAGTGGTTAGTTTCTGTAAATGTGTATGTAGGCTTCTGCAGGAGTTGAAGAGCAGCCTTCTTTGAGATTAAACTGAAGTTTATACTTTTGGATTACCAACGTATCTGGTCAGCAGCCAACTTATTTGAGGAACCCACAATTCATTTTACTGAGCTCAAGGACTGAGGTGCCTCAGTTGGTGCATCAGCAATCTACAAGTTGGGGCTGAAAATAAGAATGTGGCCCAAAGGTTTAGTCCCTAGCCTAAAAAGATGCATCGTCCTTAGTTCGATTTAGGGTAAATCTTTTCATAGAAAAAGTTTTGTGCCAGAATGTACAACTCTCCATCTTTTTCCCGGACGGCATGTGCTCTGACAAACTGAAACTGCTCCAGTGCAAATTCGTAGAACTCATTCTCCATTTTCCATATTTCAGACTGCTGCAGCTTTGCAATGGTTTCTTTTGTGGGGAGTTTCTTTTCCGTTGTCTTCCTAAGATGAGACTTCTTGCCTAAAAGCAAAACGTAGAAAGTCATAACTTCACTTTGACTCATAGCTTGAATGCTCCCAGAGGAGCAGAAACATAGACCGGGAAAAGTTTGTGTGTCTCTGCGCAGGGTATTCTTTCATCAGCAGATTGCTAAATGGGTACATAAAGTGACAGAACTTGGGCCAAGATTTATTAAGCCTCCGGGACTGAGAAACTGGAAGCTCTGACATTAAACATGAATGCATTTGCATTAGTGTGCTCTCTCAGCGCACATTCCTCCCGCTGTTTAAAGAGCTTAATTATTAAAACCATAAAGAGGAAGTGTTTGCATTGGGAACTGCATTTCCTCACATCACATCCATTTAAGATATCTGTTTCAATCATGATTAATGCTTCTTTGGAAATTCAGTATGATCAATGATAAAGTTAGTAAAAAAAAATACTTCACAACAACCGGGCAATTTGTTTCACCAAATTCACAGCAACCTTTCACATGATGCCATCAACAATTTTCATTTAAAGGCAAGGTGGTAAGTGAGTCATCCTGAATATTTGTTGTGGGAATATGCTATTTGCATTCTATGCTGCAATGTGTTATATGCATTATATGCTTACAGTACTAATATACCTCTTATTGCTATCAAAGCCAGTTCTCAAACGGGGACAGTCAATGTATACGGAGGGACTATATGTTTCACCACCCCTGACTACGCTGTCTGGGGGCGATGGAACTGTAGCCCAATAACACCTGCACATGGGCTACCCTTGAACTACAGCAGAATCCAGAAATAGAGGAGCAGGCTTCGTTCTCAATGTCACTTAATCCTTGGGGAGATAGAAAACAGTTCCATTCCTATTCTTCTTTTGCATTAGACGGCGGCCCCAAGAATCTGCATGCCTCTACCAAGGCAAGTTGCAAACCACAATGAGCTTACCGAAGCAGGCTGGTCAGCAGGTTATGCGACGTGAACAAGAGTAGAGTCTTATCGCTAATCATTCAAATTTTACTTGAATCAATCCGGTCTGATCCCACGTTCTTTGTGGACTTTGCCTACACTGCTCAGCTTCCTTATGTCAGCCTGGCAGCCCCTCTTCCTTCTTTCCAGCAACTTGCACAACTATTCTCACACTGAATAACTACAGACATTAGGAAGAACCTCCTGGCAGCAAGAGCTGTTTGACTGGAAGCTGGTGGACCCACCTTCCTTGGAGGTTCTGAAACAGAAGTTGGATAGTCATCTGTCAGAGATTCTTTTGTTGTAATTCCTGCACTGCAGGCGGTTGGGCTAGTCAGATGAGCCTTGTGGTCCCTTCCAACTGTACCATTTATGATTCTATGGCCCCGTGACATTGGCTGGTATTTAAAGCCCCATAAGGACCTGGGAGTGCAGTTCGTACTGCATGTAGCTTCTCACTCACAGGCAGAGAGGAGCCTAGTGGATAATACAGCCGTGTACTTGATGCAGAGTATCCAAAATAGGAAACTGGAAACGACACTGGGATTGCATATGTACCAACATGGGTAAGTCAGTCTCTTGAGGCGGGTAGGGGAATGGACTGCTGTTTCAGGAAAATTGCTCATTCATGCCCTAAAGCAGGGGTCCTCAAACTACGGTCCGCAGGCCACATCCAGCCCACCAGGTCCACATCCGGCCCGCCCAGGAACTGCAGAACCCGCGGCGCTCCTCCTTCCCATGGCCCAGATGGCCACAGCCAAGAGGAGCTTCCTTCCCTCCAAACCGCTACTATTCTAAGCAGCTGGGTCCAATCCCTTCCGGCTTCTCCTCAGACCACACCCTCCAGCAACTTCCCACTTGGCCGCCCATCAATCCCATTGCGATCCCAGGTTGCCAGGCAAAGCAGGTCCGAATGGGGAGGGACCAGTCCTTGGACCAGCCGGGCCTGGAGCCAAGCCGAGGGGAGCCACTGCCACCAAGGAAGGCCTGTGGAAATGCAAAGGCACAGTGGCCGTCACCAGCACCACAGCCGGGCCTGGGGTGCTGGGTCTCCTGCTAGAGGACACTGAGGCAGGAGCAGCCAGATGCTGCCGCCACCACTGCCCAGAGCCTGAGGCGGCACCTCTTTATTTTCCTCCCTCTTATTCAGTCACCCTCCTCTCTCTCCCTCTCTCTCATACCCCCCCCCACTGAAATACTTATAAGTTTATGTTGATTAAAACCGTTCTTCATTTTAAACATTGTATTGTTTTTCCTGTTTTTTGTGCACTGCAAATAAAATATGTGCAGTGTGCACAGGAATTCGTTCATATTATATTTCAAACTATAGTCTGGCCCCCAACAGTGTCTGAGGGATAGTGAACTGGCCCCCTGTTTGAAAAGTTTGAGGACCCCTGTCCTAAAGGGTATGTGAAAGAGAAGCTTTGGGGGGAAAGGAGGAAGATGAAAATGGCCTAGCGGGTGGCTATTTAAATACCTGTGCGATATAGTTCTGTAGCACCCCTGAAGAAGCGGGGCAAAGCTGCCTCCAGCAACATAATAAAGTCTTCAAGCTCTTCAGTAACTCCCACTAGGAAATATTCATTAATCAAGTTGTATTTGGCTTGTTCCAAAGCCCATCTGCTTCCCACATTCCTAAAACGATAAAAAGTAATTACAGGAAGGTTTTGATGTCTGCCAAGAATTTTGGTTCCCTTCATTTAGATATTCTCACACCAGGCTAAAAGAATGGCTTAGCTGTTATCTTTGCACAGGCAAGAAAACAAAGTTTCAGCCACACACATTTTTAATTTCCTTTGCTTTTCCCCCCCTGCTCCCCATTTTTTTTGCTCTCTTCATGGCCTAGGTTAGATGTCAAAAGATTTATGGCTCTGATTTCTAACTTTTTGATAACACTAATGCCTTTTTCAAGTATGTTGCATGGTGTTCAGTATGGAAAATTTTGCTGTTATATCAAAGAGTTCAAAAGTATCAATTTTGACGTGGCATAAAAGCAGAAACTGAAAGGCATGTTGGAACTTTGCACCAGTCTTCCACAACCGATTGCAGTTTATCTGCATTTTAGCAAGATTGCTCTATAAGAGGATAAACAAAGAGAGGTTTGCAGAATGGTTGAGAATTCATATGTCTGATACTTTGAAAGCACTTGCTGAAGCCTTGGTCCAAATAATCTGAAGCGACCATATATGCTTTTCTCTCCTACATAGAAATACAGTGTAGGAGATATGTCATACATATGCCATCTGACACAGCATATTAAGGATATTATCTCAATTAAAAGTAAATAAATTAGAGCTGCTATTTTTTCTCCTACTATTAAGCAAACCGTGTAACAAGGCTTTACCCTAGTTATTGTAATATGACAAATCAACTTCTAAACTTCATTTCATGAACACCTTCAGACATTCAAAATGGAATTGAGCACTCAAATTAATCCATGTTTACATTATAGCAGCCACAAAGTTTATTTCTGCCAGCTAAGAACAATTGGGTTTGAGACCTAAAGGTTGAACATTTATACCGGGTTAGAAACTGATCTTGCTGCTACCAGTGAGCACATCTCCCTAAGCAGAACTTTGCTCAGATGATGCTCCAGTCATTTAAAGGGAGAGGGAAGAGACTTAGGAGACCATCCACAACAGCGGAGGAATGACAGGGTGAGGAGCAAATCAATGCCACTTCTGCCAGTGGGATCGAAAGCTTTCTGTGGATGAAAGAAGCCTTCTATCCACAGAAGGCTAAGTTTAGATCCAAGCCATGACATTTTAAACCGGGGGGGGGGGGGGGATCCCATAGTTACATGGTTTTTAATCAACATACCCAAACACTGACACTGGTGTTTAGAAAGGGGATACAGAGTTCAGTTTGAAAATGGTTGGTAGTTTTCTGTAGCATTCATGGAAATTCAATCAATAATAATGGGGGTATTGTTTCTGTTTGTTACTGTGTTATGTATCTTTGTGTTTTTATTTTGTAAACCACTCTATGATCCTGGTATAGACAGTGGTATAGAAATTTAACAAATAACAATTCAACCATTTTTCAGTTTGATACTTCGGAAGATAACCACAAAGTACACTTGTTAATCAAATGTGTTCTTTCTCAAAATCTTAACCTCTGCTACACATTCTGATTTAATAAAATACACTTCACATGGATAATTTATTTAATCTGCAATTTAAAGCAATTCCATCGTCTTACCAGCACTCAGAGCTGTGGCCACAGAAGAACGGAATTTGAAGCCAGAGTTTCTCAGGGGCACAATCTGAGCCTCCAGCTGCTACACATTCATCAAACGTCTGGAACAAAGACAAAAACTCAAGAGTGAGCTATAAATTTCCATCTTAAATATCAAACTTCTTAGTGCAGTTATTTTTCTACATGAACTTGGGCTGCGTTACCTCACAATAGCTTACTAAGAGGCCTGTCACTTTGTGCATCAGTACATGCTGACTCCCAGCTGTGGGCACCGCACAATGAGATAGTGAGGGGTGGCTGGCACACACAGAATTCACTGCAGTGTGGCATTTGGTATGCAGCTGCTAGTGCCCCAAAGGCGACAACTGCACTGGTGTGCAGAGCCACAAGCCATTTTGTGGGCGCTGTCAAGATTCGCAATTGCCTCAACACACGGTAACCACAGCAAGAACTGAACGGTGACTCAATATAGCCCACGATGTGTCATCCATGTGTCCGACTTCAGAAGTTCTTGGATTCAGCAACCAATTTAAATTCTACCTATATTTGTTCTGCAAAAGCCAGTGTGTCAGAAAACAAGTCATATTGCTGCTACCAAGGGAAATCAAATGCTAGTGTTGAAAAGTCATTCTGAAGACTGGCCTAGGGAACAACACTGGGTGGGGAAACTTATCTAACAAGGAGGGACACCACCCTGTGCTCTGTGCCTTCTTATTTGCTCTTTTAAATTAGAAGGCCAGAGAGCTGCGTGTATGTGCATGCTCCATTGGTCTAAGACAGTGATGGCCAAACTTGGGCCTCCAGCTGTTTTGGGACTACAACTCCCATCATCCCTAGCTAACAGGACCAGTGGTCAGGGATGATGGGAACTGTAGTCCCAAAACAGCTGGAGGGCCAAGTTTGGCCATCACTGGTCTAAGACAATGTGGAGCTCCTCGTTCAACATTAAACCATATTTCCATAGCTCCCTTTGTCCACAGTTAATGCACAATTCATTGCAATCCTATCTTTACATAATTAATATTGAGTCAAACGCAAATCTCTCGTGAGTGGCACTTCACTCATGGAATAAGTGCTTCTGGGACCTTCTAATAGGTATGAAGACGGAGACGGTCTTTGATGAGCCCTCCTAAGACCCCTAATAATCTGCTCCAGAGAGTTGTGAGACCATCAAGAATGGTGTAGAAGGTAGTGCAGGAAGGATTCGATTAAAAAATATTAATAATCACACACACACACACACACACACACAAGCAGATGCCTCCATTGGACCAAAGTTTCTTGCATTCATGGAAGACTCCTGTGAGTGGGAACTGTATTTTAGGATCGAGCCTATTGTTCTGGATTAAATTTGCTTTTCTAAATTGCTACATTTTGAGTTCAGTTATTATCTCCATAATTAAAGCCATGAACGAAGCTGCCAAAATGTACTTTTACTTTTTTATCCCCTTGCTTTCGTCTTCGGAGTCCAGGCCTGTAATCATCGCCAAAGCGCAGGAAGTAATAATAGGAAACCAGCCGCTCTATAGGATCTCTTATGACATTGATGTATATTGGTTTCTTTTTAACACCAAATCTGAAACAGAAGAGATAAATCCGATTGACAAATCAAAGAGTTTCCTGCATGATGTAAAAGTGGATTTGGGGTCAAAGTTTGTTCCAGACCATTCTATTTTGTCATATTAAGGCAAGTTAGGAGGAGTGCTGAGAAACTGACAATACTACTTTTTCCTGTTTCAAAGGTATTAAAGGGTATAAATGCTTTAGAAAACTTTCCAAGAAATCTTATCCCAACAGCATTCCACTGAGGTAAATTTTAAACATACACATTTAATATTTACATATATTCATTCAGTTTATTTTGTCTAACAAGTATTATCAGCAAAAGTCCTATCTGGTACTTCTCCCTCCAACAGATGCGGCCTCTTACAACTATTCTTTGTAACAAAGAAGGTAATGCAGCTGGTGTGACCACAATGACCAGATGGGCGAAATGTAGGAGGACAAGAGAGATACTCAGAAATTGCCCTTGGTTTTCTAAAGTGCTGCTGCACAAAAATGATCATGCTTCGTATGGAATAGTAGATGAAAAAGCAGTTAAATTTTAGCTCAGTGCAACAGATCTGAAATATTCTAGCACTGGCTAAAACTTAGCACTTTGGCAGTTAACATGCTTGCCATATTTAAGACATATTTTGCATTGCTATTTTATGAAAACTCAAGCATTAATTATGCCAATAACATCATAGTGATCTGTATTGTTGTTATTAATAATATTAATAATAATAATAATAATAATAATACCACCAATATGCACCCGACACAGTTTTAGAAGGGACGCAGGTGGCGCTGTGGTCTAAACTACTGAGCCTCTTGGGCTTGCCAATCGCAAGGTCAGCAGTTCAAACTCCAGCAACGGGGTGAGCTCCCATTGCTCTGTCCCAGCTTCTGCCAACCTAGCAGTTTGAAAGCACACCAGTGTGAGTAGATAAATAGGTACCACTGTGGTGGGAAGGTAAACAGTGTTTCTGCACGCTCTGGCTTCTGTCACGGTGTTCCATTGAACCAGAAGCAGTTTAGTCATGCTGGCCACATTACCCAGAAAAGCTGTCTGTGGACAAATGCTGGCTCCCTTTCCTGAAGAACGGTAAGCGCCACACCCCATAGTCGCCTTTGACAGGACTTAACTGTCCAGGGCTCCTTTACCTTTACCTTTAGAAGGAACCCAAAGAGAATGTGTTCTATTTATCTGCTGCTCACATTGTGCTTTGACACAGAGCATGTCTCCATGCTAGGCAGGGCAACCTTCGTACACTAATTAGCACTGTGTGCCTTGCAGGCAAAATAAGCATGGCCTGTCGGTTGAACGTACTCTGCACTTCGTACTGAATACTGCTGATTTAGCAGAATGCAGTTAATCTACTGTATGGTAAGAACTACAAAGATGCTTTTAAACAGCTTTGATGTATACTAGACCAACTGCCTTCCAACGTGCAAAAATAAATCTGTTTAAAGAAATATGAAAATCAATTACATGCCAGGAACAACCATCAAAGCTAGCCTATAAACCTGGACATTCAAAAATAGGGCTGTAAATACAGTTTGGGTGCTTTATTGCTTTAAGGACCAAAAAAAGGTGCTTTTAAACTCTTCCCCGTGCATTACCACAGTTACAACAATGTTAGCAAGGCAACGGACAGAACAAAGGTATCAACTGCAGCTGCTTGGATCTGCCAGCCTTGCTTGTTTTGAGGATGCCGAACCCTTCCCAATCCAGCTCATTAAGGCCAGCCAAGTCCACTGACCAAATAGTAAAATTGTCACATTGGGAAGGGAGGTTCTGTCTTTTGTTGGCGCAGTCTCCACCTATGCCTGAAAAGGCAGTCTTCAGACAGGGATGTGATGACAAGATTTAGAATGGCAACCCAGTCAGATAGGTGGGGAATAAAAAATAGAACAGGATAGATCTTTCCTTTTTGGAAAAGGTCACTGAGCACACGATGGCACAGCAACTGCAGGCATGGCCAGATGGAACATCTTTCCTCACTCCACTTGGAAGCAGGTTTCCAACCAGGTTATGTCCCTGCGTTGCTGCCGTTCTTGATTCTGTATGCTGACTGCCGTTACTTTTACCACTGTTGTCTTTTTACTGGAATCCGACTCAAGACTTAGAGAGGATGAGACACCATGCCTTTAGTTTTTCCATTACAAAAGCGAAAAGGGAGATGAGGCCAGGCCTCTGCTGAGCCCACTCCTGCCCTTTCCTCAAGCAGAGGCAAGAGAGATGCATCTGGAAAGGCAGAGCTGCTGTCACCATGATGAGAGGAGGCAAAGCTTACTGCCACCATCATCAGTCATGTCGCTTATGATTTAGGCCTGGTGAGAATTTAAGGTCCCCATCCCTAATTTGCAGGTTGCCATCTGATTAGATTTCACTTTGATTCAGATTTGATTTTAGGATGTATTTTAATTGATTGCTTAATTTTATGATAATATGTTATATATTTGATGTTAGACACCCTGAGCCCAGTTTTGGCTGGGGTGCGCAGGGCATAAATAATTATTATTATTATTATTATTATTATTATTATTATTTACTATTAATTATTATTAATTATTATTATTATTCCACCATGGAGGAGTAAATCAACATATGCCTCACTGCTCATCCATGATGGATTTAGATGGCTAGTTGCCTTCACAAAACTTAAATGGAGTTAAAGCAAGTTGTTGCTTCAGATTTTTTTACTCAAACATTTAGCATAATGGGGGGACCCCAAATCCGGTCAGGGCTCCTTGGCATTTCGAGATAAATACTTGGAATCCCTGTATGCATTCATCCGCTCATTTGACAGATGATGGTTCCAAGTACAGTGGTGCCCCGCAAGACGAATGCCTCGCAAGACGGAAAACCCGCTAGACGAAAGGGTTTTCCGTTTTTGAGTTGCTTCGCAGGACGAATTTCCCTATGGGCTTGCTTCGCAAGACGAAAATGTCTTGCGAGTCTTGAGATATTTTTTTTCGCTTTTCCCCCCTTTATCTAAGCCGCTAAGCCTTTAATAGCCTTTTAGCAGCTAATCCGATAAGCCGATAAGCCTTTAATAGCCGCTAAACCGCTAATAGCGCTAATCCGTTAAGCCGCTAATAGGGTTGCTTCGCAAGACAAAAAAACCGCTAGACAAAGACTCTCGCGGAACGGATTAATTTCGTCTTGCGAGGCACCACTGTACCCAGAGCAATGAATAAATGAATTAAAAGGAATGAAGAATGAGGCAGAATCAATGGGTTTTTTTAAAAAATAAAAAATAAAATGGTGCATGAGTTTTTGTCCTCTACCACTTAAGTGAAATTTCTAAACAGCTCCACCACCACTGTCATAAAAGTTTTGAAATTCAGTGTAATTTTATGAGCGTATATACTGAATCAAAGCATTATGCCAGAGTTTTTCTTAAGGAGGATGAATCTTTGCAGTAAGATTTTACACTTCTCTAACGCAATAACGCAACATCACAAGTTACTCTCGCCTATTGCCGAGAGCAAGCACAGCACTCAATTTGTTATTTTAATAATCGAAACCACAAATAGAAGAAAGCAAGCTGTTGCAGGGGGGGAAATAAATCATTTAGGTGAAAGGGTAACAAACAAAAAAAGCCACAAGGATAATGCAACCCTGGAGGAAAATATGCATATGAATGAAATTTGTGAAATTGCTTAGCTGCCTTTCTTGAGGCAAAATGTTTTTTAGACTGAAGTTACAGTACCTACAAAATGTTTTAAGTTTTATTCTATGAATAATGTAGAGGATAGAGTAACACTTACCTAGCTGTTCACAAGGTTATTATTTCATTAGGTATTCAATGCAAGAGGTTTATTAATATAGCATATTGCACTTTCAAATTTGGAGGAAGCAATGCAATTTTATGCTCGGGGATTCTTTTTTGAGACTGAAGTTTGGCAACCATTTCTTTACATGTAGATTTCAGCTGCTGTTGTAACCTTCAGCACTCTCTGTCTGATATTACGTTGCATGCACAAAATATACGGAACATAAAACTTCTGGTGCCCCCACCCTTGTTTTCCACATTTGTCACAGCAAATAAATTAAGATGGATTCCAGATAAAATGAACAGCTGAAGTCCATTTCGCAGACCTTTCCCTTCATCTTGGTTAAGCAATAGTGCAGCCTTCACTAGCCTGGTGCATATAACTCTTGGGCTGCAACTATATCTTGGGCTGCAACTCCCATCAGCCCTAAGCCAGCTTTGCCCATGGTCAGGGATGATGAGAGCTGTAACCGCAGACATCAGTAGGGTACCAGCCTGGAAAAGGCCGTAATAGAGAACTGGCCAGTAAAAAGGGGGCCAAAAGGGTGGGAATGGAAGGGAGGGAATAGTATCATTTTTGACCTCCGCTTGTGACGTTCTCGTAACGAGTTCCCATGATAAGAGCCCATCCGGTTTCACAACCTAGATAATGTGCAAGAGATGCAGGCAGATTCGTTGCTGAGGTCAAACAGGTGGGCAGAACAGAGTGCAAACAATGAAGTCTACAGCTGGGTGGTAGCAATCGTGATGAGCAGCAGTTTGGTGTGCCCGCTTCTGGGCTCGAGAAGGGACTTCTGGTGCTAGTTTAGGACTCTGTGTCAAACTGGGCATCGAGGAAGCTCCTGTTTCAGTATGGTTTAAATGGGAGTGAAAGAAATGCACTTCTTTCAGAGAAAGCCTAATCTCTCCCCACCTGACCACACGGCTCAATACGATTCCTTTTTTTTAAAAAAAAAAAGATATTTATTGAGAATTTTAAAATTACAAAGAAAAAAAGAAGGAAAAAACAAGTAACAATTAAACAATACAAATCAATCAAAGTCAAAAAGAAAAAACAAAACACATAATACATCAAAATCAAAAAGCAAAAATAAACAAAAAATTTAAAAACAGATCCAATATTCCCAAATCCTTAACTGTCATTATCTTATTTCACCGACCTCCTCACACCTCCCTTTTTTGTATTCTAGTTGTTAATTATCTCAGCAAATCCTTTCCATCTTTCATAATATTCTGTCATTAAATTACCTTAATCTATTTTAACCTTATCTTACCATAAAAAACCCTAAAACTTAAATCTTATTTATACCAATTTCTCTTAACCATAACATATTCTTAACATAATTCTTTTTAACATTTCTGCTAAAGCCAAATAATTTCATTCCAACATTTTTCTAATACTCATTAATTTTACAAAACTTTCCTAAATATTTTTTTTAAGACTTTCTTCCAATCTTCATCCAACGTCTTTTCCTCCTGGTCTCGGGTTTTGTCAGTCCTTTTTATCCCATCCATCTAGTCCATCAACCTGGTGACCTTATATCCGAAGCTCTTAAGTCTTTTCCATGTCCCATCCGCAGGTCTTCTTCATATTTATACCTGTACTTTACTTTGTCTTCTGCTCCTTTCACTCGGGGAGACTCCAGCTTGACAATATTTTTGTCCCTTCTTGACAGATCAGCCCCTTTTCCATAGTCAACACTGAACTCCATGTGGTATTTAAAAACATGTTTCAAGGTCCCTCCAAAGTTACGGGCCCCCACAACTCCGAACTCCTCCCAGCCCAAAGCCAGACTTGAAAGGTCAATACATCCCTGCATAGGGGGGTCTATCCAGCCCCCCATCTCCAAGCCAAACAAGACTCTATCTCTCCAAATCTGGCTTTTTCCAGGTTCATTCGTCAAATCCAACAACTCATGTTCCTGCTCGGCCACAGTTCCCTTCATCTCTGCCTCCCGAGGTCCAGCAACAACCTCCTCCCTCATCTGATCTGTCAGAGCACACTCCTGGATTAATTCCTGAGTGAGTTCTATATAGGTACCCACTGCCTGTCCAAATTTTTCGATCCCAACAGTCATCAAATCCAACTTCTCATGTAACTGTTCCAAGAAGGCACTTGTCTTGCAAAAGGCAAGCACCAGAGCCTCCGAGTACATTCTTGTTCGAGGTCAAAGTCTGGTCCCACGATCTTAATCTACTGCAGTTGCGAAACTCCCCAGTTCGGATTTAATAACAGTTTCACAACAGTTTTCTAGGGGGAAAAGCTTCTATTTGTATCCATCTCTTAAAAAAAAAAAAGCAGATCTAACAACAAAGTTTCCTTTTTCAGATATTTTGTCAATATTTTGTTCCTTTTAATTGTGAAAGGGAACAATGGAATCAATATGTTTCTCTTCTTTTAACTATCTGTCAAAACGTTTGTCGATAGTCAATGAACTTCCCGAGGACGTCTGTCCTGACACCCCGCTCCCAGGTTCAAGACGGTGGAAATTTGCTTTTCTTTACCCTCTCTTCTGCAGGTTTAAACAGTCCAGAAAAAATTCCCCCCTCTTCTCCTGCTTCCAACGGGGGTTCAGTAATTTTAAATGATGAAAATTGATCCTTTACAGATGACTTTCTAAACTCTAGCTTGCCGTGTCTTTGCTTCAATCTATCTACAAAAGCGGAAGGCGGACTTCCTGTTTAGACCTTCCCGCTTCAGTGCCAAATTAAAAGAAATTTCTTAATCCAATTTTCCGTTCTATTCACGGGCAGTTATTTAAAATCCAATTGTCCACAGGAAAAAGTCAGCGCTCTCCGGCAACAGCAATGCGGCTTCACTCCGTGAAAAAAGCAGTCGATTCAAAGCACCGCGCCGCTCACCCCACGTTGCTCCGGATCCCCGAAACCGGGTTTCCCCACGAGTAGGGGGGGGCGCAAAGGTGCCGGCCGAATCCCACGTCCACAGGCTTCTCCCACCTGTGGTTTTTGATGGGTCTCCGCCTCGCCGTGGCGGTTCAGACTCTATTTTCCACGGAGCGGATTCCTCCCGATCGGAGGAAATCCGCCATTGCCAGAAGTGCCAACCCGGAAGACTTCCTGCCATCTCATGTAAGTAGGCATTTATGGAGCCATTTTCTACTAGTCAGATTGGCTACAGCAGGCAATACGAGGCCATAAAACATGATGTTTTTCAAGAGGCAGCAAGTCTGATAGCAGTGAATTCCAACTACCACAGCCTGTTTGTTAGGGTTGCCATATTCCCAAAAATGAACCCCCACCCCCAAAAAAGCCCAACAGCTTTTTCTTTTCTTTTTTGGATTTTAAAATAATTTTTCTTTAAAGAATCGCCCTAGTTGCCATACATATCTGGGTTTTCCAAGGACGTTTTGCCGATTCGGCAAAAATCCACCCTGACGTCATTTTTGCAGCCCAATCCTCCGATGTTTCCAGGGAAAACCCAGACGTACGGCAGCCCTACTGTTATGAAGTAGGCCTGAAGAGATACTGACTGACTAAACAGAGGGTTTCTTTCCATGTGTTCTGGCGCTACCGTCAAGTACTCTGTGCTATTGAAACACTGCACCGCGGAAGGCAGTAAGATGATTTGCTATTCTAAAGGAAGGCTGAAAGCACTGAGCGGAGTCATTAATAGCTCAATCAAATATTAAAAATAAATAATTGCTTCCTTCATTTGCATGGCTGACAAAACTGTTGCCGAACGCATATATCCATTTTTGGCTAGTGTTTCAAATTTGTTATGGGGGTTCTCTTGTATGATATGGTAGAGTCAGCCCAGGGAACAGCAGGCTTTTCAAATTTTATTTTGCAAAGCAACTTCTAATATGAAAGGCTCTACGGGACAGCAGGTGGTCACTAGTAAGTTTTGGGAAAGGGGTGGCACCAACAGATAAGTAGCAATTAGAAGACAAAAGAAAATGTGGAGAATCTTAACTACTTAAAGGACTAAAATCACCAAGCGGGAACTGGTTAATTCCTTGATTTGCTGCTCAGCAAGACTGTTCTGAGCTTTATCCCCACAAAGTTCTCTACTCCAGTTATATATTTGTGCTTTCAGACAGCACACAGATTTTTTTTTTAATTAAGATAGTATGTTTTCCAAGAGCTTAGTCACCAAAGAACATCAACAGGAAAGGATGGTGCATGTCCAGGAGAAAAAGACTGAAATCAATCTGAATGAGAAGTCAGTGGGGAAGAGAAAAGCTTTACTGAAAATAATAGAGGGGCAGAAAAGAGCATGTTCAGAATGTCACGGTGCAATTTCTGTTCATGACCATTAGAGGGCAGTAAACTCTTAAGTGAATCAGTGCAGTGCTTGAACAACAACAAAATAAGCTGACAAGGACTCAAAATGCTGCAAACAGAATTGTACGTTATGTGGCTTACTTTGCAAAATCCAGGAAGGATATATGTCCATGATAAAACCCTGGCTTCATTTCTTTCCAGGACGTTACATTCTTCACAAATCGTACCTGGGAGGGAAGAAGAAAAGTTTCTTTAATGCTTAGAAGAAGAAAAATTTAAGATCAATGAAATAGGCTAGTATTAAGAGATGCAACTCAGCTAATAGCAAGTGATAACAGTAAATGCGCCACTCGAAAGCATTCTTAACATAGCCATAATGATACTTCATACTGATACAGCATTTTCCAAAAGGGCTCAAAGTGCCTCTCATAGATCCTCTTAGCAATCCTTAAAAGCTGCCATTTTTCTGGGCAGCATGATCTTCCTTCTATTACAGGTGAGAGGCTGAGAAAGCAGTGTCTTGTCCTAGGCTACCAAGAACCTCATAGGCGAGCTGGGTCTTTTTTGCTTCCTAGCAAATCTATTAAGATTAAAGTGCAATAATTAATGCAACAGCTCAAGGGGACCCACATATAAAATTCCGTAAATCTGTTTGCTTTCTCTTGAGTGATTTGTTTTAAAAATAAGAGTGCTGAAATCCTCCTCTCCTAATGTCCGTATTCCAGGGCAACTGCATCATAACCTGAGCTAAGTTTATGGGCCTGTTAACTGCAAACCCCAAAATGGTTCAGCTTGCCAAGTAGAGTCTGAAATTTGCAAACATATAAATAGGTGTGAGCCGAGGGAGAGTTATCTATTGGCTGATTTCACATAGGAACTCCTCTTGATTCTGCACCCTGAGATTGTTACTGGAAAAGATATCCAGCAATGCATTTCTGGTACTTCCAGCAAATAGGTTACCTGCTTCCCAAGTAGGTCTACCACCTTCCCTTCCTTTTAGCTTTTGAACATATCCCAGGATCCCTTTCACTCATGCCAGTGCCATAATTTGTGTGAAGGCAGACAGATGGACACATGAATGTGAACACACATAACTGCTAAAACAGTGACATGACCAATTTTAGTAAATACCTTTTGGGGGGTGGAGGAGAGATGGTTATTGGGACAATAAGATGGCTCTCTGCTACAATGCTTGTTGTAAATCACCATGTGATGTTTGGATAGAGGATGATATGCAAATTCTAATTCTAATAATAATAATATTTCTCTGCCATCCTGATCAAGCCATTCCATTTTATATACCTTGCCCAGGATTTCCCCCTCTTGGTTTCTCAGCTTTATGGGGCTGTCTTGTAGTGCCCACTTTGGTGTTTGTTTTTTTCCTTTTTTTCTGCAGACTTAACCTTGGGGTTAAGTCATGTCTGCTGGTAATTCTCTCTTCTGTGTAGGTGGATGTGGTTTTGGCTACATAAACATGAGCACAGGAAGATTTGAACTGGTGTTAAAAGAAGGAATTATGACATTCAGAAGGTAGCAAAGTGACTCAAACGGTCCAAACCAGATTTGAGTAGTTTAACCAAGTGGAGCAGCCAGAGGTTGTTCGTTTGCCTTTAGAAAAATAGTTGATAAATCTGAATACCACCATCTGTTCGGTTCTTAATACTGCAATTTTAGAAACTGATATACTAAGGCACACACAAAATGAACACACCAGGAAGTATCTCTGTACCGTAACAGATAAAGGCATATGGTCTTAACAATGAAAGCAGAGATGTCCGACTGTACTGATCTCATAACTGATCAAGGAGTCCTATATTCATGGTAACATATAATGGTGCTTTCACATTATAATGAATGCATGGGGTATGTGTAGATACATAAATATATGCATAGAGAGATCATAAATGACAAACACAGAGAAATATATGTCTGTAATGTTTTCTATCTAACTGCGGAATGTACCGTATTTTTCGCCCTACAGGACGCACCGGCCCATAGGACGCACCTAGTTTTCAGGGGGGGAAATCAAGGGAAAAAATATGATTCCCCCTCCCCCCGCAGCTCTGGGAGCAGCGGACAGGCTGCACGCAGCCTGTGCGCTACTCCAAGACCTTCTTCCTGCTTTTGCGAGAGGTGGGGGAATTCCCCCATCTCCCGCAAAAGCCCACAGGAGGGAGAAGGGACGGACTCCGCCAGTCAGTCCCTTCTCCCTCCTTGGGGAAAAGCCTGCTTTCTCCCACTGCCAGCCTCAAAGCCGGGTTTGAGAGTAGCGGGACGGCGTCGCGCGCCTTCCCGCTGCCCCCCATCCTCTGGGGCTGGCAATGGGGGAAGCGCTGCTTTCCCCCACCTCCAGCCTCAAAGAGCAGACTCTCCTGGCTTCAGCGGAAGCAACGCGAAGCCTCCAGAGCGCAGGCTTCGGAGGCTTCGCGTTGCTATCGCTGAAGCCAAGATCCTGCATTCGCCCCATAAGACGCACACACATTTCCCCTTCATTTTTGGAGGGGAAAAAGTGCGTCTTATAGGGCGAAAAATACGGTAATCTGAAGTTAAGCTCTGGTGTGCTGCTGTTTCTTCTAGCACTCAACCAGATAGCTTTGGCTACTTGTGCAAAAAGAAAGAAAGAAAAAGACTGAGCACTCCACATAAGCTGAATTTTGCTTTCCCTGGCATTGTCTGTATTGATGTTTACATGAGGCAGCAAGACGGTTTAAAATGGAGAGTACTTCCAACTGCAGGATGCTGATATCTCTCCCTCAAATAGCAAACGCAAGCGACAACAGCCAGCAGCCACGTGGTCGAAACAAGGAGCAGCTATCAGTCTACTAAGGTGGAACTTGAGGTTTACAGAAGTCCAAATACACGCATACACATGAACCTAAGAGAGAGTGAAAAGCCCTGCAGAAGTAGGCAGGCTCACTAACCACTATCAGAAGAGAAATGGCATGGGAAGGAGATGGAAGGGGAGATTTAGGTGACTAAATGCTGCAACATTTTTATAGCATGTCTCATATGTGGTTTTCTGAAGAGGCCAAGATTTGCTAGTTATTTAAGTGAGGAGCATATTGGCTTTTGTTAGAATAATGTTCAGTTCACTGTGCTATGCTGTGGGATGGGAACATGGGATATAGTAAACCGTTAATGTATTTCCTTTAATTGTCAAATACAATGATCTAACACTAAGAAAGAGCCTCCAGAGGGACAGCTGCAACAAAACAAGAGCCCGCTCTTAGTTCCCTTTTAATTCAAATAAACTTAATAGATAGATAGATAGATAGATAGATAGATAGATAGACAGACAGATAGATGAAAATAAAATAAGCATTTTATGGTTTGTTAAATTTGTATACAGCCCTTCATCCAAGGACCACAGGGCAGTTTACAACACACAAACACAAAAATATATACATAGAAACAAACAAAAACAATATTCCCCCACCCAGTTTAAAAGGCAATAGATTATTTAATTAGCCAAAGCAAAGGCCTGGGAGAAGAGGAATGATTTCACTTGGTGCCTAAATGTATGTATTGAAGGCTCCACAGGGCCAAAGAGCACTGCTCCCTCTTGAAATGATCGTGAAAGTGGGACTGGAACCATCGCAAAGTAGTGCCATATGCACTCCCAAGCTCAGACAGCTGCCCTAAAAGGATGCCATGGTTGGTGGTTATCAAAAGCTGTTGAAAGATCAAGGAGAATTAACAGGGACAGATTTCCTCTTTCTTTCTCCCAGCAGAGGTCATCATACAGGGTGAGCAAAGCAATTTCTGCACCCAAACTGGGCCTAAATCCTGATCAAAATGGATCTAGAAAATCAGTTTCCCCCAATAGTGCCCTTGTCTGTCATAAGCAGGGTCACTGCAGTGCACCAGGGGCTCATCCTCAGTAGCCGCTCAACACCAACAGACTCTCAAATTGATCTGCAGATCTTAATACTTAGCAGAGTTATGAGGAATCAAATGGTGCCCTAATTCTGAATGAAATAAAAAGGACTGAAACAGTCTTACTGGATAGAAGTTGGTGAAAAATTGTCCTATCTCCTGCCGAAATATGGTATAATGAAGCAAGTATTAGGATGACCCAGAAGCACTCCAACGATAATAGCCTAGTTGGCTAGGAAATATGAAACCTCTGAAATCAAGTCCCCAGGTTCCATAGGTCACAGATCCTGCCAATTCTGTTGATATTATCTGGATTGACATATGACCAATCGCCAACTGCAGTAAGAATGGCTACTGCAAATAGGGTGGGTTGTCTTAATCTCCAGTCTCCACCCAATTCTGCTCTCCCAGTCTTCATAAATGCTGGATAAGGGGTCCCAGTGAGGTGAACTGGAATGCAGAAGGCATAATTGTCCATTGCCAAATTCTTGACTATCCTACACGCAATTCTAGGGGAAACTGTGTTTTCACATTTTCTGTGGCCATCAGAATGGCAGATTAGTCCAAAATATTTTAGTTGTGGGAACCATCTGCTTGCTCTCTTTGATACCAATATTTTGTCTGTCATCTCACATCCAGACTTATGAATTAACACTTAATTTGTGTTGATAATGCTGCATTTGGTAGCCAAAGCTTTTCCTGGAACAGGTCTGAAGTTAGCTAACAGAATACCCACTAGAGACCAATATATTAAAACTATTCAGGGTCTAATATAGTCTTATGGATATTTTTGCCATTATTTAGGAATTCCACTTTACATATAGTATAGAAAATTGGGGCAATTACTTAGTATTTTAAATTCAAGATAATCTTTGGAATTTAACTAACAAAAGACCAAAATATGTGAGCAAGTTTCTACAGATGTATTTTCCCCCTAGCACTTTTAGAAAAATAACTGAAAAGCTATTTTTGAACTTCTGGTATGTTTAAGCTGTTTATGTTTTAAGCTCAGATGAGCTTCCCGGAATTGAAAGAGAGATCAAATGTACTCTGATGGAGAACAAGAAATCCTGCAAGGAAAAAAGTAGAAAATGAATGGTATAAAGATTTCAGTTTTCTTGGCAGATGGGAACGTCAACAATCTCTAAAGATCAAAGAAAACAAGCCAGACAAGCCGCTATGGGATCAGCAAAACCTGGGAGAAATGCATGCTTTATAGCTACAGAATAAAATGGCTTATCAATTAGCGAGTTCTCTGCAGATACGATACAGGGCACAGTATAGGGTTTGTATTTAATAAAGCTTTGTTTTGTTAAATCTCTAGGCCTTGGACCACTAAAGGTTTGCCAGCTAACTATCCTCTGGAGAACTGGTGGACACTAACTTGGATGCCCTGGAAACTCTTGGGAGTTGAAGGGTGCTGGATATTAGTTTATTAAATAAAATTAATGAATGATGTTGTCCAGATACACAGTGCTAGAGTGGTGTCCCCTTTTGACAAGCAGTGGTTCTGCTGTACCGTGAAATAAGCTTCTTTACTACTAAAGTGTGCCAGGCACTGTACGAAGTATGCCCTCTGTAGAAACACACATTTAAATAATAATAATAATAATAATAATAGTTTATTTATATCCTGCCCTCCCCAGCCGAAGCCGAGCTCAGAGCAGCTAACAACAGTAAAATAATACAGCATTCTAAAATCAATTCATTATAAAATCTGACAAAACAAGGGGGGCGGAGGGAAGCAGAGACACGGCTTATGAAAACTTCAAGTGATTAATTTTGACAGCTGGAAATAAGTGGAAGGGCTGAAGGATGGCAACAGAAGGCCAGAGAGTGGAAAGTTGCCGTTCTCAAGACGGGAGATGGCTTGAGCGACAACGAGGAAATTGCCAAGATATTTTCACAATGCTGACGAAGGAAAGAACATGATTTTGTGATAGGCTGAGTATAAAGGGCAAAAAAGAGGCAGAGGTTAGAGAAAACCAGTGCTTTGCATCCTATCAACAGCAGGGAGGGAGGCATTATCATTTCATATAAAAATTAACTAAGGAGAGAGGGGTTTTGGAGGAAAACGCTGGAAATTTTGCCTTAATGTGTTAAGAAATCACTCAAGCTTACCAAGTGACAATATCTATATTATATTATTATTTGAGTTCAATTAAAATACAAATTTAATAGTAAGTATGGTATCAGCATCTCCTGTTCCGCCAGGTTCTAAGTCAGGGGTAGTTAACAAAGTGCCGTCCAGATGTTGTTTTTATGTATTTTACCTTTTATTTAGCAACATTTTAAAACCGTTTACTCAACAAAAGACCTCTAAGTGATTTATCATGCACCTAAGTGATTAGAAAAAACTATTTGTTGGACTCCCATCGGCCCCAGGCATTACAATCAATGGTGAGAGATGATGGGAACTGTAATCCCAAACATCTGAATTGCTTATTTTTGCTCTAAAGCACGGGTGTCAAACACAAGGCCCGCGGGCCGAATCCGGCCCGCCAGACCTCGTCATGTGGCCCGTGTAGCCGCCGCCGGCCGCCAGCCTTCACCTTTTATTCTCGCTTCTTCTTTTTTTATACAAGAAAGCCGCCTCTTCAGCGCATGCGCGGCAGCCTACAAGCCAGAGAACGTCTGCCCTCTAGCGGCGCCGGCCGTTCTACACAGGAAACCTCCATTTTACATGCATTCAGGAAACCTCCACTTGTTTTTATATTGAGCGCATGCCATCCTGTGATGTGACAGATCCAACGGCTGCCTGAACCCTTCTCTCCTGTACTGTAAGTACAGTTATTAGAGCTAGTTATTACTTACATTATTACAAAAAACAGTAATAATTGAATGCAGTGACAATAATTTATGATAATAAAGAGTGGACACATAGTCCTACAGATACAACCGGCCCTTTGAGGGTGACCAAACTGCTGATGCGGCCCCCAATGAATTTGAGTTTGACACCCCTGCTCTAAAGTAACAATTTTACTTGCAAGAAGATCAAATGCATCCATTCTTAAGGAAATCAGCCCTGAGTGGTCACTGGAAGGACAGATCATGAAGCTGAGGCTCCAATACTCTGGCCACCTCATGAGAAGAGAAGACTCCCTGGAAAAGACCCTGATGTTGGGAAAGATGGAGGGCACAAGGAGAAGGGGACGACAGAGGACAAGATGGTTGGACAGTGTTCTCGAAGCCACAAACATGAGTCTGGCCAAACTGCGGGAGGCAGTGGAAAACAGGAGTGCCTGGCGTGCTCTGGTCCATGGCGTCACGAAGAGTTGGACACGACTAAACGACTAAACAACAACAAACAATTTTACTAAAACCTGTATGTTGTTGCTCTCTACTGGGTGTTACTGTCAAATGTTTCTTCATACTTGATACTTTACTTTTGGTGTACCAAAATACCCGACGTAAAAATAAAACAATTAAGGAAATGAAAGCTTATATCTTAACCAATGGAACCTACCTGATCTTGCAGAGACATCACAGGATTGTTCTTGGTTGTGTTGATATGCAGAACATGGTACTTGTTCCGTGCACAAAGATCGTATGCAATGTTTGTGAAGGACGTGCTTGCAGTTTTAGGTACTCGATTATAAATGATCACCACATCATCATCTTCATCCAGAACAACATCTGACCGAAAGCCATCTATTGTGTGACGCTGCTCAATTTCTCGGACTTCGTGTTTTGCAATAGCCCTCTCTGTAAAATGAAACAGAGTGCACAAAACATTTTATAAGCAAATTTTCATTCATTCATTTGACCAAATTTCAATTTAAACCTTTTAAAAATGTGGTGTTAAGATACAATGCCTGGGAACTTTAATAATGAAACCTCCATTAAGGGTTAACAAGAGTAACGGAAGAAATATCTACGAGAAGACTTTTTCCACAGTAATTCCCCCCCCCCACCAGCCAATCTAAAAATAATTGCTACAAAACATCTAGCATTTTGCAATGATAGATGAAATGATACTGCACATAATATGAATTTTACAGAACATTAGCTACTGACCATTCAGGGTTTAGTCAATTAATTGCAAAGAGGAACTGAAATTTAGATAAAACGGATGTTGTGCTTATTTTAATTAAGCCCACTCCCCTGTGTATGATATAACAATGAATGGCTTTGCAAAATCCAATTAGATATATTAATTGCAAGTCTGATAAGAATAGAAGTGGAAGCAGCTTACGACACGATCATCATTTTTTTAAAAAAGGTGCAGAATGCCAATCCTGAATACAAAAACATAGCAAAACAGAAGTGAACAAAGCAGGAGAGGCAACTGCAATCCTTGAACTGAACAGCAGATAAAACTGGGACAGCACACACTTCAGCTCAAGTCCACAACATCCTTCCATGTAATTGCTAACTGACCTTACCCCACAGCATAGCCAGTAGTTGAATTAAGTGTCCTTTTTAAATGTATGCTGGGCTGGTCGCTGCTGTCTGGACTGAAAGCAGACTGCCTTGCCTTAATACTACTAATACAGTGGAACCTCAGGTTACAAATGCTTCAGGTTACATACGCTTCAGGTTACAGACTCTGCTAACCCAAAAATAGTACCTCGGGTTAAGAACTTTGCTTCAGGATGAGAACAGAAACTGTGCAGCAGTGGCGCGGCGGCAGCAGGAGGCCTCATTAGCTAAAGTGGTAACTCAGGTTAAGAACAGTTTCATGTTAAGAATGGACCTCCAGAACGAATTAAGTTCATAACCTGAGGTACCACTGTACTTGTTGCTGTCCAGCCATGCAACTCAAACTCAACATAGCCAAACCGCTTAATGCTCTCTCTCTCAGTTGCCTTCATTTCACGGCCACCATGCTTATTATAATAATCCCGCCAACTATTTCACATTCATTTAGCAAGCCAGGTGTAAACGACAACTCTACTTTTCTATGTACGAGTGCTTTGTTTGAAGCTTAGCAGCAGAACAACAGTGAAATGGAATGCTTGAGGTATTAGGGACATGCCCATGGCATGTTTGCAAGTAGGAAAAAGAGGAAGCATTGCCTTTCTGTATTCATTTCCTCTTTAGGTGCCCTGTCACATGTTCAATTATGTATTTTTACTACATGCACCCAACCCTAGCCTCTTATGGAAGGGCTGAATGAAAACACGAGGAGCTAACAAACAAAGCATATAGGTTTTGCAAACTAAAAGGCAACAGAGGCCTTTCTTGAAAATGGGTGGGGGCGTGCAACAGGCACAACTAAACTTATGCAGCTAAATGCTCGATTACCTGATATGTTCAATATTCAAAATGCTGGAAGACACAAAGTAAACCAACACACAAAAATGTCCATCATCATAATCCAGCAGGGTCCACAATATAAAATTAAATTCCAAAGGTTGAATTCTGGGCGTTTATGACCACCAGATGCTCAGACGACCAGCTGTCTTTCTTTGTCCTGCCCTTCCTGCCAGGTTTGCTCAACTCTTCCTGCAGCATCATATGCAAATTATTTAATTAGCTAACTGGCATAGTTGTCAAGAATACGCATAGGTTCATTCTTGATGTTAATTCAGCGCTACTGAATGATGTCACACTCTCAAATCCTTGCATCTAAAAGCCTATAAAGAAACACTCAGAAGAGCCAGAGCAGACTTCAACCACACTGTCTCAATATTCAGCTTGGCTCTATTCCATTTACAGACTCTAAGCATATGAGATTAAAATATTCTTTTCCCCAAATTAAGGAGAAAAGTGCTAGACCAGACAATAAGAACTTGAGATATCCTAATTAATAGTTACCTGTACAACTTCATATCTGTTCCCTTAGGGTATATGAATTATGATAGGGTCTAATTACATGTGGACCTTTTCTCTCTGTTACAGCATTTATCAGCATTTCAAACTAGGATATTCAGATTAACAGAAAAGGCTTTTCACTTAAGCTAAAAAGATGTAATTGATACAAGCATGGGGAAGTAAAACACACTCTCTATAGGTCAGAAACCCTGGTACTTGGGTTTTTTTAGCCTAATCTTTTGTCTTCCTGTCCTGTGCACACATATAAGCACACTGTTCATCTCCCTCCTTGGTTTCATACCTGTATGTTTATCCAAGATTTTACAGGTGAGTCATCAGGCTGTCAGGACCTCAACATCTCCTAGATTTGTGTTAATAAATTCCACTTTGGCTTGTCTCAAAACTTCTTACCTCATGATTCCAGACCTTTCCAACATCACAACATCTAATGTTCAAAATCATACACCGTTTTGTGGAATGCAAAAATCACAAGACCATACAATCACACATTACTTGGTCCATTCAGCTAAACAATGATTCGTTGGATCAATCAGGGAGGCGGGTCTCTAGTCTAACATGCGGTCTCCAACAGCCATCATTCATATTCCTCTGGAAACTCATAAGCAAGATATTAACTTATATGATTATGGTGATTTCCCATATTCAGCATCTCGCCACCAGAGCAGAATATATAGGCTCTATACCCACTGAAAGACTTAGTCTTTGTAAATCTGTCCATTCTTTAAGCCAGCTATATTTATGGCTGTCACATGTGACATTTCTCAATGAAATTCCAGGTTTTCAAAAACGCTGAGCAAAAAAGCCCCTTCCCTCCTGGGTATGAATGTATTTTATTGAAGACAACCACACAACTATGCATAGAGCTTGTGCTATTGAATGGGATTACAGCAAAAGAAGAAGGGGAGGGGAGCAAAGAGGAGGCTGGTGTTACTGAATATATGGCTGGCAAGTAGGCACAGCTTGAAAATTTCCCTATGACAAGCCAGATGGACATGAAATTGCTTTTAGAACTATTGGTGTTTTTTCTCAGTAGGACTATAGAAGCTCTGGTCGTACATTTAACCAAACTGGTGTATCTGGGTAGTTGGTGTTGGAAGACTGAGGTTCAGGGTGAAAAACAGCCACACATCTGTGGTAGCTGCCCTCAAGCAACTAGCCGAGGTCCAATTCTCTTACATGGCTCAACAGAGCTCGTGCTCTTTAAGATCAGGTTGCAAAAGACGACCTGCAACATCTTCCCTTCCCTGTCTCCTGAAAGGTGGAAAGACAGCTTCCCATTTTAAAGAGGGGAGCTAGGTTCCAAAGGAAGTATGTAAAACCCTTCCTACCGCCTTTTTATTGGGGGGGGGGAGAGAACAGCTTTACACACTACCCTCAAAATACAACAGTGGATTAAAAATCAGCCCTGTGTTCTGAAAACCGTTGAAGGAAAAATACGCTATCTTCTCTCCCTACCCTCCAAGTTCTAAAGAGGAGGAAACAGCTTTGGCACTCCCTTCCAAAAGCTGCTAATGAGACCCGCTCCAGCTGTAGACCAAAGGGCAGGAAGGAATAAAGGACATCCTACAGCTGTCAGAAAGCTCCTCTATTTCAGGGACAGCTTCACCAGGGAGTCAGTATGCAAGGTAAATTGCATTTGTTATCATTATTTGTATTCCACCTATCAGGATGCAAACCCTTCCAAGGTGGATTGCAAATAAAATCAAAACATATTAATAAAATCTCAATAAGACAGTATTAAAATGTAACAAGTCCTTAAAATCTATCCCATGGAGCTGCTGGTATCAGTCCGCCCAAGTGCTGTGGGGTCACAATCCAGCTGCAGCAGGTCCTGAGTTGTTGGGCAAAGCTTTATAGCAATAACAGCAGCTAATAAGGGCTGAGCGATGTCCGATTTTTAACATCGTGATATATCACCAGCTAAACATCACGATATACCAATATATCACGATGTCTGAAATGAGGATGGAACTATGCAGAGGCAAACAGGGTAATGTCCTGGCAACTGCTACTACTTAGGGGTCTAAAACGGATACGTTTTTGCTAACATATTGTCACAGCTGTTATTTTATAGTACAGTGGTACCTCAGGTTACAGATGCTTTAGGTTACATACGCTTCAGGTTACAGACTCCACTAACCCAGAAATATTACCTTGGGTTAAGACCTTTGCTTCAGGATGAGAACAGAAATCGTGCAGCGGCAGCGTGGGGGCAGCGTGAGGCCCCATTAGCTAAAGTGGTACCTCAGGTTAAGAACGGACCTCTGGAACAAATTAAGTTCTTAACCCGAGGTACCACTGTACAGAGCAACAGGGGCAGCAGGAATCATGAGAGAAGTGATGACCTGCATCACGGTTTTCCCCATATCACATTTTTTTGCATAGCACGTGCACACACACATTGCGATTCACTATATATCACTATGCCAAATATTATGAAACCATTATCACGATGTGGAGTTCAAATAAATTTTGGGCTATATATTGATACATCGCCAGCCCTAGCAGCTAACCCCAACTGCTCTCTCCTTGTCTGTGGTGGGCATTGCTTAAGCAAGTGAGGCAGGGGATGGCTAATGATTAAAAGAAACATAACATTTTTATGGTATTTTAAGCAAACAAACAAACAGGAAGAAAGTTCTGTTGCTTCTGTAACAACATTTCCTTCAGAAAGTGGAATGACTTTTAATTCACAGACAAATAATTTGCAGAACCATGCTGCGTTTTGGATGAAAAAATGCTGGACTGGCTGAGAGGTAATGAGAAGAAACCCTTGGCATTATCAGCTTCTCTAGTGATAATGTTGGTTTCTACTTCATTCTGCCTATAGATTCAAATTATTACACACAGCAATCACAGTTGGGTTAACTTTCAAACAATCCCTGCCAAAGGATCATAATTTAAAATATTGTCTACAAAGAACAAGAGGGGAGGAGCAGGATAACAGTTCTAAATCTAAAGATGATAGAAAAAAATCCTGAGAGCCATGCATTTCAAATAATATGTATGCGAAGGAGATATTTATTCCTAAATCATAAAAACCATGTGCCAGATACAAGTGGGCAGTAGATTCTAGAAGAATTCCATCAAACACTAGGCAATGATATATGAAAATATGTGAATGAACTACCAAAGGTAGATTTACATCACCTGTATTTGGTTATTCATTTGTTTTCTTTAAAAAAAGAAAAAAAGACAGAAGAATATGAACAGGAAGAGAATGCATGAAAAGGAGGAAGCTAAGAAAAATTGGAGGACATAATATGTAGTTCAAACAATGTGAAATAGATGGTATGAAACAAAGATCACCAACGAAACAAAACTTAAAGAGTACAGAGGCACAAAGCAGCTCAAAATGAAGGGACTGACATGTAAATAGCTCAAGCTGAATGAGAGAAGATAATTTAAACCACAGAACAGTGAAGAAGAATATAGTTGAGACAATAAGTGAAAAAGCACACACAGACACACATAGTTAATTGTAGGAAGTGAAAAGGGGGAAATAGATGCAGTGAGAAGCAAGTGGTTTAATTGTTCTCAATGTTGCTGTAAACTTTAAAGGAGGGGGGACTTCATAAAGTCTCTTAAAGAAAAAGGACTAAATGATCAACTCAAAGTCATAGTCAAAGACTGTGAACAGAAACAATCAACACTGCAGTAGCAGTCTCTAAAATAATGCTGGCAAAGGAACTCCCATTGTTTGAGGCGCATTTTGCGACAGGGAATTTCAACAGCACGACAGGGAATTTCAACAGTGCGAGCCATTTCTGAGCTCTGGGTGCAGTACTGCGCCTAAGATTTCAGGAGGACCTTTTTCTGCCTCCCCACTTCCAACTACTCTCCAAAGACTGGAGAAGGGACATCATAAGAATATTAGGGGGGCAGGGAGGGGAAGGACTAGACCCTGTGAAAATGAACGTAAGATTTTAGCTGCAGTTCATTCATTTTCAGCACTGTATTCTTGATATAAAAAAATGTGCCTGGACATTCCGTTGTTGCGTCCATAACCTCTGTTTAAGGTGCTATTTAGCTCCTAGCTTTCATATATCAGTTTCTAACACTGCAAAGAAGTAGAAAATAAGCTGAGTACCAAATGTCTTGAAGTGACAGCTAAACTTTGGACCGTTATCCCCATGAAATAGGTGATACGGGTGAGCAAAGTCCAGTTTATGTCAAAGTAGTCAAGGTTTGTGTTTAAGAACAATGAACATTCCTGAATGCCCCATTCCCGATAGTGTAACAGTTAGAAGAAAGCTACCCAGACTTCACACTTCTTGGCAGCCTAAGCAGCCCTCTCAGGAGAAGACTTTCAGGAAAGCCACTCAGCTTGCAGTACAGAACAGCTGACACAGCAGCTTTCAGCTTCAGCAACCTCCTTCTCTCAGCTAGAGCAATGTACACAGTGTACAAGCTGTAAGTGTTGATTTTCCTATGTAGGAAAATAATCTGTTCAGTTTCTCTAGGTGCTCCCTGAATTTGAGACATTTCTAACTATGTCACAGTTTCCCTAATGTAAAACTATTCTTCTGTAAGCCTGTGAGATGTCCTACTAACTAAGCTATCTTCAGGACTAAGGAGCAGGATTCAAAATTACCAGGCGCATTTTGCGCCTAAGATTCTCAATTTGCGAGCACCTCCAAAAGTCTGCTATTTTTTGTGTCTGGCTGACACTCAAGGATTACTGAAATGTATGTGCTTTGAAGCCTCGAAGTATATGTTTAGGATAGACAATATGTTAAGCAGTTTAACAATAAAGAGTAGAGTGTTTTGAAAACTGAAGTATGGTACCAATATTTTTCTTGTAAACACCAAATTAAACATGTATTAACAATTTCTGCTTAAAATGTGACATTAACAATGTGTCACTTACATGAATTGTGTATTAGTTCATGCTTATAAAAATAATAAATAAAAAGTGTTGCCGACCCACCCCGCCCTGACGATTAGGCATTCTGCTTTGGCGCCCACAACCCGGGTCCCAGGAGCCATTTGGCTCCTAGCTTTTCTACCCCAGTTTCTAACACTGATACGGAGTACTTTTTTTCCTCTTCCTTTCTTGGGCATCCCCTTTAACCTCATTTCCCCTTCTTGGCACTTGTATGATAATAATAATAATAATAATAATAATAATAATAATAATAATAATAATTTATTTATATCCCACCCTCCCGGGCTCAGAGCAGCTAACAACAATAAAAGTAACACAGCATTCTAAAATCAATTCATTTTAAAATCAATTCAAAATCAAATTAAATTAATGGCAACCATTGGGCTAGTTCTGTGAGGATTACCAAAGGAGGGGATCAGACTGTGCCTTGGCCAAAGGCCTGGTGGAACAGCTCTGTCTTGCAGGCCTTGCGGAAAGATGTCTAGTCCCACAGGGCCCTAGTCTCTTGTGACAGAGCGTTCCACCAGATCGGGGCCACAGCCGAAAAAGCCCTGGCTCTGCTTGAGGCCAGCCTAACCTCCCTGTGGCCTGGGACCTCCAAGATGTTTTTCATAGAATCACAGAATCAGAGTTGGAAGAGACCACAAGGGCCATCGAGTCCAACCCCCTGCCAAGCAGGAAACACCATCAGAGCACTCCTGACATATGGTTGTCAAGCCTCTGCTTAAAGACCTCCAAAGAAGGAGACTCCACCACACTCCTTGGCAGCAAATTCCACTGTCGAACAGCTCTTACTGTCAGGAAGTTCTTCCTAATGTTTAGGTGGAATCTTCTTTCTTGTAGTTTGGATCCATTGCTCCGTGTCCGCTTCTCTGGAGCAGCAGAAAACAACCTTTCTCCCTCCTCTATGTGACATCCTTTTATATATTTGAACATGGCTATCATATCACCCCTTAACCTCCTCTTCTCCAGGCTAAACATGCCCAGCTCCCTTAGCCGTTCCTCATAAGGCATCGTTTCCAGGCCTTTGACCATTTTGGTTGCCCTCCTCTGGACACGTTCCAGTTTGTCAGTGTCCTTCTTGAACTGTGGTGCCCAGAACTGGACACAGTACTCCAGGTGAGGTCTGACCAGAGCAGAATACAGTGGCACTATTACTTCCCTTGATCTAGATGCTATACTCCTATTGATGCAGCCCAGAATTGCATTGGCTTTTTTAGCTGCCGCGTCACACTGTTGGCTCATGTCAAGTTTGTGGTCAACCAAGACTCCTAGATCCTTTTCACATGTACTGCTCTCAAGCCAGTTATTCTGGGCTGTGTTTCCTTTGCTGAATCATTTGCTTCAAATTCTTTAGGTCGGGCATTGTTTTCTTTATCGGAGAAGACTGAGGCAAAGAAGGCATTGAGGAGTTCAGCCCTTTCTGTGTCCCCTGTTTGCATTTCACCATCTTCTCCTCTGAGTGACCCCACTGTTTCTTTGTTCTTCCTTTTGCTACTGAACATACCCATAAAAGCCTTTTTTGTTGCTTTTAACCTCTCTAGCAAGCCTGAGTTCATTCTGTGCTTTAGCTTTTCTGACTTTGTGTCTACACGTGCTGGCTATTTGTTTGAATTCCTCTTTGGTGGTTTCCCCCTTTTCCATTTTTGTACACATCCTCTTTTAATCTTAACTCAGTTAAAAGTTCTTTAGATAGCCACCCTGGCTTCTTTAGGCACCTTCCATGTTTCCGTCTCATTGGTATTGCCTGACGTTGTGCTTTTACTATCTCCCTCTTAACAAACTCCCAGCCATCATGAACACCCTTTCCTTTTAGTATTACTGTCCATGGGATCTCACCCAGCACTTCCCTAAGTTTTATGAAGTCGGCTTTCTTAAAGTCAAGAAATTGAGTCCTAGTATGCTTGGCTGCTCCTTTCCGCTGTATAGTAAACTTCAGAAGAGCATGATCACTCGCGCCTAATGATCCTTCCACTTCTACCCCACTAACCAGGTCATCAACATTGGTTGGGACCAGATCTAAAATGGCTGTTCCTCTTGTTGCTTCTCCCACTTTCTGGACAATGAAGTTGTCTGCAAGGCCAGTGAGGAATCTGTTTGACCTTATGCTCTTGGCTGAGTTTGACATCCAACAAATATCCAGGTAACTGAAGTCCCCCATTACTACTATCTCCCTTCCTTTTGCATGCTTGGCCATCTGTTCCAGGAAGGCATCATCTATGTCCTCCGTTTGGCTTGGGGATCTATAGTAAACTCCCACAGTGAGGTCACTGTTATTCTTCTCTCCCTTAATTTTGACCCAAATGCTCTCACTTTGGCTTTGAGGTTCTAAATCTTGGATCTCTTCACAGGTGTACACAGCCCTGACATATAACGTCACTCCTCCTCCTTTCTTGTCTGGTCTGTTTCTCTGAAATAGATTGTATCCCCCTATTATTACATTCCAATCGTGGGACTTATCCCACCAGGTTTCAGTGATGCCTATTATGTCATATTTAGTTTGCTGTACCAAGAGCTCAAGCTCATCTTGTTTATTTCCCATGCTTTGCGCATTAGTGTACAGACATTGAAGTCCATTAATCATTCCCCGTGTCTCTTATTTAAGGATTTTTTCCTCCCACCACTAGGTCTGCGTGCTGTTTGCTCCATTTGGTCTATGACATTTGGATGATCATCTTCATCAATTGATAGACTCCTACCTTCAGGAGCACTGTCTCCCTCCCCACATTAGTCAGTTTAAAGCCCTCCTAATGAGGTTTCTGAGATTTTTGTCAAAAACATTTCTCCCAACCGTTGTGAGGTGCAGCACATCACTTGCCAGAAGTCCATCTTCAAGAAACTGCAGTCCGTGATCTAAGAATCCAAACCGTTCCTGTTTACACCATTTGCGAAGCCAGCTGTTCACTTCCACTATTTTTCCCTCTCTCCCTGGGCCACGTCGTTCAACTGGGAGAACAGATGAGATGACAATTTGTGCATTTAATTGCTTCAATTTCCTGCCCAGAGCCTCGTAGTCTCTTTTGATCTTCTCGTCTATTGCTTGCAGTGTCATTGGTTCCCACATGAACCAAGAGGAAGGGGTATTTGTCAGTGGGTTTTATGATTCCTTGCAGTCGTTCAGTTACATCTTGGATCTTAGCCCGGGGAGACAGCACACTTCCCAAGACATCTTGTCAGGCCCACAGATCACTGCTTCTGTTCCCCTCAGTAGGGAATCCCCTATCACCACTACACGCCTCCTCTTAGGTTTGGTCGGGGTTCTTCCGTGAGCTGTCCGTTCCAAGGTCGCCTGCACATTCCCTGAGGCCTGACTTTGCTGCTCGTCTTCATATACCTGATCGACTGCAATGAGGGAGAGATCCTCAAATGGAGTCTGCTCTTCGTCTTCCATGCTAGGGGAGAGGACCTCAAAGCGATTGTGTATTTCTAAACAATCAGAGAGAACCCTGGGCCTCCTACTTCTTTGAGTCACGTTTCTCCATATATCTGGCTCCTGTGTTGGTGAACTAGCCTCCTTCTCAGGGGAGTCCCCTGTCTCTTCCTTGGTGGAGACGGTGTGCTCTGTTGCTTCCAAGAAGAGCTCCAGCTCTCTAATTCTTTGGAGCGTAGCTACACGTTCCTCCAGTTGCTGGACTTTGTCTTTTAAGAGGGCAATAAACATGCAATTGCTGCAGGTAAAGCTGCCTGCAACCTTTGGGAAGATGGCAAACATTGCGCAGGAACCGCAGGCGACTGCAGCTGTTCCCTCCCCCTCCATCTTGAGAACGTGTCGTTGGGGGTGGCTACAGCGGTCCTCCATCATAAAAAGTGTGAAGACAGGACAAATAACTCCCCCACAAAAAACCTAGGTCTCCCCAACAAACGTTTGAGACTAGCTCCCCTAAATCTAAAAGATGGATCAAACTGTGCGCGCCGCTGCCCTGCAAGCTCTGATAAGCTCCTCCCACAGCTAATCACCTGCCTCAACAGAAACCCTGCCCCCTCTGACCTTTGCACAGGGAGAGCAGCTAATCAGCCACAAAGAAACACACACACACACACACACACACAAGAAAACCCTTTTTGCTCCTTCTTCAACTGCTGCCCTGCAAGCTCTGATAAGCTCCTCCCACAGCTAATCACCTGCCTCAACAGAAACCCTGCCCCCTCTGACCTTTGCACAGGGAGAGCAGCTAATCAGCCACAAAGAAACACACACACACACAAGAAAACCCTTTTTGCTCCTTCTTCAACTGCTGCCCTGCAAGCTCATATTTTTTTGTTTGAGGATAAAATTTTGTTGAGTACCCCATGTAGCCCTGGGGCCAGAGGGTTGCCTAACATTATGTGAACTATTAGTTATTTAAGGAGAGCATAACCTTTTGAAGTTGGATGGTGAAATTTTCCAGATTTTAAAGGTGCTGAGTACTAAATGACTAATATTTTGCTCACTACTTCTGATGAGATGCGTTAAGTTGGTAAATGGAATTTAAAATATTCCAGAATACATTGGAATATTTTACTTGCATTATTCAGAAACATCCATCAAATTGGAAGTTATTTAGCAGGTCAGGGTTCTTTTGCAATTGTCACGATAAAAATTTTCAACTCAAGGATATGTTTTTAAAGTGAGATGCAACTAGAGAGGAAACACACATTCAAAGGGCACATGGTAATCCCTGGAATCAATCATTAGGCTTTCGGTCAGCCCAAGTGACTCCTAAAACTGTTGGAAGAGCCATAGTAAATAAAAAGATTGCAAAAACCCAGCACTGTTAATACATCTGGCCTGTGACGCTAGTGCTATAAAAGTATAGTTTTGTTTGCAGAGCACGTAACAAACTTAAGCGCTAATATCTTTCTACATGAATTAGAAACGATTCCGTTAGGACCAAAAATCCAGCCAATGCATTAATCAGAGTGCAACAGACATTTGATAGGATGAAAAAAGCCCTTGTTTCAAATTCTCCATACTTCATCTGGGTGTGTTAGTATGTGGCATAACTCAAATAAAAGCAGTATTTTGCTTCACTTAAAAAAGGACTGCTCCTTTCAAAGACCTACTTACAAAAAATCTTATAAAGATATAATCTGCAGCTCAGAGTAGAGATGGATTTATGATAAAGATGATGAGATTACAGCTATTTCCAGGTCTATGAGCTGGATGCAATTTAGACTAAAGGATCACATTTGCTACACCACAACCCTCAAAATAAAACATTTTTTTTAAAAAATACATGACATTGGAACAAAAAACCCCCTCAGATTTCTATACATTGGCCTCATTCAGCTCTGTGCTAGCTTAATTTGAATCTGAAAAACAGTGGATTGCATAAGAGACGTGTACAGACCTCTCTCATTCTTTACAATGGCCTCTTGGGTGTTGCATCTACCTTGGTGGCAGAAGGAAGGGTTGAGTGTATAAAACAACACCGTATTAAGATAAATGGGACCGACTTTGCACATAGGCACTATGCTCATCCCTGACAGGACTGAAGCAATGCCATTTAAAATTATATCTGCTCTTCCGCACTGTGTATGTCTAAAATGCACTTAGATTTGTGCACATGTTGGCAGTAATTTAGTATTTTTGAGTCTATTTTGTCCACAAAGGGACCATTTTGTAGTTTGTAGTAATGTCCTAGAAATGTGAAGTGCTTGTTTCTGATGCTGCTATGAGATTTCAGTTAGAGTTCAATTTCTTGAATACAAAAGCTGCAACATATAGAGTAGAAAGAAGATTAGAACACACAACCACATAGGATCAAATTCACATAGATTATAATGTGGACCTTTCCTAAAAGTCCTAGTGGCCATAATTGGATTATCAACAAAACTAGCTCTAGCTCACCTGAATTGTTTTGTATTCTTTATTTCTTTAAGGCTAGCTAGAACGGAGGTCCATTCTTAACCTGAAACTGTTCTTAACCTGAGATACCACTTTAGCTAATGGGGCCCCCCACTGCCACCGCGCCGCCGGAGCACGATTTCTGTTCTCATCCTGAAGCAAAGTTCTTAATCCGAGGTACTATTTCTAGGTTAGCGGAGTCTGTAAACTGAAGTGTTTGTAACCTGAAGCGTATGTAATCCAAGGTACCACTGTACCGAGAATACCGCAGATGATAGCAGTGTCTAAGTAGAAATCGTCTAAGTGTCTGGGAAAATCCGGATGTATGGCAACGTCTCCTAAAAATAGCTCGAAAATGTCCTTGTTTGAAATATGGCAACCTAGGGGAGGTATGAGAAGCACATGCAACAGTAATACTGGCACTTTAAAAACAGTACAATGCCATGGCAAACATATAAGCTGCTGCAAGTCCACTACTGGCGACAGCCACAATGGGATGGAAAATGGTTGGCAAGGCTGACTTCTCCGAAGAGTTATTTGCATGAATGCCGTAAATAATTGGTTGGAAAGTGCCCTCTGCTCATGGAAAAGCTATTTTATATTTTGAACTGGAGTACTGTGCAAGAAAGGTGAAGCTAAATCCAAGTGTGTTCGTCCATTTGCAGAAAAGAACGGGCAGATTCTTCTATGGAGCCTCTTAGCATTGAGCCAACTTTTACGCTACCACTTGTACAAGTGTCTGTGAGCAGCTATTTCCCTTCTGTTCATGATTCGTTGGATACAACCCCATGTAATTAAGCACTATCAAGAAACAAAACTGCCCTGGATCACATTAACAGCCAAACCCACTAGCAGCTAGTCTTCTACACTTAATTCTAGTATGCCCCTCCACCGAAGACATTAATGACTATTGTAGCCACTTTGCTATAAATAGCATTAGACTAATGAACCAGTATTTACTAACAATGTCCAAAGTGTTTATTTTCTCCAACAGCGAGTAAAAACATCTTTAGACGAGAGAGCAAGTAGCATTGCTGATGATAGCCTATGCACAACAGAATTATTTCCACACTCCAGCAATCACACCTGGTGCTCTGTTCGACTGGTAAGCAAAGTCAGCTAAGACAACTCCAGCTGGGCCTCGATATCATTAAATACAATCTAATGCAGCAGCTGTCTGAAAATTAGAGCTACTGATGCTGAAAACCTGCTAGGGTTTCATTAGCATCACATAATCCTTTTCAGGAATTCTACAATTTCTAAGATTGTATGAGCATACTGCACCCTACGGAATACACACACTGTACACTGGAAACCTCAAAAGGTTTAGCTTGCCAAACTAAAATAAGACCGTTATGCAATGCTGAAGTCTGCTACACTTAGTGATGTATGGCAGCTTAATTTGAGCATCCTGTCCTGCAAGACGCATGGAGTTCTAGATTACATGGGGGTGAGCGAAGGGGGTTGCAGTTTCCTGTGAAGAAGTGTTCGCCAAACTTGGGTCTCCAATTGTTTTGGGACCAAAACTCCCATCACCCATAGCTAGCAAGACCACTGGTCAGAGATGATGGGAATTGTAGTCCAAAACCAAGTTTGGGAAGCACACTGCTGTAAAGGTTCATTCAGTGGTCATCCATACATAAACAATCCCATGTGTGTGAATGCGCAGAGGCATGGAACCTTCTTCGGTTCTAGGCTTGGGTGGGGGGCCCAAATATGGGCCTACTAGGGTCTACTATATAAAAAGGTAAAGGACCCCTGGACCGTTAAGTCCAGTCAAAAGCGACGATGGCGTGCGGCACTCATCTCGCTTCAGGGCAAGGGAGCCCACGTTTGTCTGCAGACAGCTTTTCCAGGTCATGTGGTCAGCATGACTAAACTGCATCTCGTGCAACGGGACACCATGATGGAAGCCAGAGTGCATGGAAACGACATCTACCTTCCCACCGCAGTGGTACCTATTTATCTACTTGCACTGGTGTGCTTTCAAACTGCTAGGTTGGCAGAAGTTGGGCAGAGCAAGGGGAGCTCCCTCCGTCACACAGATTCGAACCGCCAACCTTCCGATTGGCAAGCCCAAGAGGCTCAGGGGTTTAGACCACAATGCCACCCACATCCCTTTACAGGCCTGCTATACTCCCATCATCCCCTATGGCTGACCATGCCAGCTGGGCTGATGCAGGTAGAGTCCAGCAATATCTAGAAGGTAACAAATCCTCCACCCTTGCTCTAGGAGGAAGGTATATCCACCCTCCCCTTCAGGTCTTCTTGCTCAGTTATTTTCCTCGCTGCTGTGCAATCAGAAAGACAACGCTATGATATTACAGAAACAGCAACTAATTCCATATTTGACAGTTTCATTTACATACACTATATAGGCACTACCGCCATGCAATCTAATACATAACTCCCAAACTACTTATTTACTGAGAGCTTCTGACAAGGACATTAACATTTAACAACATATAGCGTCTGTGGTGAGGGTTTTATGCCATGTGGGAGTGTGTATGTTAATGACTGGGGGAAGCTGCTTTCCATTCTTGCTGATGTATATGTCTCACAGCAGGAAGGTTGACTCTTGGGAAGGGCAACTGAAAGCACTAAGCATGGTCACTGGATGAAAGACTGCAATACTACACCAAGAGCGGCTACCTGGTGAACCTTTCCTGACAATTGTGCAATGAATGTGCGGAAGCAATGCTCCTCTCAGCAGCACACTGTACATTTGCATTGAAGCCATGCTAGAAATTGCAAGTGGGGCTTTAGAGTTTGTAGGTCTTCAGCCCAATGAGCATATGAGCCAGCTGCATGCAGAGGATTCATTGCATACAGAAAACTTGGCTGGGAGAGCATTACTCACCACAGGCAACCAGGCCAGCTGCTAAATCAGAAGCCAGGATTTGTAACATTTTACATTCAGAAAGGAGGTGTTGTATGAATTGTTCTTAGCAATGATTATCTAATGTTAACCATATGCAAACAGGTTATCCAGAAATAAAAAGCAAGCTATAAAGGTTTATTTCTTTTCATTTTAAATATTTTTATTGATATGTTAACAAGCACAAACACAAGAATAAAAAATGCTACAAAGACTTCTAAAATATTCACTGTTTCCTTATTCGCAAATGATGCTTTTTGATCTGCAAGACACATTTTTGCTCAACTTAGAAAATGCAGTTTATCTGAAAGCTCTTTTTAGGCACATATTTCATACTGGAAAATTCTATAGACATGAAACTGTACCATTCTTTCCCTATGGCTTTTTAGAAGCATAGTAACAGCCTATCACAAACTCATTTATACACTTCTTTTCTTCTCCTCCTGTCATTACTGCTTCTTTATTTTTTTCTGTTCAAAGTGACTGCAATGGCTGTTTGCTATAAAGCTGCTGGATTCTCTCAGCTCAGCCAGAATCAAGCCAATACTATATTTTCTAACAGAAATGCCATCATACCCAGAATCTCAGATGAACCTGATCAAAAGAATAATTAGCGGTGAGGAAGGAGCTCTCCAAAACGTTACTGTATCTCACACTGACAAGATGTAAAGTCTCACAGGACGAGAGATTGTTTTTTGACAAACGGACAGTGCCCAAAGAGGGAAAGGATTTAAAGAGCAATACTCTAGGTATGCAGATGAAATGCATTTGCAAAGGAATGTACTCCAGCTGGTAACAGTGAGTGGATGCTCATAAGAGCTTCTGGGAGTTAATCCAGTTCAGTGCCAGATTAAGCTTCTAATTAAAACAGTCTTCCCTGTCTGCATAAGATAATACTTTTGGCTGAAAACCAGTTCCCTTCTCTCTCTCTCTCTCTCTCTCTCTCTCTCTCTCTCTCACACACACACACACACACACACACACACACACACTTGAATACAGCTTGATCAACCAAAGTATCAACATTAAATGTTTCAGCTGTATTTTGGCAGGGATTGGCAGTATGCTCTATGTCCACGTATGCAGAATTAAACAGACTGAATACAGTGGTACCTCAGGTTACATACGCTTCAGGTTACAGACTCCACTAACCCAGAAATAGTACCTCAGGTTAAGAACTTTGCTTCAGGATGAGAACAGAAATCATGCTCCGGCAGCACGGCAGCAGCAAGAGGCCCAATTAGCTAAAGTGGTGCTTCAGGTTAAGAACAGTTTCAGGTTAAGTACGGACCTCCGGAACGATTTAAGTACTTAACCCGAGGTACCACTGTACCAGCAGAAAGAAAAATCCTACTGTAAAGACAACCAAACAATGCTAGAGTGCATATTCATGTCTGAATGTGAGGACCTACTTTACTGCTTCCGTCACAGCCTCAAGCTATGGGTCAGTGGAGTTCTTCAGGGTGGTCTGTAGGCTGCTGATGCCTATATCAGCAGATGGAGTCTAGGACACCTCAGAGACCCTATCTGAGGACAATTTTTTGCCACTGTAGTGAGAGCTAGATGCCATGGCTGATGCAGCTCTGAGTGAGTTTTCCAGTTCTCCTCTGAAATCACCATGCAGATTCTGTGTCCTGTCTCTGGCCACAACCAGTTTGAGTGTTATAGTCCTGATAGACAAGGTGTTCCCAAACTTCATTCAGGTGGTCCTCAGCATGTCCCCATCAAATAGTCATATGGATTTTAATTATCTTTTTATTCCTTCTTTTCTTATATTTTATTTCGCTGTGTTACATTACAATTACAATTTGCTACAATTTGCAGAAAAATCAGTAAGTGGTCCACCAAAAGACTCAGCAGTTTTTAAGTCGTGGCGGGGGGGGGGGGGGCGTGTCAGGAAAGGACTGTGTTAAGAGCATTGGCATGACCAAGCAAGCCAATCTTCATGTGCTTCTAAGTGTTCGGTTCATTTAAAATTAGACACGATGAATGTCAACTGAATCAACCAAATCAAGAAGTAGCCTTACATACTGCTAAATGAAGGATTATGCACAGCAGAAAGAGTGACAGTAAATATGCAAAGTTAAACAGTGAGACTATGGCAAGATGCCATTCCTATGATATTCTCATACTATGATCTTCTTAAATAAGAGGGAAAGGAGCATAACCTAGGTGCCTCATCACTGCATAAATATCTGCTCCTATTTAGACTTTCTAAATTTAAGGTTTTATTTTATGCAACCGAATTAATCTCTTTCCCGCAGCAGTCAAGACAATGAACTCTCACATTAACCCATTTCTAATACAGTTGAGAATCCCCTGCTTTCTACAAGGAAATACGGTAATATGTATGCTACTTATATAAACAAGTGGTTCATATCAGTAATATTGAGTCATTTAGAAATACTGTCCATAATTTGATTTCACTTCATGGATATGCTGTGGAGAAATGGAAGTGGCAGAATGGGAACGGAACCAAGGTTCATCAAGGGTCATACTCTGAAGGTTAAATTAGGGTGAGGGTGGGGATAAGCTTTTTCACATCTCACAATTATAGCACTGTTTACAGCACAGGTCGCGGGTGGCGCTGTGGGTAAAACCTCAGTGCCTAGGACTTGCCGATCGTATGGTCGGTGGTTCGAATCCCTGTGGCGGGGTGAGCTCCGGTCCCAGCTCCTGCCCACCTAGCAGTTCGAAAGCACTCTTAAGTGCAAGTAGATAAATAGGGACCGCTTTATAGCGGGAAGGTAAACGGCGTTTCCGTGTGCTGCGCTGGTGCTGGCTCGCCAGCTGCAGCTTCGTCACGCTGGCCACGTGACCCGGAAGTGTCTTCGGACGGCGCCGGCTCACGGCCTCTAGAGCGAGATGAGCACGCAACCCTAGAGTTGGACACGACTGGCCCGTACGGGCAGGGGTACCTTTACCTTTACCTTACAGCACAGGTACTTTTTTCAAAGCAGAGCTTGCTTCTCAGCAAAAGGCTTGCCGACCAACATTATTATGACAATTTTGTCGTGATTACACTTCAATCAATACACAATCTCAAATCACAGTCAAACAGAGAAAACCAAAATTTCAGAAGCTTGTTGTGATGACACCTCGACTGCAAGCTGACATGCTGTCATATCAACTGCAGGCAGAGAAACATTGAAAGAAAAGCACAGGGATTGGATGAACTCTGCAGAACACACTTAGAAAAGGTGCCACAAATACCACTAAATTCTGCCATGACATGACCTGCTACGAAAAGGACCACAAAAATGGCCCCCTTTATCATCATGCAAATACCAACTTCCCAAATCCAGCTCTTCCAGATAAAATATTCCATTCTCTCTCCCCTTCTCTGAAGCACCGCCTGCAGTCTTCACTAGATAGCAAAAGTGTGTTGTCCCCCAGCACTGGTTGATATCGCAAAACACAATGAAATTTTGTCTTGGTGAGAGATGATAGAAAATGTTACAGTAAAGGTGACCTTGGGTACAATCTGAAATTGCAAAGATTTTGAGGAGGTGAGAATGACAACTCCTTTCCTCCCTTTCCAGCTGTGTGTCCTAGAAGCATGCAAATGATTCTGCAGCGCTAAAACAAGAGACACTAAAGTGTTGGATGTATTTCCTAGAAAGGCAAAGAGGTTACCCAAAGAGTATACATCCTGCACAGCTAGGAATGTGTAAGACCAGTCATTTCAGTGGGTATTCTGGCTCTGTGAACAGTAACATATTACGTAACTGAAAGAATCTGAAAAGCATTTCAGATTTCAAAAGAAAATGACAAACAAGCATTTGTCACTTTTCCACCTCAAAAGACTAGAACAGAGCTTTAGTTTCAATGTAAGGATCTCAAAATATATATATATAATGTCTGCAGTGAACCTTGCAAACTAATGATTTAGTTAACTGCCAAAATTTTGACAAGCAATCTGGTCCAAGTTACAAACATTATTCCAACTGAAAAACACACAGAGAACCTTCTGTGTCTATTAAGCTATTTATTTTATTTTATTTTATTTTATTTTATTTTATTTTATTTTATTTTATTTTATTTTATTTTATTTTATTTTATTATTTTATTTTATTTTATTTTATTTTATTTCTATACTGTCCTTCATCCGAGGATCACAGGGTGGTTTGCAATATAAAAACACAAAAATACATTAGAATAGTAACAAAAACAAAACACAATAACCCCACATATTTATTTATCAAATAGATTTTATTCCACAAATGCAACATGAACAAATCATCAGTATCTATTTTTCCCATTGATTGAACAGGATGATGGAGCTCAGAACACACACCAATTAGACCACCAAAATCTACCTATCAGCTTGCTAAATGAAATTCTAAATATTGTTATAATATTGATAAATCAACTAATGAACACTTCAGTTTCTTCAACATACAGACTACAAAGTACACTTCTTTCTAACGCTAGCTTTTTGTTCTGCTTTTTGAAGCGGCAACTGTTTTAAAAACAGTTTTTGAACCTGGAAGCAAACAGCACAGATAGAGATGATATTATTGAGATGTAAAAGCATATCAAACTCTACTTCGGTCTTAAATAGTTGAACTGATGGCATTAAGGCTCTTCCACTTATTTTAGAAATAATTTCATCTATTTTCTCTTTCTTCATAACTGCAAGTTTCACTGCTTATTCCACCTCATTTAGAGAGTCCAAAATCTCTTAATGAATACCAACATACTTTGGTGGAATCTACACACATATAAAAAAAATGCTGTGAAAATGCTTTTTAAAAAAAGTTTTGAAAAATACATTGAATTTGGCATAGCTCACTGTCACCATCTAGTGTCACATTTGTATATTGTGCTTTACAACACACTTAAAATGTTTAATTTGCAGCTGTATTGCTGAGTCCTTTGTTGGTTCATCAGGATTCTTGAGGCTATTTGCAGATGGAGGACTTCTAAAACCATAAGTTTGTTTGTTTTTACAATTGCTTGTGATCATGTGGTAAATTGGGTGGAAGGAATATCAAGGGCTGCTGGAACCTTTGTGTCGCTCCCCCATGTGATGAAGCGCCAAACTGCAGGTGGCAGGCTTCTTAGGGAAGAAACTCCGAAAATGACTTTGTCCATCTGGCTGACCGCTGCGTCTTTCTGAGCCACTGATACTCGCATGAGCAATAAGGTCGTCCAGAGCTCTGGTGTGTTCCTGTATTTTGGCCTGTCCTCAGCTCTTTAGTTCTGACTCCTGATTCGTTTCTGGCTCTTGCCTTGAGGTTTATTCTTCTGCCTTGCTCACTGGTTCCAGCCACTGGCTTGTCTCGCAGTTCCTGGTTCCCGACACATTTCAGACTGCAGACATAATTTCTTTGGTAATGTTTCCTCTCACAATATCATGTTAATTCTCCAAAGCTGGTAACTGAAATTCCATTTGTCACATTCTCAGAAGAATGTGAGTGTATAAATAGTATAGCTGGATCCTGATACAGCCCTCCCCCCAACACACTTATCACTTCATCAAGTATAGATGAGATTCATATTCATAACTGTATCAATATTTAACTCTTTAAAAACTGAACTGGCTTTCCAACCACGTCTGTTGATATTTTGGTTTACAAGGGACTTCAAATAAAGCCATTGTTTATGATTATGTAATGCTTTTGTTTGGAAGGGGAAAATCCATTTTACTGCATGCTTTAAACCAGGCATAGGCAAACTCGGCCCTCCAGCTGCTTGGGGACTACAACTCCCATCATCCCTAGCTAACAGGACCAGTGGTCAGGGATGATGGGAACTGTAGTCTCAAAAAACATCAGGAGGGCTGAGTTTGCCTATGCCTGCTTTAAAGATTGTTCATGCCATTTTATTCAATATTTGCTAGGGTGGAGTAAACTAAGAATCAATTTCAGAGAAAAAATGCATTTCCTTCCTTAAAAGAAAATATGTACTATAAATCAGTGCTTTATTATCATTATTATGTATTAAATTTTGATACCACCCTTCATCTGAGGATCATGGGGCGCTTTACAATATAAAAACACAAAATATGTTCGTGAGGAATACTTGGCAAGGAAGAGCACAAGAAAAAGAAATGTAATGGCGCTGTCTAGCCCTAACAGAGCTCATGAACTCAGACCAGCCATCTTTCAAATCTGTCAGAGGCAAGCATTTGACAATCTTTATTTCCCATCTAGATTCTAGAGACTAATTTGTTAGATATCTTTGTAGTAGAAATGTATGAAGCTAGCCGATAATCTGCACTCAGTTCTATTTTTTAAGCCTGTTGTTTTTTATGATTCAGAACTGATAGACTTTGACCCTTGAATAAAGTACCAGATCTAGAAACAAGAAAGGATTATTAGATATAAATCGTATGGGAGGTATTTGCATATAGATTATTGTAACCAGATCACCACTAGAGGGAGTGTAAGATCATGCTTCCCTGTGATACTTTTGAGGTCCAACCAGGCAAAAATAGTTGTAGTTTTTAATCATTGTTGAACAGAATTGCTCTATGGACTGATACTTCAGAACATCATTTTCAAAATATTTTCCACCTCAAAAAAAGGCATCAATGTTAACTTCGGTACAGAGTAACCCTTTCTACAAGACAAATTAAGGGGGGGAGGTTGTTTTTGTTTTTGCTGTCAGGAGAATAAGGGGGTCTGCAGGGTAGCCCGGCAGCAAAAGACAATACCCTACACCTGGTTGACCTGGTAACATGGCAGCAAAAAAGAGTATTTTTTGGAGGATGGATGCTGGGCGAATCAGGGGTCTACAGAGTAGCATGGCAGCAAAAGAAAAGGTTCAATGCCCGTATGGGACAGCTGCATATTCCTGCACTGCAGTGGGTGGGACCAGATGATCCTCAGGGTCCCTTCCAACTCTAGTGTTCTATAATTGCAGTCTAAAACTAGCTGTAGTTCCTGGGGAGTGAAAACTCTGTGCACAATGAAAAAACAGGCTCCATATTCTGTGTGGCTGACCTACGCTGCTTAAAGAGGCTGGGAGGTAGGAGGAGCTGGAAGGTAGAAGTGCCGCAATCTGAATGAAAGTCGCTTCAAACAGAAGGCAAGACTTGAGAAATGGAAGTCTTAGCGGACATCTGTCTTGGCTTGGATGTGCTCTTTGGTAATGCCATACTAGAACACTGCAGAGTAAGATATGGAAAAGTGGGAGCTTTGCTGGGGAAACATAGTAGAATGAGCCCAACAGAGCTAAGGACAACTTACAGGAGCTGTGGGCGAGTACTGCTTTGTAGTAACTCATGTTGGAAGAAAACAAGTAATTGTCTAGAGATTGACATGGCCCAAAATTGCCTTTCTTCCACATCCCGTGAATTGCTCCACCCTCCTGGATAACTGAGGTTGCTCCCCGTTTCTATTCTTCCCGCCACCCTTGGCTGTGAAAACCACAACCTTTCCTGTTTCCGAGAGATTTCCTCACCCTTCAAACCGACTATCACCTTCCCTGTCAGCAGCCACACCGCTTTCCCAGTATCAGATATTAATGCACACTGTGCAGATTTCAATATCCCATGACTGAATCTGAACCGACACAATAATTTCCAGATATCTGCACTATCAGTGACAGGACTCAAGTTGAGGGTGTGGGGTGGCACTGGCAGATGCAGGCGTTTTCGCCCATTATGACATATGATCATCAAAAGCAGAGAGCCATCTGACATGATGATTACAATACTTTTGTGACTCAATAGCTTGCACCAAAAAGAAAGGAAGCTGTTGTTCAATACAGCTGAATTCTCTTGGAAAGGATGGAGAAAATGGAACACTTATAGCTCTACGTAAAAACAGAGAGCCAGGGAAAGATTTTTAGAGTTGAATAAGCTCAGTAAGACGGCAGAGACCTGAAAATGCCATCTCTTGCCCATCGGCGTTATGCAATCACTTGTCTCCGCCTTTTTCCTGTAGCTATTGTCACAGAACAAGCACAAATGCTTTCACTGAGAAGCCTAGGGAATTTTGGAGGAATGGCCAGGCTTTACATGTACAACGAATTAGACTAGAAAAATCTTTCAGTCTGGGGTACTTCAGGGTAACGACATTAGCGTTTCCTTAATGGATTGTATTTTAATCATTACCAATCCGTGCATCCAGAGAAACGGCATGCAATCTGAAAGCCTGGAAGTAATAAGGCAGCATTTCAGCACTAAGTACTGCTCCAAATCCTAACCTACGGATTTTGAGGAGGTGATGTTCACTGTGAGCATTTAAAGATGCTGCAAAAGGCAGCAGAAGAATGTAGGAATTTTCACTGATCTTCCTTGGGCAGCAAGTCATAAGAGCTAGTAGATGAGAAGTTTCAAGTTAGGAGTATCTGACACAACTCAAAGCCCACAAAGTTGTAACAAACTATATGAGAGGGGGTGCTGCCAAATTAACATCATCTCGCACAAGATGCATCACAAAAAATATTCAACCCATCAAGTAAGGCAGGCAACCTTTGTCCTGCCAGGCCGCTTTGGGAGAGCTACGCAAATCCACCCTATACCTGATGTCAGGTGTGGGGTGGTCAGGGGTGCGGGTTCATAGGAACAAGAAGGAGCTTCAAGTGCACTCCTGGTTGTCCTTTCACAGGAGCAAGCTGCAGTCCCACACATCTATCAGCTGGTGGCAGTAGGAATGCACCTTGTTTAAGGAAGGGGAAATGGCTCCCACTTAAAGCACCCCACAGATGTCAACACACTGCTAAAAAGGAAGTAACAACCGTCTTTCACACAATTTTTGGTTCAAATTAACTAATATTGGTTGACACAAGCTGGCCACGTTCATGATTTGAAGCCTACTGGTTTCAAACACACCTTTAACCAGCTTGTTGGCTTCTAACATTGCAACCTAGCTCATTTGGTTAGTGTGGTGCTGATGATGCCAAGGTTGCAGGTTTGATCCCCATGTGGGACAGTTGTCTATTACTGCACTGCAGGGGGTTGGACTAGATGATCCTTGGGGTCTCTTCCCACTCTACAACTCAATGACTCTATGATTCTAACCTGTAGTTAATCACAAATGGATGTGACAGCTCTCCAGCTCCTCTTGGCCTTGTCAGAAGGAAGGAGTGCATGGGCTCAAGATTGCTGAGGTTCATTTGCATGTCAAAAGAACATGGTTTGTCCTGGTGTCCAAGCCGGATTAGTGTCAAAAGTGAATAGATACATCAACTTTGGAAAAAGGTTCCAATACTGGAAAAAAGAGGGCAGGACAGCTAATGGAATGTGAAACAATGTGATGTGTGATATTTAAACATTAGTGCCACTGCTCTGTGGGTTCAGCCCATACCATTAATGCTGCATTTTAAGAGTCCCACTCTTTGGACAAACAACATAAAATATTTGCATCAATCTGGTAAGCTCCAGGCTTGTGTGCATATACAGTATTTGCATTTTAGACTGCATTAACTACCTTCAGTAGCACATTAGGGGACTGCCCTTAGTCAGCAGGAGAGCTTGAGGCAAGCAAAGAAGGCAGAACTGAGACGAAAAAACATGAACAGGAGTACAGTTAGCTGAAGAAAATTGTTTTAAAAGGTATTGTTAACAGAAGCCAACCTTCAAATTAAATTATCTATTTACTCTGAAAGTGAAAGCCAGTAAGCAAGACTATAGAAAAACTCAAGAACAGACTAGAAGTTCCATTCTGGACATGATGCGACTGAGGAGTTGGCAAGTAATGGATGAAGTCATAGATAAGAAAAGAGGAGGAAAGGGTCAGGGTAGAATAGCAGGGCTATGTCAGCCTACCACACATGAATTTACGAGGATGAATCATTAGGACGTTAATAGCTCCTCAGTCCTGCTACATAGAAATGATCTGTAATAGAGCATTCTTCTGGTTAAGATCACGGTCGTTAATTTCACATAGTTTAAACATAGCATGACTAGTCAGTTTGTTTCTTCAGAGGACAAGCTACACTCTGTAGACAAAATCTTCTTGTGTGTTCCTCAGGAATACAGAAAACTTACGAAACCCAGAAATATTATAGTTCTTGACTTCTACAGTGCAGATTGTGTTGCACCAAAGGTGAAATGTTCAGAACACAGATCAAGTGTTGTTGATTTTTAATCCAGAAAAACACTCTTGGAATTAATCTTAAAATCTTAACGTCACTGGCCTTTAAGTGAAGAGCATAGGGCTCCTTCAAGGTCTGTCAATATAAATAGTTTAGTAGCCTGATCTAAATGCAAGTACCTAAAGTATGTTTTAATTTTTAAAAAAAAATACCTAAATGAATTTGTTTAATCGATACATTTCCTGCACAAACTTATGTACTAATTGGTTGCTATAACAATTGCTCTTGTTGCTGTAACATAAATGTTTTAAACTAATAGTCTATATATAACATAAAAGAATAATTCAAACCTTTACACACCACATATGCTGGAAGCCAGAGAAGAGTTTCCCTGTCTGCTCTTTCCTGCTGCAGCCACTTGTGTCCCCTAGGCTGCTTCTGAAGGTCAAGGGAGCTTCTAGAAAAGTGGTATATAGATGGGAGATTGCTTATATGCCTCTCTTGCAAACAGTGGAACTACCCATCACTTTGTACCCATGCAGTGGTCCACAAACCTTTTGCACTATCCAATGGCACTATTAGCTCGTATTAATATTTTGAACTGTAAACCATCCTAGGTGCCTTGACAGCAGTGTTAGAAACTGAGATACGGAAGCTAGGAGCTAAATGGCACCTTAAACCGAGGTTACGGATGCAACAACGTAACCTCTTTTTTATAACAAGAATACAGAGCTGAAAATGAATGAACTGCAGCTAAAATATTATGTTCATATTCCACGCGATCTAGTCCTTCCCCTGCCCACCCCCTAATATTCTTAAGAGAGTCTCTTCTCCACTCTTCAAAGAGTGGCTGGAAGTCGGGAGGCAGAAAAAAGTCCTCCTTTCCTTCCACGCTGCAGTTTTAATGAGGAACCTTAGGCATGGTACTGCGCCCAGAGCTCAGAAATGGCTCTTGCAATTGAAATTCCTTGTCGCAAAATGTGCCTAGGACAATAGGAGTTTCGAAAACTGCTTGACAGAGAGGTGGTATATCACTATATTCAACAAATAATAAATCTATAGACAAGGTGAAATTAAAAACCCTGCTTGGCTCACTGTACACGTCACCAAGCAACATCACCCAAGGACTAAGCACCAATAACGTTCCAGAAACAGTTGCCTGTAATTAATAGGCAGGACTCCATGGAAGGGAAAGGGCACAACCCATCTCAACTCCCATTGATTATATGGACATGGAGGCCTAACACTCTGCCTTTGAAATATATGAGACTTAAATTGCTTAGTCTGTTGTCATGAAGTACCTACGGTATCTGGCCAACTGCCATATTCGTAATGACCAATTGTGTCATGTTGCTTGAACTCAGAAGTCAGGGTGGTCTCGTGTTTCTTTTATATAGCTGGCTTCAGCTCACTTTATTTGCTAGAACAGGTGCTGAAAAGCATTTCTGAGCCAGTGAGAACATTGGGAATTTTGAGGAAGTGTCAGACACAAAATCGCTGTGAAGCGTAACAAAGTGGCTACCTGAAGAACCGAGCAGGTTCTTATCAGCTAAGAAAGAGACAAAGTTAAATATGAAAAGTTGACTAATTTGAAGCGATGTTTTGTCATTTGTTAATTATTGCTAAAGATGGTCAACTGTAGCATATAGCGAATTGATGTGTTAGTTATTGTTCATTTATTGTTATTGTCAAATCTTGAATAAAATTAATAATAATAATAAAAGAACCGAGCAGGAAGGACACATAGCCTTGTATTGTGAATTTTTGAGGAGTTATTTGCCGAGGCCTTTTGTGGACACCACATGGAGCACTCATGGGGGCAACTCCTGGTATTAAAAATTGAATCATGACTTTCTAAAGGATACCAAGTAGACAAATTACTTTGGTTTAAAATGTTTGTTCCCAGCAAAGTCAGCTTGTATTTTGAAAGATAGCATTGATTAAAAGTGAATTTTTTAAAAAATCTGAATAAAAATAGGATATATAGTCTACCTTCTTAAGTAAATGTTGAAAAATGAATATTGGTAAATGTTGGAAGATTCAGGGCAGGGGCATGGTAGGGAAGAATAAGTTCCACTGCACAAGCCAAAGTCCTTGCACAGGCTTCTGTGGATGGGACTCACTCACTGAATCCTGACCATGATGTTCTGGTCTTTAGCATCACAATTGCCTATCCCCTTTTAAGAAGGCTTCCTCAACTTTACCTGCTATTACTCATATGCATTTTAAATAGCGATGAACTACATCTTACAAGTTAGAAAAGAATTCTCTATACCCTTTCCCAATTGCTAGGAACAAGAGCTTGATTAATTTTATGTAAATACATTCCCATTTTGATCATGACCAAGCAGAAAATGTTAATTAAGATGCAAGCGAAGCATTCCAACTTCTCTGCAAGTTATTTATTAGGACTTGAATATAACATTACTATGGCGGTAGTAAGAAGTACAAAAGTTTTAAAGTGACCTCTAAACACACTGCAACGTAAAAGGTTGCTAGCTACCACTGGCATGCTGCAAAGTTTTCCTAAACAGGCTAATACTCCAGACTTTTTCTAGGTTGCAAGAAACATGAGGCTAAGGAGAAGGGGACGACAGAGGATGAGATGGTTGGATGGCGTTCTTGAAGCTACCAGCATGAGTTTGATCAAACTGCGGGAGGCAGTGGAGGACAGAAGTGCCTGGCGTGCTCTGGTCCATGGGGTCACGAAGAGTTGGACACGACTAAACGACTAAACAACAACAAAAAGAGGGAAGTATCGTGTTACGAAACTGTTAACAAGTGGGTACTGCAATGAAATAGTTCAGTATAGAATACTCCAGCTCAGGGCTCCAGTCTGCCATGCCCTTTTCCATAATATTCTGGACATCATAGAGCTGTAGACCTCAAAGGAAGTATGAGTGTCATCTAATCCAACCCCCAGCAATGCACCATGCCATCTAATACTCAGCATTCCTTGGACACCAAAAATGCTCCATTCTCATTGTACTATTTTAGGGTGCATCCTCCTTAGGCCTTCCTCTAAGCCTAAAACCTCCCCTCTTGTTGTAGATGGTGTTGTTTTAGCTACATAATGATTGACATTTGGAGAATTAATTCACTTTTTATATATAGCATGCTAGTAAATTAGGGACGTTAGTTATGCAATCAACTTGACATAACAAGCTCAACTTAAAATAAGCATTTATGAAAAGTGTCATCATGGTAAACAGGTAAGCAGTATTTCTGCTTGTGTATACAGTGGTACCTCGGGTTAAGTACTTAATTCGTTCCGGAGGTCCGTTCTTAACCTGAAACTGTTCTTAACCTGAAGCACCACTTTAGCTAATGGGGCCTCCTGCTGCCGCTGCTGCGCGATTTCTGTTCTCATCCTGAAGCAAAGTTCTTAACCTGAAGCACTATTTCTGGGTTAGCGGAGTCTGTAACCTGAAGCGTATGTAACCTGAGGTACCACTGTATTGTATATATTTTCCACAGAACATAAAGGAAATTTCCAGCCCACTCACCTCTTAATTCAATTGCAGGCACTCTCTGTAAGCCACACCTGCTAACCCCTAGGCCACACCCACACCTGTTCAATTTCACAACATGGACAAGGAGGAATTCTACATCTTAGTGACAAAAATCCAAGGAAAGGTCTCTCAGAAAGGACTTTCCAAATTTGCACAAAAATGTTCACTCAATGATACAAATAGGGAGCTCATTTACTGAAAATATTGCAACTAATACCGAAATAAATAATTGTGATTATATTTAAAGTGTTCAGGGTTTATTTTAGATGGATTCAAATAATTAGCCTACATCTGCATCAAACTATGAAGACAGCTTTGTTAAAATAGAAGAATACATGTACCGGTACTCACTCACAGCAAGTTCATGAGATTTTCCAGTTATCAGAGAATTGATGTGACTGCCTGAAATGGCAATAGCGAGTCATATTGTGAACAATTGTGAGCAGCTGTCTTTTGTGACAGACAAATTAAAGCAACAACAGAAACCAAGTTCAGAAGCAAAGGCCTTTCCAGGTGACATGAGGATCCCAGAACTGTGAATGAACTAGCCAGAATTTCACAAGCTTCCTACTCCTCAAATCACTACTGTAATTCCTTTTTACAAAATGTTTTACAAGTATCCCAAGGCACTGGTAAACAGCAACAATTGAACCCATTATTCATGTCCCTTCTGGTGGAGAAGTGGTTGAACTAATCTGATGTCCCCAGCCTTTTGGGAGCCCAGTGATCTCAGTAGGAATGTTAAAGTGATGTTGGGTGTAGCCAAGGGGGGCATCTGCCCCCCCCCCCAAGATCAAGCAAATCAATAAAAATATTTAATTAACTGAGGTTCTGCACCACCCCCCAACACAAAGCCTGCTCCCCCAACATAAATCCTGGCTATGCCCATGCACCCTCCCTGCAAATCCAAACACACAAAAATTAAACTAGCTTTCAGGAACACATACCCCGTGGAGATCTCTCTCAGACACCTTTCCTTTTCTCCTCCTCCCAATGCCAGTTCGTCCTTGCTCCCTCAATCACCCTGCTTGTCCAGTTTAAATTTTCAGCAGATCCTCAGTCTTGAACAAAAGCTACATGGCTTCATGGCAGCGCAGAGGTGAATAGAATTGCTAGTAAATGCAAATTAGCAATTGCTTTTGCACAGCAAGCACCCAGAGAAATTATCTGCAAGTTAGATCTAGTCAAGCCACAATACCAGAGCAAGTGGATAAGGTAATGCCCTACAGTAGACCCTGGTCTTCAATAGGACTGCAAACAGCATAAAGATTAGTTGTGTTAGTAGACACTACTTCAGTATGTCCTATGCAGCTACCACATATCTTGCTGATCAATCATTACATTCGTCTTCTCTTAGAGTCTTGGCTGCTTCCTTCTCTTATTCGCGCTAAGCACCACATTTATTCCTTATGAAATCATGTAGAAATATGATATCCCCATTATGCAATCTAAATAGGTTTTTTTGGGGGGGGAATTGTTTAATCAATATAGAAGTGAGACAAGAATTTACCTTCCCAAGATAGCAAGGAGGCCTCTTTTACCATAAATCTTAATGCAATCCTAGAAATATTATGACAGGCTTTTTAGTGTATCAATAGAGCTGCTGCAATATGCTTGCTATTTTCCTTGGAAGAGATTCCATTACCTTAAAGCATACTGTGAACTAGTCACAATAACCTTCTCCCCTGGGAGCCACAACAAATTAAAGGCTGTGTTTTAGCATTGATGTTACCAGCTCAGCTGAATTCTGCTGCCAAAATATTCAAGTAAGAGTTGCAGCAATGTTTAGAGGCATTATCAGTTGCTTGCTAGCTTGCTATTCTACATTGCAAACACAGACATGCAGGGAATCCTTAGTAAAAGGCATTATAGTAAATAATGCAGGCAAAGCATTTAATAGTCAGCAGGGGCTGATTTTCATAGACTTAGATGGGCTGTCACCTGATTGATGATATCCATTACCCAAGGTTGTAGTTTTTAAGACAACAAATCAGTAATTACGTGCATAGTCAAATGATTAATAGGTTTTCGTTAGTTTGAAGAGTCAGGTATAGATGGAAATTCTCAATGGGGTGAATTTTAGTTCTTGATCTCATTGATCAGTCCACTTTAAGACTATTGATTACTACCTGGAAATGTATGCTGTCAGTGTTGTAAGGAAAATAGGTTTTTTTTTCCTGGCAAAGAAAAGGAAAGCTAATAAATTCTGTTGCACCTTTAACTTGATCCAAAACCTTTTGAACATTAGAATTACACTTCGAAATATAAAAAATAATGTTTTTAATTGATGAGGAAAAGATACATTTCTCCCATTTTTAAAGAAATAAATGGAAACTGAATAAAACTGAAATAGCTGCATTATTTATTTTATTTTCCATTCTAAACTTAACTCTACTACTTTAAGAACATGAAATGTATAACTTAATACATAAAGTTCTTGCTTCCCATGTGGTCTACTCCAACATGTTCATTCCCTCTGCAGAAGATCTGTACTGTTTGATAGATTTAGTAACTTTATTAACACCTTCCTTTAATTCAAACAATAATTTCCAATTTTACCCAGTGTTAGAAACGAAGCAGCAAAAGCCTATATTTTAAAGTATTAAAAATAAACTTACTTTTTTTTTTTTTTGCCAATTGGTAAAATGGGCAAGGGGAGATATTTAACAGTGCATAGAATTATAGCACTGTAGAACTGGAGGGGACCATGAGGGTCATTTTGTCCAACTCTCTGCCATGCAGGACTCTGGCCCACAGCTGTCCCTGGGTTGGTACAAAAGATCAAGCTTTTGGTTGCAATCCTATGTTTACTCAGAAATAAACCTCCCTGAGTTCAAAGGGACTTTCTCCCAGATAAGTGAGTGCAGAACTGCTCTAACACTAAAGCCAGCTATTATGTAGTAACCAAAATGAAATATGTTATTATCTGGGCTTAGAAATGGTCTCCAGTTAACACTATAAGGAATCTGAAGAAGCAATACAAAAAAAAAAAAAACCCACATTGTAACTCCTGAAGGATTTCTCTTTCAAGCTGTTTCCAATTCGCTTAGAAAGGAATCTCTAGCCTTTCAGAACTGGGACTCAAGTTGTACAACTGTACAATAAACAGCAAGTGTATTTATTGAACACTGTAGGTTCTCTGTTATTAAAAATCATTTTGAGGAAGTGCAGAAACACAAATAGTACCCCACCACCCTCAATATTTATGGGGTTTCTTCCAGGCCTTAACACTGTTCAATACATTTTCAAATTACATGTGAAACACGTCTATTTTAATTTTAAGACTTACAACCCTAACTTCACAAGGTAAGTAACATTAGAAGCTTTTAAGGCAAGGATAAGGAACTTTTGGCTCCCCAGAGGCTGTAGACTATAATTCCCATCAGCCGTTGGCCAGGGATTATGAGAGTTGTAGTCCAGCAACATTTGGAGGGCAACAGGTTCCTCACCCCTTTCTAAGGAATGAAAAATCATTCTCCTCTGTAGCTAAATTTCTCTAGAGACCAAGGATCCAAGGGAAAAAACCCCTATCTAGCTGCAATCCTGTTTTCCTATCTGTTAAAGAGTTTCAATATTTTTCTATCCAATTTTTCTGTGCAAGCTTTATTCTGACAGGATCAATGAATGCATTGACTTGAATGTTCAATTTTCATAATCCTGGCTTACCCTTACATTCAAAACAGGGATTCTGGTTCAAAACAAATTCTGGTAAGTTTGATAACAAGCCAACTTCAAGCCCATTGTTTGAAGTTGGCTTGTTGTGAAGCTTACCAGAATTTGTTTTGAACCAGAATCCCTGTTTAAACCACAATTAGGGTTTTTTCTGCTTTTGTTTTTTTAAAAGTGAAATAAATACTGCTAACGTTTCTCTCCCAGCTATGCATGAGGTAGGTAAAAGGGGGAGCACAAGACTGCAACATTTTGCTTGTTCTGGCTTACATGCATAGCCCAAGATTAACTCCGTGGTCTGGAGACTGAAACCAAGTCTGCAGGTGACAAAGTCTACAGGAGCCCATGTATTAGTGATTCAGAACAACTGCCTCCCTATGAAGTCAGCCTCCAGGTGAATTTACCACACTTCTGTTTGTTTCAACTAGTTTTATACTGCAGTACAAAGCGTAAGGCAGCACATAAATCTTTAAAATGAAATGTATTACCATTTATACAGCAGATGCCATGGTATATTTCATTCTATAAGAAATTTAGACACTGAAGAAGCTGGTATGTTTCTCCCCAGCATTAGTGGATAGGAATGAAGTGGAAAAGAGCTTCACATTCCTGGTAAACCCTTTAACTACGGTTTACAATTACTTTTGAAGTGCTCAGAGTCCCTCAGATACTTACGCCTATCTACAAAGGCAGCAGCACTGGGCTTTAAGGCCACAATCCTGGTACATGCATCTTACAGTACAAATGAGGTCACAGTAAACCAAGGCATGATTGTATGAGCACAGAATCCATTTCTGCACTAACTCCTACAAATTAAAAAACCCTGCATAATACAATCTTTAAAATAAGAGTTGCTCCGAGAAATGGTCTTCTATCAATACTAGGAGAAATGAAATCCATCACAGTTGCTTTAAAACTATCTGTTTGTTTGTTTTTTGAAACAGGCACTTTTTACAAATCCAAGTTTTTAAAAGGCTGGAGGAAAGAAGTGGAAGAGGGCTGGGACAATAACTTTTTTGGGCAAAGTTCTCACGCATGTTCAAGAGGGAAGTTCTAGCCAATCTAAATTTCTAGGCTTATTACTCTATCAGGAATCTTGGCACTGGTGTTATTTTGAAAGCCAAAGACCATCAAAATGCGATCTATTCATTCATTCCATGTATACATCAGGGATACCTATCCAAACTCATAGCACTGGTGTAATAAACTTCAGGTGCTTAGTTCACCATGGCCCTCATACTGCATTTCTTTCTCCTTGCCTTACATACTCGATTTTCAACAGGGAAAGAGTCTGAAAGAACTAACAAAGGACTCGGATTGGGTCATGACAAGCCTCTGAGACAGACAGCTCCATACTCTTCCTTTCCGTCAAAGACTAATGCTACCTATATCTACCTTTTCTGTAATAACTCTGGTCTGTTTGCTTTCCTCCCTGACACTGGCCACATTTTTGTTCTGACAACATTTGAGGACTTGGGCATCAAAATGTATTCTACCGCTTCTGTGTTATTAGGTTTTATTTGATTCACATTTTAACTGGCTTTTAAGATTTTATTTGTTTTATATTTTATACTGGAAACCACCTTGAAAATCTTCATTGAAAGACAGCCTATAAGCATCACAAATAAAATAAAGCTGTAGTGAAGGGCAAACAACACGGTCCTTACAACCCACATTCTACTCAAGGTGCCCAGTTAATTGTGTATCTTGCGGCAGTTCCTCGATACAACAGCTCTCCTGATCAAATTAGGGGGAAGCTAGTATGGCAGCATTATGTCTTAAATGGATAATCTACGCTTTTAAATACAGCTATCCCCCTGGACTGACTAGTTCGAAGGCATGATAATATTTTAAATATAGCCACAAACAGCTGTTACTGAAGCCAACAAAATTCATAAGGTAAAGAAATAATATAACCTTTGCCTGTTCTTATTCTGTTTGCACATCCAAAAGCAAAGTATTCTGAGGTCAGAGCCAAGTCTAACAATAAGCAAAGCAAGAGTCTCAACAAAAGTGCCAATACCATTTGAAGCTGGTTTTTTAAAACATTCTTCGTTGCCTTTAAGCTAGACCTTGAGGTTCAGTTCTTTGCTAGTTGTTCAATTTGTTTGCATTTGGAATAATATAAGAATTCTAAGTGCTGAAGAAAACCAGAGTTCTTTCAAAGCAGTATGCGCATTAGAACATCCTCAGGATCACTACTACGATTAACAAATGACCCAATATATTAGCTATCCAAGAACATGCAGCACTCAGCAACACACTTTTACAGGTCAATGGGTTTTGTATAGAGCGATTGCCGAGAACTACACTGAAAGTACCTTCTCAAGTACGCCTGTCTAAGTCAATATGTTCATTGTAAAAATATGCTGCTGGGCATTAAAATAAAGCAGACTATTAGGCAGGCTATTTATTTTCCCAGACATCGTACATAGTTTAGTTCCTTTCGTGCAATTTCAAAATGAAGAAAACACTATAGCTAAGGTCATTTCGGTTAAAGTTAAGTAATGAAACACACCAACCATGCATTTCCCCCCTGCACAAATGAACTTTGTCTAAATGGCATCACAGTATTTGTCAGGGCAACTGCTGCCTAATAATAATAATAAAAATAAACCTCTGCCAAACAAAATTACAGCTTCCTAAGGTTTTACCATGGAAGCTGTAATAAAGTGCACAACTGCAATGCGTTTTTTGCCTTTTGTTGTATCCCCTCAGCGTAGGAATAAGGTTGTGACCCAGTACCAAACTGTCCAAGGGCCTTGAATACCAGACAGAGAAAGAAGTCAGGTATCCACCCAGTCTCTTCCCCACATCCACCAATAATATGATGGTTCCACCCCCTGGTCATAGTCCAATGGGATCCTGGCCAATCTCCCAATCAGGAGAGGCATATTAACATAAGAGCCTTGCTGGATCTGACCAAAGGTCCATCTAGTCCACCATTTTGTTTCCACAATGGAAATCTTGAAGTCTATGGGAAACGAAACAAGCAGGACATGAGCAGAAAGCACCCTCCCACTCACAGACTAAGTTCTGGTTATTAGCCACCAAATTTGTAGACCCATGCAAATGTTCATGACTATCGTTCAATTTGAACTACTATATTTTTTGCTCTATAAGACTCACTTTTTCCCTCCTAAAAAGTAAGGGGAAATGTGTGTGCATCTTATGGAGTGAATGCAGGCTGCACAGCTATCCCAGAAGCCAGAACAGCAAGAGGGATTGCTGCTTTCACTGCGCAGCGATCCCTCTTGCTCTTCTGGCTTCAGAGATTCAGAATATTTTTTTTCTTGTTTTCCTCCTCCAAAAGCTAGGTGCGTCTTGTGGTCTCGTGCGTCTTATAGAACGAAAAATACGGTAGTTAGAACAGCTTGGTAAAACATGGCTTTGTGCATGGGCACAAACCTTGCGCAGTCGTCCTCCCTTCCCTCACACAGCCAAGGAGGACAATTTCAAGCAGCATTACATTTTTGCTTTCCGTTAAAAGCCAGCTTGTTGCAGTGGTTGAGGTTTATAACAAATTCTGTTTAGTTTAACAAGTCAGTTTCGGAAACCATGGTTTGAAGTTTATTCATTCAAATAAAGTGCAGTGTGGGGAATCTGCCAGAGTCATCCTTCCAAGAGGAGGAGAGAGGGAGTACAAGCCCCAAACATTTCCTTCCTGCTCTTGCATGTCTTGCTAAACATCTTAGCATGACAAACAAATTTGAGGTTATTGTTAATTGAGAACAATTTCAGAAAATCCATGCACTGTTATGATCAAAACATGCAAGACATTTAAAGGGTTGATATTTTATTATTGTGTAGTCAATTGGATGCCAACTACAAAGTTTTGTGGCTACCAACCACAATCCAGCCACAACTCTTCAGACTCTACTTCTACTCAGAAAACCTCGTTGCATTTTACAAACATTCCACACAACCAGGAAAACCACCAAGACACTGTGATATAGAAGTATAAGCTAAATTTTCTGTCACCCAGTTATTTATTTGAAGGATTTTTTACCCCACTCCTCAGAAGAACAAACCAATGCTCCCAGAATGGTTTAAAAGGTAAAGGTAAAGGACCCCTGACAGTTAAGTCCAGTCACGAACAACTCTGAGCTTGCGGCGCTCATCTATCAAACACTGTCTATCAAACACAGTCTATCAAACACTGACATTCTCCCAACACATAAATCCAAAATAGCTTATGGAAACACATTTATTTGTGCTGGAATAAATACTCTTTGATATTTGGGAATTGTTAAATTATAGAAAGTAGCTGCAGAAACTTTCACTCACTAAGTGGCACCAGAATAATAATGGGACGGGGGGGGGTGTCAGTGAGACTATTCAGGAAAAGATCAACCATTTGCAATCTTGGGTTGTACCCCAATTTAAATTTATCACCTTAATTTATAACTTTTGTAGCATAACAACTGCATTTATCTTCTTGTTTACATTAGTAGAGCAAAAACAGGTGTTAGCTTCCAAAAACTCTTATCTTCTTTCCAATCATTCTGATACACTGACTATTACACAAGAACTTTTAAAATCTATGCTTTTGTTCTTACCACAACAGATCTGCAACAAAGCCAACTATTCCAGTAAATTTACATTGAAAATGCTGAATAATGGAATTGCAGTAGTGGAGATGCTTTATGTAAAGAAAATCAATCCCACGTTATTTCCAGTTTCAAAGTGTTTTCCGGTTGTCCCACTTTTAAGCTATGACAAATGGAGACTTCTTCTCAACAAAATAGCTATTAAGCCAAAATGTACGAGGCACACACTTAATTCTCATTCTTCAAAAATCTCCGAAAACTGCATACATTAAGTGAAGAACATTTACACATACTCCATTTACTAATTACATCGAGAGAAAATATAATCACACTGAATTGATTATAAATTATGAAATGATTATGTTGCATTTTGCCTCAGTATAATTTTGTAAATGTAACTTTATGTAAATATAAAGCAATGTTCCACAGGTAATGCAATTTACACTTAATTTTCTCTGCCTTTAGAAGAAAGCACACAAAGAAACAGTACGCCTTTAATGTTGTAATTCAAAACGCATATAATTTATAAGTTTTAAAACATCGTCAAAGGCAAAGTTCTTCAAAACTGATGTTCCCACCTTGAAATTACTTGACTGCTCTGAAGTGAAACATGGAAGTTTCAGACTACTGCTAAAACAGTGTGCTAAAATAGGCTTGCCATATGTCCGGAATTTCCTGGACATATCTGGAATACTGCGGTCTGGACAGAAATTGGCAGAATGTTTCGGAAAATCTGGACATATGGCAGCACATGTTGGCAGTGTCGATTTTCCTCAGAAATAGCTAAAAAATGTCCCGTCTTTTTTTTGCGATTTTGTAAAAACAGCTCAACAACTTTTCTGTCCGGATTTTCACTTTTTGAAATATGGCAACCCTAAAATGAAAGATGGACGATGCTACACACTGAAAGCAGTACAGATTAAAACAGACTGAAAGCAGTACAACACATATTACATAGAGTCTGAAGTTGTGCCTTGCTAACCCTCTTGAAGAAAAAGCTGAGGTTTTTTAAATGTTCATCTGGCAGCATTCAATCTCATCCTTAGCAATGCTTGCCAATCATAAAAGTAGGGATGGAAGAGGAATCTGTTTTAAAACAAATTTATACAAGGAATTTGGAGGTTTCAACTCTGTCAAGTTTTGCTCACACCAGACTGCCTTTTGTGTTCAGCACCTACTTATGTCAGAAACACCCATGCATTACAGAGTTAAGTATGCAAGTCTACAATCAGAAAGTATGTATAGAAGAATCACACCCCTTACAGTAGCATATATCTGCAGCATAATTTTAAAATACATATATAAATGATGGTTACTCTAGGAAACCGGGAGTGTATCAGCATGGGATATATACAATGATACGTGTAAGAATGTTTTGATTTTTTTTAGCAGAACTGTGGGAGGATGAAACACTTGCTTCCTTTGCGAAGTTAAGCAGGATCCTGTTTCCAATTGGTTGGGGAGGTGGCACGTGTTGAGATTCCATTGTGGGGGGTTGGACTAGATAATCCTCAGGGTCCCTTCCAACTCTACAATTCTATGATTCTATGAAGACTGAGATGGGAATATGAGGGTGGAGAGAATCTGAGTAAATAAGCTCAATATCCAGATTTTTAAAAAATAAAAATCCCAAGCAGGGAGACGAATCACTTAGAACCACAGCACAATTGCCAGAGGTAGAAGATCCACGGTAATTAATCATATGATAAAGCAGCGTATTTTACATGACAAATCTACATCAATTTGTCATAGGGAAATGTGGCCATCTATCCATATATTAATGAAGCACACTGGCCTCCTCACAATCTGATTGCACATTAGTCATTGGAAGCAAAAGTAACATATTCACTGTCCAAAAGTTCTTCAAGATACCTTCATATTCTGTAGAGTAAATAAAATTTACGTTTAATATGGAAATATCTAATCTAGAGTGATCAGTATCAAGATTCATGAACCACCTTCAACACAATGCAGCTGGTAAGCATTCTTTAGTGTTAGATTCTAAAATACTTTAAAACAAGGTAGCCAACACATTTGTTGCTAGGCAACTCTGATTAGCAAAAGTCAGCAGAGTCCATAGTTAGTAGTGTTAGAAATTCTGATGTATATGCTAGGCACCAAATAGCTCCTTAAACCAGGGTTACAGACGGCAAAACAGAATGCCTAGTTGCCATTTTTGAGCCAGGCAGCTCAAAAGTCATATTTTTCAATATGACTTTTTGGTTCCTGAAATTCATTCTGATTGTGCAGATAAAATATAATGGAGAGAATCCTACAGGATGTGTTGCTAGTGTGTGCAAACAGTCAAGATCCAGGGATCCCCAGGAATGCACTTCCTGGCTCCTGGGCATCTTCACTTGGTCACAAGTGGTCTATAGCCAGGTGCAAAATGCGCCTGGCATCTGGCAAATTTCAAACCCTGATAGTTAGGAATGGTGGAAGTTGGTGCCTCCTAGATGTTGCTAGACTATATGTTGACTACTAGACTACATGTTTTAAAGGCTTAATTTGTCAATTTGTTTAATTTCTACTTTCCTACGAGCGAGTGAAACTTTGGTGAAAAGTTTGCCTAGTAGGATTTAAATATTTTCCTCTTTTGTAAGAGTTTCAGGATTATATAGAAATCTGATGTCTTGGACTTTGTTTCAACTTTGTAACTAGCACTGAGTTATCCTAACACCTCTACATGGTTTGTGTGGATTTCTTTGTCCTTTCTTTTTCTGCAGATACAATTTCAAATCCTGTTCAATACATTGGATACCGATATCCAATTAATTTATCAACAAAAATTAGCTGTCTTTATTCTGGAATGAGGCATCAAATGGTTGGCTAAGCAGACCTAGTTAGTAGGGTAAGGCTAACAACATGCACACTATAGACATAAGTGCCATCAAATGCATTGCTGCTTACCACTCAGCTAAATTAGCCTATGGAAATAGATTGTCTCTTTCCAGATTAGAAGTTTAATTACATCTACTCTGCTTCCAAATACTGAACAACTTTCCTCAGACAGATTACAACAAAAGTCAGACAGAAGACAATATCCTTACCATCAGTGTTACAAGCTTCTACTCTCAGTAAAAGACCTGTAATTCATTCTAGCTTCAGATAACTACATCTGATATTGTTAAGCTCTGGGGTTTTTCAGTACCAGTCTTTCAGCTAGGTTTAACCAGTGACTGTGCAAAGTGCACAGTGTTTGCAAGCACAACAGGGAAAGCAAATCTACGCATATTAAAAAGAGATAAAGCTGCCCTCATGGATTGAGAGCAGCAAGAGCTCAAGATGTTGGACAATGCACCTAATCTATTTGCCATCTCTTTGCTCTTTCATAGAAACACATGAAAGCATGTATTTTTTCTGAGATTTCTTAAGCCTTTGTGCAACCTTCACTTGAAGCAACCAATTTCCTCTGTATAATTCTCATTTTGCAATTCAAACTGCACACCCATTTTATTCTCTGATGCCATGCTGGAACTTGCAATAAACTTTTTTTAAAAACTTGAACTGGGACTCAGCAATTGCTGCTGATTCCCCCAGCAATGAGTATAATAAGGTTTTCACACACCACCCCAAAACTACCACTTTTTTGACAATTTTATGACAATTGCTTACATAAATTTTATATAGTATGTTACCATACCTGGATTTGTCCCTGATCACAATACCCAACTAGTGGTTCTATAAATGGTGCAAGAACTAAAATGTCACAGGAGAGACATGGATGCTATCAGAAGTTAATTTTAATACAAAACATGCAATATCACACTGTTCCCTATCCAACCACAGCATATTTATTTATTCTCAACTGCCTGCACAGCTAGTACTATTCTCCCTTTCATCTCCCAACCACTACCAGCATACAAGATACTATCCACTTCACCATGTACTTCTGCTGAGAAATAGAATATGACAGGCTTTATGCAGAGACTTATTTCTAACATACTGTGAATTCCCAAAACAGTGTTACAAATTCTGCATAACTAAACACCCACAGTTGATCTTTAATATGTGATAGCTATCTGAGAAACTACTAACTTTCAATTTGTTACTGAATATGTGGATTGTTTCCATATCTGAGTCATAACTACTCCCTTGTACTGTATTACTACAGTCTGCTCTCTATGAAAAGGAGACAAATCAAATGTTCTTGAAAGTCCCCATTGTGAGAAGTCTGGTTTTCATACAGTTTGTGCTACTGCACAGAGGTGTCCGAAACTCCCACTGTTCTAGGCTCATTTTGCGACAGGGAATTTCATCAGCGCAAGCAGTTTCTGAGCTCTGGGTGCAGTACTGCGCCGAAGATTTCAGCTTAAAACTGCAACGTGGAAGGAAAGGGGGACATTTTTTCTGCCTCCCCACTTCCAACCACTCTCTGAAGACTGTAGAAGAGACCCTCTTAAGAATATTGGGGGGGGGGGACCAGACCATGTGAAAAATGAACATAGTATTTTAGCCACAGTTCATTCATTTTCAGCACTGTATTCTTGCTATAAAAAAGTGTGCCTAGACATCCGTTCTTGCGTCCATAACCTCAGTTTAAGGTGCCATTTAACTCCTAGATTTCGTATCTCAGTTTCTAACACTGCTGAATGGTGAACACTGTCCCCAGGCCTTCAAGCCCTTGCAGATTTCCAACACTCTCCACTATTAAATTAGTCTCCAGGAAAGGTCTTACCTGACTGTAAAATTTGTTCTTTCTGGTAACTGCAAGGTTGCAAGTTTGATCCCCATATGAGACAGCTGCATAGTCCTGCATTGCAGGAGGTTGGACTAGATGATCCTCAGGGTCCCTTTCCAACTCTATGATTCTATGATAAAGTCCTCATCTCCAGCCCCAAAGGACAACTGGCAAAGGCAGGGATCCTTTCTTTTCTTCAAAGGACCTGAGCAGTGGCAAGGAATCCATTTGAGAAGGTACCTGCTCAAGTGAAGCCTCAGGAAGCAAACTTCTATCAGGTAACTGGACTGGCAAGTGTGGCCATTGATTCTTGTTTGCATGACTGGCAGATGACAGAGACAAACCATTAATCTGGTTAGTCAATAAGGAGAATACACATGAGACAGCATGAAAACACTCAGTTCATTTCAACTCCTAATTTTCCCGTTATGTCACATGGGGAAGTCATTACTGGACTGTCACCCATGAAGTTAATATGTCTTAAAAGCCATGCATTTTCTCCTTTAACTACAGAATCCATTCCTGTTGAAAAATTACACTTGCTTACTTATCTGCAGAACCAGTCTTGGCAAGAGATTAATCTCATGCCTAGAGAGACAGCCATCTGGTTCTGTAGAAGGGTTACATATTATGGTTGTTACAAACTACTACTTTTTTTCTGCCTCACTCATCTAGATGAATGGATATTACTTTTTATTTTACTTCAAAACTGTTTTCAAGGCCATGGAAATTAATCAGTTGTCCACTGAATAATCATTAAGTATAATTGTCCCCACTGGGACTGTACGAAGTGACAAAACAAAATGTACAGTCTTAACCAACCTGTTGCCTTCCAGATGCTTAGAACTGTAATTCTCATCATTACCGACCATTGCCCATGCTAACTGGAATTGATGGGAATTGTAGTCCAAAGTGTCTGGAGGGAACCAGGTTGGGGAAGACTGCCACAGAATAAGAGAAGTGAAGAACAGTATTGAATATAGAGTCTGATCAGGGTTGGAAAATAGCAGAGTGCCAGGCACATTTTGCACCTAAAGATTCTCCATTTGCGAGCACCTCCAAAAGTCTGTGGGCTTTGAAGCCTCAAAGTATATGTTAAGAATAGACAATATGTTTAGGTCTCCTGCTCCCTCCCTTCTTCTACTCCGAGTAGTCATGTTCAGGGGTCCCCCCCCCTTTTTAAGCACTCTTAATTAAATCTACAGGAAGTTCACAGAAGTAGGGATGGGAAGTGTTTGAACTTAGATGACATTAAGTATTCTCCTGAGTGAAAGCTTCCCAAATTCAAATGTTCATGCTGCTCATGACTGAGAATAGATGTCCAGTAGACTGCCTCACTGGGAATGATAAAATGACAAAGACAGTGAGCTGTTTTACCCTAGTAACAACATTTAAAATTCAACACAGATCACTTTTTCCTATTTAAATATAAATGCAGAGCAAAGCAGCTGCTTCAGTGATTGACACACACCCAATCAGAAACTATTACCACGAGGATTTGCAACTTAGAATGTGACTCAGTCACTTACGACAGAGAAATCAACTTCAGAAGCATTACTAAAGATGTGTTTTGCTTAGAAATGATCAGGTCAAAATTCTTGCGCAGAAAATTAAGTTTCCTAAGAGTGTCAAGAACTAAATTGTCCTGACCCTCACTGATGGATGTAGTACTCAGACTCCGAACAGTTTTTGCAAAAGGCTTTAATGTCAGTAGGATACATAAGTCAGCCCACAAAGCATTCAGTTTACAAGTGTCTCAGTGGTCTAAGTTCACAGCTAGGCATAAGCTAAGACCTTGTCCCAACACCAGTTTCAGAAACTGGGATAAAAAAGCTAGGAGCCAAATGGCATCTGGGACCTGGCTTGTGGGTGCCAAAACAGAATGTCTAGTCTGCCCAACACTTGACACATCCCTGAAGTTCCCCTTTTGAAGAGTGCAGAAGGCACAGTCATTCATGCAACTGACATCCTGAGCCACAGGACTGGGCAAGCAAGCAAAGAGAGCCAGTGTGGTGTAGTGGTTAAGAGCGATAGACTCATAATCTGGGGAACTGGGTCTCCACATGCAGCTGCTGGGTGACCTTGGGCCAGTCACACTTCTTTGAAGTCTCTCGGCCCCACTCATCTCACAGAGTGTTTGTTGTGGGGGAGGAAGGGAAAGGAAAATGTTAGCCGCTTTGAGACTCCTTTGCGTAGTGATAAAGCGGGATAATAAATCCAAACTCTTCTTCTTCTTCTTCTTCTTCTTCTTCTCCCTCCTCCTCCAAGTAGACGGAGCTATCCAAGTCTACTTGCACTAGGAATGTCACGACCACATTCCTGACAATGAAGGCGGAGCCAACAGTCACATCAATCTGCTGTGAGTTGTTGTTTGGCGTGTCCGGTGGCACTGAGACAGGCTTCTCTCTACTCAGTTCACTCAGCCCCTCTCCAGGGTCCAGAGCAGCAAACTACTGGGCCCCTCCTCAGGATACAGTTCATTCAGTTCCCTGTACCTATCCCACTCTTACTCACTCTCTGACCAGTCACACCAATATGTATTCACACAATTCACTACACAAATAACCAGGCGATGATCTATAACACAGTTAGTTAATGTAGTTCACAACACACATACCACTTACAACATGGGTAGGCAAACTAAGGCCTAGGGGCCGGATCCGGCCCAATCGCCTTCTAAATCCAGCCCGCGGACGGTCCGGGAATCAGCATGTTTATACATGAGAAGAATGTGTCCTTTTATTTAAAATGCATCTCTGGGTTATTTGTGGGGCATAGGAATTTGTTCAATTTCCCCCAAAAAACATAGTCCAGCCCCCCCCCCCCAAGGTCTGAGGGACAATGGACCGGCCCCCTGCTGAAAAAGTCTGCTGACCCCTGCCTTACAAGGTAAAGTGCTGTCTAATTCTGACTGTTATTTCAAACCTCTATATCAATCAAGGAAACAGTTTATCCAGTCAGCTCTCACTCAAAGACCCAAGTGTGAATCAGAGCTATCTTGGATCAACTAATAAGACAGTGTAACATTCACATTCATCCTAAAACAGTATCCTGCTTAAAATCTGGTAATTCCCACTCCCCATTTGTATCACATAGTAGTACAGTGGTGCCCCCGCAAGACGAATGCCTCGCAAGACGAAAAACCCGCTAGACGAAAGGGTTTTCCGTTTTTCGATGCGCTTCGCAAGACGAATTTCCCTATGGGCTTGCTTCGCAAAACGAAAAAGTCTTGCGAGTCTTGCAATTTTTTTCGCTTTTCCCCCCTTTTTCTAAGCCGCTAAGCCGCTAATAGGGTTGCTTCGCAAGACGAAAAAACCGCTAGACGAAGAGACTCGCGGAACAGATTAATTTCGTCTTGCGAGGCACCACTGTATCTCCTCCTCTCCATTTTCTTCCCAGAACAATCCTGTAATGAAGGTTAAGCTAAGATTGAGAAAGACTGGTCCAAGGTCACTAGCTTCCTAGTTGAGTGGGGATTTGAACCCTGCTCTCTCAGTTCCTAGTCCAGCACTCTTAACCACTACACTACCCTGAGCTGAGGACTCCTAACACACACAAAGCAGCATTAAAAATAACCAAAGAACCACAGAGGCCATTTAAGAATCCTCCACAAAGCCAGTAGGAAAAACGCATTTGCAAAAGAGGAACTAACATCAACATCTTATTTTCCAATTAACACACTTATATCCTGCCCCTATAAAGGAGTTAAAATGAGCAGTCATGCCTGCTACTTTGATCTGCATAATCACTCTGTTAATGAAACTTGGGCAGAAAGGCAGTGTGGTCTGAAGCATTCCAGCAGCAAGCTTCACTGAGCAAGAATTTGAATCTCCATTGTTCTTGCTACTATTGAAATAATTTTGCTTTGCATGTTAAAAGGATATATATCAGCAAGACAAAATCAAAGATGCACTCTGGCCAAGCTTTCACCATCTTCAAAGTTGAAAGCTTTCTGGGAGTTCATTCTCACCATGCATAGCATTATACAGATGTTGTCCATCTCTCCCTCTTCCTGCACTATAAGCAGTGCTAATCATTAAAATACAACTAATCATTGAGATACTAATGCCTTAATTTTTCTCTAAACTGTCTGCTACTTCAACATATCAGGCTGGTGTTCCACGTCAGGTATACAAATTGTTGAGTATCATGATATTTCTCAAGAAACGTATAGGAGCCATTTCATGTCTGCTATCATTTCTTGCTAGGCAGGAAAGTGATTTTCTTGCCATAAAGTAAATTTCTATCAATATGAAGTAATGAGCCACACTAGACACCGAGAGGCAAACGCAGCAGCATGCTGCATCACAACCTAGAGTAACCTATGATTTGATGGTGCTTCAAATTACCAGCCTACGTAGAAATATGCCCATAAGATTCAAGCTGGTCACAGCCATTCTCTTTACAAACCTAGTAAATACAAATAATTTTCAGACAGTAGTGAATTCATCTCTTTCCCTTTATGTTCCATCATCCCTAATTAGTGTATATACTTCTAAATGCCAGCTGGAGAGAGAGAAGGCATTTGGCATGCTAAGTGTATTTGCATAGCAAATTGGAGTTCAATCCTTGAATGCAGTTGCAATTTACACTGAAAATTACATGCTTGTATATTCACCACCTATTCAAATTCCATCATAGCTCCAAGTCTGCATCTAATAAGAAATGCCCGAACAGAACCTAGCATAGACCTCATTATATATGCACTTAACACATTAGAAGCAATTTTTAACTGCTTCCACTGATGCAAAATTATCGTTAGATTGATTCAAGTACATCACTGAATTGCCCTCTAAGGTCTCATATTGCATAACATATACCATTGTTCTAACTGGTCCATCACTGGTATATTATAGCAAAGTAAGCACACCAATGGTAGCTGTTAAAATTACTATAATGCCAGTAATAATTACAATCAGACCAGAAGTTTACATGCATGTTGTCCTGCCTTGATTGATTTATTTATTTGGAATGTGTTTTGACAGAAGAGGCCTTCATGACTGACAGGGTTGAAGTGTTACATAGCTGATAGGGTGAGGCAGGGTGCAGCAAAGCAGTGATTCTAGAAAGCAGCACAGAAGGAAAAGGGATGCGATCTCTCTGGTGAAGGGTCAGATTCTTGCAGAACTCCAATTGACTCCACTATTCTGGCAACCTCAACTATAACAAAATTGGAGAAACTGCTTATTCATTCGGCTTGTAAACATGGAGTAGCTCATTTACAACCACATCAGGAAAAAGCCCACGGTATTGACCAGATTTTCCAAATGGGAGAGAACACGCTATAAAGCACTTTTCCTGTTAAGAGGGGTTATAGGCAGTCATCATTACAAGAGGAAAGATTCTGAAATGTGACCATTTTCAGCTCTGTGGTTTCAGATCAATAACGTGTCTTCGAGGAAGGAATGTGACTATTTGAAAGCCAATGCGTCAACTCTGAAGACAGGAAAAACTGAATCAATAATGGAGGGTGCTTTTTCTAGAATGTTTTGTAATCTTAATATTTTACAAGGGATTCTACATGCCTTTCCTTTCACCAGCAGCTGGTGGTGTAAAATTCTGTCACTCCTGTGCAGCATTTGCCAAAATGAATTAATTTGTGTTCAGGCTGCTTAAAATGAAGCAGTCAGGCAGTGTCACTGCAGGCTGACCTCTTAAGACAGTCAGTGGTATCTTTCCAGAAAAGTTAATTTAAGCTGCTTCTGAAAAAAACAGATCTGGATAAAATATACCACCAATAGATATGAACCTTAAAAAATATTTGGCAATATTAAATGGCAGAAATTGTATTTAAACATCACTCACACATACAAGGAAGTTAGATAATTTGAAGGTTTATAGGCATGTTTTCTCCTGTGTAACTACGTTCCACAGAATTAACTCAACCCTGTAATTTACCATTCCCCAATATGCATTCTCTTCCCCACCCCCATAAGTCAAATTAGCAGTTCTACATTTAGTTCTCACCAGTCTTCAACAGGCTAGCAGTCCTTCAGGAAAAAAGGGAGAAAGCAATGTAACGTGCACAAACTAGATGATCAGGAAATGGGCAACTGTCCTTAATTATTTCCAAGAATGAGACATTTTAGACACTATCTTATAAAGTCCTCCTTGCTTAGTTATCAGTGCGGCACACCGTCCAAATAAAAACATAGATCTAGAGTCAATATAGGGTTTTAATTACAAAGTGTGAGGTCTGGATTCACATGAACTTAAATCCTTCAAAGTAGTTCAAATCCTACATCGGATTCTAACACTGCCACTGCCTAAGGTTTAATACTACACAGACTGTAATTAAGGTCCAGCATATCCTGAAACCCAGTGTTACCTTCTGTTACCTGGATCTGCACAACTACTTCTTCCCAATGGATTTTATGTTTATGCAAGTCAATATATGGCTATGTACAAACATTCTGCAAGCTGGGAAACATGTATTGAAAGCAAAGGCTGCTTTCAATACAGCTCTGTGTAAAGAATTCACAGATCGAGCAAGGTTCTGGGGTGAAACGGGGGGGGGGGGGGAGTTAGACAGATGAAAACATATACAGGATAATACTACAAAACAAAAACCTAAAAGTTGTCCTGAGGACCCATGATCAATTTTAAATTCATCATAGGAAATAATGGTTAATTTATTAATTGTTAAATGCACAGACCATAACCTTCAGAAATACCATCAAACAGATATTCCAGTAACCCAATAACTTAAAATCCACTTCGCACTTCACCATGTTAATCTTTACGAAGTTGGCTCAGATTTCTCCCTCTAGACAGCTAGACACATTCCTCATCTAGCGATACTGGACACTTCAGGCTTGCTACAAAAAAACCCTTGCTCAGACAAGTGGAAGCAAAAAGGGGGGGTGACTGTTTAAAACAAATATTCAAGTAAGAAGCAGAGACAAAGCAGTCTTTTGGCAACAGAGAAAAATAAAGACTGTATATTTGTAATGGTTCTACTATCTCTTAAATATGTACAAGTCAGAAAGGTCCACTAGAAGATCAGGACATTCCCATACAAATGCATTCATCCCACTTTCCAGGAATTTTTCATAGAAATTGATTATTTAATTTCTTACAGCTTAATATATTTAAAACATCTGTAAGTGTTGCATGAACAACTGAAGCAACAACAGAAAACTTAAACAAAATGTTACAAAAATAAACAGTTACATATAAAAATGTTACATTAATGCCAAGTTACTAATATATAAAAATCATTATCCTTTCATTTTCCTTCTGACACATCCTCCCCTCTAGACCTGTGGGTTCTCACCCAGGGTCCAAACAAACTCTCAGCTCACCCACAAAAGTCTCACAACAAGAAGAGTCCTTGGAAACAATGGAAATCACACCTCTCACTCTAGACTTGCTAAAGTGTTGCGATTTTTGGATATCGCCTGTTACGTAAGTGTAAAGTAAAGTAAAGGGACCCCTGACAGTTTAGTCCAGTCCTGAAGGACTCTGGGGTTGTGGCGCTCATCTCGCTTTACTGGCCAAGGGAGCCAGCATTTGTCTGCAGACAGCTTCCGGGTCATGTGGCCAGCATGACTAAGCCGCTTCTGGCGAACCAGAGCAGCGCATGAAAATGCCTTTTACCTTCCCGCCAGAGCGGTACCAATCAATGCTGAAAAATTAACAGGCATTGTAGAGGCCAACCATTCCCTCTCTAGCTGCTGTCTCCAGGAATTTCAACCTCCATTTAGCTTGAAAAAGGCAATCACACCTTTTCCCAATACAAATAGCTGGGGGATGGGAGAGGCTTGAGTGTGTAAATGTGCCCATAACCACTGCTTAGGTTTCCAAATTTAACTATGGGCACACAAAAAACTGAAGCCAACCTTTCCCAAACTTGGGTCCCCTTATATCATTGGGTTACATCGGCCCCAGTCAGCGGTCAGGTATGATGGGAGCTGTAATCCAACAATTTAGGCCCCAAGGTTGAAAAAAGATGGTCTAAACAATACATACTGGCTGCGCTCTGATGATCTTTCCTGGTTTTACATGTCAGGCTTGCAAACTCTTCTTTTGACCCCTTCCACTGACATGGCAGCCTCAAAGCTTTATTCTGCTTTGCAGTAAACCAGAATTTGTTATGTCTAAAACAGGGATTTTTTTATTTAGTCCACCCAGGAATGAAGCACAGAAACAAGATTGTTCCAATGTAGCCACGTTTAAGAATGAATCCTAGTGAAAGGGTCAATGTGCATCTCTCTAGACAAGTCATGCAATTTTAAAGATTATCTAATAGTTCCAACATTTGTCATAAATATGTTTAAAGGTAAAGGGACCCCTAACCATTAGGTCCAGTTGTAGCCGACTCTGGGGTTGCGGTGCTCATATCGCTTTATTGGCTGAGGGATCCGGCGTACAGCTTCCGGGTCATGTGGCCAGCATGACTAAGCCGCTTCTGGCGAACCAGAAACGCTGTTTACCTTCCCGCCGGAGCGGTACCTATTTATCTACTTGCACTTTGACATGCTTTCAAACTGCTAGATTGGCAAGAGCAGGGACCGAGCAACGGAAGCTCACCCCGTCGCGGGGATTCGAACCGCCAACCTTCTGATCAGCAAGCCCTAGGCTCTGTAGTTTAGACCACAGCACCCCCACATCCCTTTTATATAAATATGTTTAAGTCTACTTTAATGGGAAAAGTCTGTCCTACCCCACCCCCGAAGTCCAGAAAATACCTATATATTTCAGTTTCAAACTGGAAGGAGAGAAGCAGTGTGTTAAGCTGATTAACTAGTAACTAATAATAGTCTTCTTATTTCTATAGCTTGCTGTGATTAATATGGAAATGGCACAAGGTTTAGGTTAAAATAGAACTCTGACTAAATGGAGAGAACTCTGAGAGTATCATGCTGGCTGCAAAATGAAGCACATTCACAAGGAAGTCATTGTCCTTGAACGTAAAAGAGAGTAAGGTGTGTTTTATTATTAGAAAGGTCTTTCTTCCTATAAAATCCATAGGAGAGTTCAAGCCAAGTTTAAATGCAAGACAGAAGTTTGTTGACTGGCATGTCTGACGTTCCAAATCAAATGTTTCATTTAGTACCTGAAGCCTTTGCCTGTATCATTTATTCATTTTAAATATTTATATTCTATAGTTGCATAATAGTATTCAGTACTATTGACATATTGTTTGAGGTTTGGCTAAAGCAGAAAGATGTACATTTGCAGAGCTCTCAAAACGGGAGCAGTATAAGCAATGTTTTCTATTTGTATGTCTCTGAAGCTCTGAGTACATAATTCCCATCTCAAACCATTTGAGGCCTTATTTAGCCCAATGGGCTTTTCCCTCTCTCCACCCCATTCCCCAAAATTGGCTGGAGGGGCCAGAAGAACCTCCAGAATCACACAAGGGGAGGAGAGGGGAGATCATTTCACCAGGCAAGGAGAATGCTTGTGCTGATGGACCATCTCCTTCAACTAGGGAAAATTTAACTGTGAATTACATTTAAACAACAAACAACCCTCCACAGTCCAACAAGCTGAAGTATTTTGGGGTTTAAAATTTGTTGCGTATTACAGCAAGAATACTCATTGCAAAGTATTGGAAGACACAAGAACTTCCCACACTGGAGGAATGGCAGATGAAACTAATGGACTATATGGAACTGGCGGAAATGACTGGTAGAATCCGTGACCAGGGAGAAGAGTCGGTGGAGGAAGATTGGAAGAAATTCAAAGATTATCTACAGAAACACTGTAAAATTAAAGAATGTTAGAGTGATGTTGGATTGAAAATGAGTGGTTTCCAGCTGTACAGGATTTAAAGTTATAGATAAACTAAGATTAAGGATTAGGATTAAAGAAGTTTAAGGAAATGGAAATTTGGCTTTTAAGAGGTAAAATTTTAATGTTATATTATATTAAGATTAAAGATTGGGATTAAAAAAGAGGGAAAGCAATTGCTGGACAAACAATTTGAACTGGAATACAAAAGAGGGAGGTATGAGGAGGTCCAGAAAACAAGTAAATTTAAAGATGGAAACGAAAAGGTGATACTGTTTTTAATTGTTCTTTTTGTTTTGTATTTTGTTTTTTCTTTGTTCTTTGTTCTTTTTTTTCTTTTTTGGACTATGTATTGTGCTTTTTTGAATTGTGTATTTTTCGTTTATGTTTTTCTGTTTAATTTTTTATTGAAACCTTAATAAATATCATTTTAAAAAAAATTGTTACGTATTAAATTTTTCTTTCCTAACTCGGAAGTTCAACTGAGGAATGCTGAGCTGTCATACGCTATAAAAGGCCATGCTACAAAAAAATAAAAATAGATTACCACCTCTTCCCCAGCATCTGGCTCTAAGTTGCAAAATGTTAACTATTTCAATATCAATAATATTGTAAAAATACACACAAAGATACTATGGTTCTGTATTAAGCAATATCAATAGAATGGGCCCAACAATGGTATACCAAGTTTGCATCACATTAATCACCTCCACTCACTTTGGTAGCAAGTTTATCTGCCACTGTTTTGGTTTTTTAAAACTATGTTGCTGGGAATGTGTGTGTGTGTGTGTGTGTGTGAGAGAGAGAGAGAGAGAGAGAGAGAGAGAGATGGGCAGGGGGGCGGGGAGAGGGAGAAGAGACAGAGACAGAGCAAGGGTTTTAATACCCGGTCACTTACAAGCTATTTTATTTGCATTTTAATGTTTTGCAAGTTGAAAAACTGATCAAAAATATAAAATGCATCACTTAGCAGCAATTATAAGAATGCACCAAAATCATCTCGTAAAGCAGGAAGCAAAATTCATTATTTATTTCAAGCATTTTATCCAATGACTTTACACTATCATAACAATCCATGTGTCATGGAGAAACATCCATTTTTTAAGCAAATATCAAGTGTGTACATGACGTGGGGAACTGTGATTAAAACTGTGCAATCATCAAACAGGACCAAACACACATTTCCACACATTGTATGGACACCATGTTCACACATGGTATACATGTTACAAAACCAATGTATGTAGGAGTTACATTCTGGACACTGCGTCTAAAGCCAAAATTGTGCATAGTGAAAAGCCACTGAGTTCAGTGGCAGGTGGGACTGCCAAAGTCACTTTTTCCTGGAACCCCACCCCTTTTCCATTTTAAATTTTTGCCATACACAAAAGGCTGAATGCACACACACACAAAATTAAATGTGTGCAAGTTGCAGGCTTACTGTATGTGAGGATGGTAACCATACTAAAAATCAAAGTCTCCATGAAGGACTTATTTTTTTGTTCCTTATGGAACTTATATCCTACATTCTTGGTGTTAGGCAATCTGGAGGCCTGGAAAATATTTGAATATGAAATAAAACTTGCACAATTAGTCCACACGTCAACCTTTCCTCTTATAAGATAGAAAATCTAATAAAGACTTTGAAACATACACAATTTTCACTGGGGGGGGAGCATAAGCTCCAAATTAAAACTCAAAATTGAGCCATTTAGGCAGTCCATCTATGGGGAGTCCTAAGAGTTGAGTTTATTTTTATTGTCATTCTAATTCACTTTTCATTTTGAAAATTCTTTGTTGGCGGAATCACTTAAAGCCCTCTTCACCTACCATGGCACGTCCTAATCAATAACAAAAAACCAAGGTAAGACAATCAATGGCAAGTCATTCCAATGTGTTTTGAGAATTAAAGGCCAAACGAATCCTATTCATCACTTAGAACATAGAAAGCATTGATTTTATATTTGTCAGAGTATTAACTACTGATGAAAGAGTTGGCCTGTGAAAGCCACAAGCTTAACAATTCTGTTTGCCAAAGACCCAGCTTCCACAAACAAGAAAATCTTGCTTCATCCGTTTCGTGCAACAGGTGGAAACTGCATTCTGAAATGGGGATATCTAAAGCTGGCACAGTAATAAGGCATTGCTATACTAATACAAATCTTATTTCTTATTCATAAAGCTGTATTATATTTTATCAGCCAGTCCTAAGTGTAGTGTTGCTTGGCCAAGACAGTGCAATGCACATTTAAAGACGCATCAACTAAAGAAAATGTCATTTTCAAGCCAAGTACATTTTCTAATATTAAATGTGAAATCTATTGTACCTTAAAATGGTCAAATGAGTTGTTCCACTAGCAGAAGACAGTGTAACAGGTCCCACTGAAGCTAAGGGAATCCTCCCATCCACCCCACAATCTGCTCTGGAGGACTGGGAGAGTCCCAAGAAGAGGGAACAAGGGAGAAGAGGGGAAATTGTTCCATCTGGCAAACGGAAATGCGTGTGTCGACAATCACCTTAGCACGACGTTGAACTCCATCTTATGAGTTCCAACACATTCATGATCACTCTGCCGAAATGATGTAACTACCCTTGCTGGATTAAAATACCTAAATTAGGATTTGGATTCAGACTGGCCATTTCACAAATAACAGGGCTCTTTCCATTAATAGCAGGGACAGAAATCCAGAAGGGGCTCCTCACTGGAGGAATAGGGAGGCAATCTTTGCAAACTCTTCCTTCCCCTACAACCTCCTGCATTGTATCTCACACTGCTCTACAGGCTTCCAACATTTCCTCAAGCACATCCCTTGCAAAATGAATGTCCGGATTCAATCCACTGTGCATTTGTGGGGTTATCCCCAATTTGTGGCCTTATTTTTGTTTAAAGGGTTTTTCTGGCCCAACTTTCTCCTAACAGAAGGGATTACCAGGAGAACATTTCCAGTGCATAAAGGTCAAGTTCTTTTTACTTGTTGCCTAGGCATGAGTGTAGAGACTCAAACAATGAATGCTCCATTAAGAAACATGTACTTCAGGCACACGCTAACCAAATAAGACTTCTGCCAATAGTTTTCAGTTTTTAAAACTCCCTTAAAGTATATAATATATGCCTACCATGCACTGGCACAACACTAATCAAGAACACACAGGGAAAAGCAAAAAAGAAACTTTACAAAGATTTTTTTTATATACAGAATTAAATAGCAGCAATCCACATAAATACAAACTTTTATTCAGATTACTGTCAGATAAGTTTCAACAAAATACATTTCTCAATGATTTCTTGTGACATACATAACTGAAACCAGGAAGACCTGCATTTTAAATGAAAAAATGAAAAAGTATAAACCAAACATTTAATAGCAATTAAAAATCTTAGGACCATATGACAGCTATATCTTATCTAAACACGTAAATGTCTCATGTGGTTCATTATACATTTCTCTATGTATAATATAAAAACTGTAGTTCTAAAAAGGTCCGGATCAATGAATTACTTAAATTCTTCTACAATTTTATTTACAAGCTAGACTTAGTCTTTAGTTCTGAATAGGTTGAGTAGCTGCAGAACTCTTCATGAGTAATAGAGAACACAATTTTAAAACTGTAAGAATGCGATTCTAAGCCCATTGTTTAGTATAGGGCCATAAAATTACCCAGTTAGGTTGTATATTACAACCTTTATTCTGGAGTAGTTTCCATAATGTCAGTAGCAAGAGTAACTGGTTTGCAGATTGCTAGAGGAACCCAAAGCTACCATGGGATTTTCAATAGGACCATTCAAAAGTAAAGTGATTGGAGGACTGCAAAGAAAAGCCTGGTGTCTAAAGGAGTTTGCACTTCAGAGTCTAGATGGAGTTCACACTGCAACATAACTGTGAAAATAGCCTATTCTAAACACACAGTAAATAAAATGGTATTGGCCAAGAAGGTACCATTGTGGCACATAGCTGCCAAATCACCCATGCCTTTACAATAAAAATTGCAACCCTCACAGTAATATGTTCAGACTTATTTCCCAAGAGATAAATCATCTTCTACTCAACAGGGTATCCTGAATTCCTATCCCAAAGCATGGGAAACAAGGAATACAGAATGGCTATATACAAACGCAGCAGAGAAGAAAATGAGAAGCACATCCTATAGGACTTGACCTATATAAACACAGCAGATTCTCAAATGTTGTACTATTATATCACTTGCTGACAAAGCTTGAGGATGGGATTGACCACAAACTGTCAATGCCATAAGGCAACTGGGATAACACTTTCTCTCCCCCCCCCCCGCAAAAAAATTCGAAGGCAGAGGCTGCCAGCTCCCTGCCTTATGTACCGGGGGGGGTGTCAAGATTCTCCTTAAGGTTTTATACTGCGCTTCTGTGCTTTTGGCATAATCTAGGTGATTCTTCCAAGATTTAGTTTGTGAAAAAGAGACCACCCAAATATTTCAACACCAGTATCTGCAGCAAAGATTGATTGTTCAGATGCCACACACCAACAACAGTGTAAATCCTTAAGTGGACACAACCAAAAAATCTACATATAAAAACCACATCTTAAGGGTAAAACACTTTTCTACATGTCCCAAAACTTCTGTGAGAAACCCAGTACTATGTGGAGAACTCAAAAGCTGTATTTTTGTCTACCATTCTGAACTTGTTCTGAGCGAATTAACACACCAAAGACTTTAGTGCCAAAACCTAGAAACTAGTTTTCAAAACAAGAGGAGAATATTAGCTTATTATGTTATAAATTATGGCTACCTGAAAATACACATCCAAATGTGCAAGACAGTACACAACCTTAATGTTTACTTCAATCTGCTAACACAAACACAAGTAACCAACAAGGGAAAGACAATATAAACCAGACTGAACAGTGGGTGGTTCAGAGAGCAGGTACAGCTGCAACACAACTCTAGAGTTGCCATATTTCAAAACTGAGCTCCCCCCAACACACCAGAAAACGTGATTTGACTTGCAAAAGATCCAGGACAAAGTGCAGGCTTTCAGAAATTTTCCCTGGACGTCATTTCCACCTTTGAAATCCTGGTAATGGCCGGGAGAATTTGAATGTATGGTAGTCCTACACAACTCAGTCTGAGGCACCCTCACTCCTAAGGATCAATCGCGACTTGTCATGCTTCTCAACCAGTAAAAGCAGGGGTCATGAAACTTTTTCAGCAGGGGGCCAGTCCACTGTCCCTCAGATCTTGTGGAGGGCCGGATTATATTTGGGGGGGGGGGGAATATGAACGAATTCCTATGCCCCACAAATAACCCAGAGGTGCATTTTAAATAAAAGCACACATTCTACTCTTGTAAAAACATGCTGATTCCCAGACCGTCAGCGGGCCGGATTTAGAAGGCGATTGAGCCGCATCCGGCCCCCGGGCCTTAGTTTGCCTACCCCTGCTCTATTTCATTGTTCATTTTCTCTTCCTGGAAAGAAACTATTCCCTAACTTCAGGAACTATGTCCTCAGCAATTATTAATTTCATTAAAAATTTAATCAGGCAGAAATGGCATGCCTGTGTTACCCTTTCATACAGCCTTGAAAGCAAGCCACAAAAGCAACCAACAAAAAATCTTGCTGGCTGGCAGAGGACTTACAGAGAAAGATAGAGAGCTGCACTTCTACACATGGAGAAGGCAACTTCCCCCCTCCAGCAGTCTATTTGCTTTCTATGTGAGGTACTAAGACCCAGTGTTTGAAACTCCCATTGTACTAGTCACATTTTGTGACAGGGAATTTTATTAGCAAAAGCCGTTTCTGAGCTCCGGGTGCAGTAGTATGTCATGATTTCCCATTAATATTGCAGAGTGGAAGGAAAGGAGGACCTTGTTCTGCCTGCCCACTTCCAGTTATTCTCTGAAGACTGGAGAAGAGACCTTCTTAAGAAAATTAAAGGGGTAGGCAGGGGAAAGACTAGACCATGTGGAAAATGAACGTGATATTTTAGCTGTAGTTCATTCATTTCCAGCTTTGTATTCTTGTTTTTTTAAAAAACGTGCCTGGACATTCCGTTGTTGCTTCCGTAACCTCAGTTTAAGGTGCCATTTAGCTCCTAGCTTTCATATCTCAGTTTCTAACACTGCTAAGAGCAATCCATCCACTTGCTTCATCAGCCGGCTCACTTGCCTACATGTAATTCCTGGTTACCTATGACTAAACAGCCCAGTGCTTAAATACAAAACTAATTTATACGTGAACTTGGCATGGTAGTGGATTAAACCTGCTAAATAAGATTACCGAGAGTAGTACTTTCTTCTTACTCTATCAGTAGAAAAAGTACAGCCTATGATTTACACCTTCTCTCTGCCAAGCAGCAGCTGAGTATATAGTCCAAATTTATTCTAGAAGATTAACTCTTGTAATCAGACCTGAGCCAATGTTTGATAGATTTACTTTCAGAACCCAGTTCGGTATTTCAAGGGGAAAGTCAGTCCTTTAAGTTTACCCCTCTATGTTTGTCAGTTTAAAAAAAAATTGCTTCATCTGAAGTCAGAAGATGCCTTTTAGTGATTTTAAAAAAAAAAAAAAAACCTAACCAAATCCTCAAAAGTATAAAGACAGGATTATGTATATTATATATGCTGTGGAAATGAAGAAAAAAAAATACAAAACAATGCTGTAATTAGATTTTCAGCACCAAGAATGTAAGAATATGACAGCACATTCAGGAACTTAAACAGTGCCCTTTCAGTAATGGGTGTTGGCAACTGAAACAATCTTCTTTGTACTGTTAAATTGTCATTGTAGCACATGCCAAATATTTTCAAATCCCTATACAAATCCGCATCAGAATTTAGGACCCTGCATCAAACTTCGCAATTTTTATATTTTCATTTTTAACAAAATGCTGACATTCGTATTCCACACTGCCAAATCAACTATTCCCTCCTGTCTTCTGAAGCCCCTCAGACACCTCAAAATCTACTCCAGGGAGTTGAGCAGATTTTGGAGTAGATTCTGGGGCACAAAGGAGGCGGAAAGGAAGAGCAAGTCCCATTGCATAAGTGGCATTCTGCTTATGCAGCCTTGGATATGACCCTGAGCAGACTTACTGGCATCAAAATAGTAAACTATTCAAGAAAGAAAAACCAGGGACTAACTTTCTATTCTCTCATGATGCATCAGAGAGCTATAAATACCGCTGATCAAGTTTGTTTTGCTGGGCTGCGCACAATTAAGATCCAACATGACATTTCAAATGTAATTTGTGTCAAGGTATTTATTCACAAGAAAGCAGGAAACAAACATGAATTAAGAATATGGAACAGATTGGTTTTGAACTAATTAAGCAGGAATATATGGAAGATGAGACTGAGAATCAGAAGCATGCATAATTTTCTAAGGACCTGTCACACAAGATGTTCAACGCAGGCAGAACAAACCATGACACAGTTGCTCCAAAACCCAGTTGTACTGCCTTTTTCAATAATCAGAGACATCAAGAATTTGTGGTAAATAAATACCACCCAACTTCAAACATGTGCATTTCTTTAAATGGAAAATGCTTAAATCATTTTATTACAAAAATGTAAGGGGAGATTTACAGCAACAAAAAAACAGCATATTACAGGTTTTATCTACAGCTTAAACTAGATATTTTAAAGCAAGACACTTAACTTAGATGAGCCTTACTGCACTTTGCTTAAAAGCAATTATATATGTGGAGCACCTCACACAACTAAGTTTCTAAGAGACATGTATTTATATATTGGCTACACATTTAGAAGCTGTCCATAAACTCATTTAAGAGGAGGTAATTCTTCAGTGGGACCGGGTGGAAGCTAACAAAAGTAGTGCATTAATGTAGCTGAATTAAATATAATCTCTGGCTAGATTTCAATAGTGGTAACAAGCTTCTTCAATACATCTGGGGGAAATGTGTCCTGTTATTTCTAGTTCAGAATGTTAATATAAAAGCTGAAATATCCTGAAAAGGAAAGGAAAAGAAACAACCTACCATACCTTTGAGAATTCTTACCTTGTTCTCAACTTTGAGGTTTGCATACGTATTCACACCCTGGAAAGCCACAAGTTCTCAGTGCATAAATACCACATCCATGGATTTTCCCTTTACTCTTACAATGAAAATTACAATGAGAAATTTTCCACATTTGTAGGACCTTTCAGTTCTTCCTAAAATAATCTATTTACCCAATAAAAAAATAACTGTTCTCAACTTCACTAATGCTACACCTAGTTCAGGGGCTGGAAGAATGGTGTCTGCAGAGGCCTTTACTGGCATCTGCAGGGTCTTCCCCATACCTCTCTACTGCCATCAAGCTTGAATGAAGTATTCTGTTTCAGTCAATGGACTAGGTAATGTTATATGTTTGGGGGAGGCGGTGGTACAAGAAGTCATACAGTTTGCAAAAACACTCTTCTGAGGACAAAGCCATATGCTTTGCAACTAACTTGTGGGCTCCATTGTCCCAAATAAAAACATCATCTATAAAATGTAATTAAGTTATTAAGAGTAGCTTGCAAGGTATGATTTAGGACAGCCTTTCCCAGCCTGGTGCCCTCCATATGTTTCTGACAAAAACTTCCATTAGCCCTAGTTAGGAAATCAAGTTCCAGAATATTATGCAAACATCTGCTTATACTGCCAAAGAAGTTGAAAGATGGAGTACCTACAAGGCAAATGCAAGATAGGAGAAGCCCAGATCAATTTTCTTGAATGCTTGTATATCCTAAATTATTAAAGGAAAGGGTTCAGCAAGCAAATAAAACCGTATGTTGAACTCTACAATAAATGGGCATCTTTTACAAAGCAATAATTTTGCAATTATAACATCATTATTTCATTCAAGATATAAGAATATATTTATCTACTTTAATAGCTAAGTTGTATTTGTGTGATATACGTACATAATTCTGTCATCTATGTATCTTGCAGAACACTAAAAGACTCAAATCAATTTCACCATTGTATTTCATCTATTTGCCAAATATTTTCTAGCTATGAAGTCAAGTCATTGTTCAGCAGCTAACAAATACTGTCAAGTTCTATTATGCCTCATAACTATTCAAGTTCTTAAAATTGCATTAGCATTTGCATATCCCAAAAATGAAAAACAATGTAATTTCATTGCAAATTCACTGTGAAACATTACAACCTTTCCCCTGCGTTTCCTATTAAGGAAACAACCATACCAGATTCCATTTTATTTTTTCCCAGTCACCTTTTTCAACTGATCTTCATATTTAACCAATGGCTGTTAACAGACTTGCTCACTTGCCCAAATCACCAGAATTGATATGGGCTGTTGCCTATATTTTTAAGATGTACATATGAAACACTCTTTGAGAACATCCAAAAAAACCTGTAACTGACATGTGACTAGTAAGAAGTGGAAGTGGTCGCAGCTCAACATTCACCAGCAAATGGAGCTGCTATTGGATAGCAGGAACATCTTTGCTGCTGCTGCTGCTCATACTACATCAAGATGAGGTTGGTTCATTAGTAAAACTAAAGTTCTGCAAATCTGGAGGATGCATACTTGAAAAATCCTGCACCGCTAAGCCACTGATGTGGCTCATAGTGGAATTATTGCTTTTAAGAATGAGGACAAAGCACATTGGTACAATCAAAAAAGTGTTTACTGGGTGTACTATTGCTCTAGGCAGGGACCAACATGTTGCTTCTAAGTATTAATGATGTGATCATATATGTTGCTTCTAAGTATTAATGATGTGATCATATATGTTGGGTAGAATAACTGCAACTCAGTAGTTCATGATCAGTTAATTACTAGGCTAAATTTAGGTTCTTATTCATTCCCATTTCACAACTCTAACACAATCACCCGTATTGCATAGAAACCGATGCAAAACTATGGTGCAGTTCATCTTCATCCTCAAACAGCATGTGAACTGCTACATATTAGCACCCACTATAACTATCATCTTCATAATATACACTAGTTACAGGCAGGTAGCCGTGTTGGTCTGCCGTAGTCTAAACAAAATATAAAAAAATTTCTTCCAGTAGCACCTTAGAGACCAACTAAGTTTGTTATTGGTATGAGCTTTCGTGTGCATGCACACTTCTCCAGATACACTGAAACAAAAGTCACCAGACCCTTATATATAGTGAGAGGGTGGGGAGGGATATTACTTAGAAGGGTGGTAGGAATGGGTGATTGGCTGATAGGTGTGGTAAACCTGTTGACAACTGTTAAGGACTGCAATTGGTCTTAAAGGAAAAAGCAAGGGATGAGTTGGCTAAAAATAGCTTTATCATGTATAATGAGATAAGAATTCAACGTCTCTATTCAGATATACATAATATACACTAACACTGATCTCTGTTCTCTGAGTGCCAACATTTATGTACCAGCACTAGCCATGTCCAAGTGGGGGGAAGTCGGCAGACCCAGAGAAATCCCAAGGGTTGCATAAACAAGGAGGAAAGCAGTGTTAGAAACTGGGATAGAAAAGCTAAGAACCAGTGGCTCCTGGGACCTGGGTTGTGGGCACCATAACAGAATGCCTAGTCACCACCAGGCGGGGGCGGGGTCAGCAACACTTTTTTATTTGTTATTTTGATAAGCAATTCACATAAGTGACACATTGTTCATGTCACATTTTTAGCAGAAATTGTTAATACATGTTTAATTTGGTGTTTACAAGAGAAATATTGTACCGTACTTCAGTTTTCAAAACATTATTCTCTTTATTGTTAAACTCCTTAACTTATTGTTTATCCTTAACATACACTTCAAGGCTTCAAAGCATATACATTTGTGTAATCCTTGAGTATCAGCCAGATGCAAAAAATTGCACCCAAACCTTCGGAGGTGCTCACAAATGGAGAATCTTTAGGCACAAAATGCACCTGGCGTCCTGCTAATACAAAACCCTGGAGGAAACCCCAAGCATTTGAATGAAGACTGAGCATGTTTAGTGGATATAGAACGCTGACTGACTGGGGTAGAAGGAATGAAAACCCAGGTCAGGGGAAAGCAGTGGTTGAAATTATGAAAAAGAGACACCTCACATTAACATTTTATTGGAAGCCCCACTTGTACTAATATTCAGCAGGGATACAAGGCACCTGAAAGTACATGCAACACATACTAAATAACAACAGAAGAAATACCATTAAGTGAAGATACCAGAGAGGATACAACTGAGAGAAACAACAAGGCACCCTCATGTTGTGAGCAACTGTGTAGGTGCAGATAAAGTGTAGATTTTGTCCAAGTGAACAAAAAACAGAATGTACACAGTTAAATACACATAGCAACTACATTCACGTATCACATTACGACAGGATTTCCAGCTTACTATGAACAAGCAGGATGCTAGTGCACACAGCCTGTTTAGGCTCAATTTGCTTCTCCCTTTAGACAGTAGGTAAATCAAACCAGAAGCCAAAACTAAGCTTGGCTTCTTATGATGTGCAAACCTGGCAACCTAATTTGTTGCTTCCAGAACAAGCCGGGGTTGAAACTTGCTTACAAACCTTGCTTATTTCAGAGCAACAAACCAGGATGCTTGATTTGCACATCATAGGAAGTCTGGTTTAATTGTGCTTTCCTGGTTTCCTTTACCTGCTCACATGAAGGGGTAGAGGGAGTGAACAGGCTGTATTAACTAGCACACTGCTTATTCACAGTATGCCAAGAATCTTGACCACTCTTTCATATTGAACAAACAAGGCATGCAGGCTCTAGTCATTTAACTGAATTTTCAAACACCTCCATTATCAAAATATGCACACAGCACATATCTTTGCACTGTTGTGCTTTTTAGCATAGGAATGCTCGCAACAGAATACTAACTAAATTCTAACACATACTAATTTGGGAATGTGGAGGAAGGTACCTTGTGAAAGCGATTTCCATTTATACCAACAGAGGAATTGTGGATTTAAGATGAACTGCATTATAGATGTGTGAAACAGAATGTCGTCTCCGAGGCGGAGGAATACAACATCTCATCATATAGCCAGTTATTTTGTGTTATTCATGTCAGAATGAGAAGCCCATTTTAAGTATAAACCACACTTGCCAGAGTAAGAGAATGCTGTTTCATCAGAAAGTATCTAGAAAAATTGTTCTACAAGCAGTTTTTTTCCAAGCCTCCAAGATATATTTTCTGCTGTCATCGTTGAAGTCATACAGCTTTGTTTGTCACAGCAGAAATGAAGCAGACATTCAAATTTCAATTGAAGAGGCAAAAATAGCAGTCTGATTTATCATGCTAAATTTTACATATAATACCATGGACTTGTTCTTAGTTCTTTTAATGAAACAGCAGTTATTGTAGTCAAACTACAGACTTGTTCATATTAGCCTATGGAGACAACTTTCAAAGAACAAAAGCACTTTAAAGAACTAGAAAGATTCAATTGCTGAAAGGAATATAACAGCATGAACACAACAGAATTTAACTTTTATTGGCTGCCAGTTCACAACTGATGTTATGTGGATAATTTCTTCCTATTAACAGATACACAGACAGCACCAGATAACTTTTGTTGTTAACTTTCCGGTGCTGCTTCTGTACAGATGTTAAAAGTAACTAATATTATTTACTCAATATTTTTAATTTTATTTTTTGTTTATTATGTAACAAATTAGCATTTCTTTTAACAGGCTAAAGGCAGCAGCCCAAAGGAGGGTGGGCAAAATTAATAGTGCTTTTATTGATAATTAAAAAATAATAATTTAGAATTTGACATTTTAGAATTTAACTATAATGACTGTACCTAAATATATTATCCTAAAAGCTGTAGCTCTCTTAAACTTAACCCATGGCTCTCAGCCACACATATTCACTTAAACATGTTTTTTTGTATAAAAAATCATGAGGAAACATACTTGACATTTTCATCTCATGCATTGTATCCTCATGTATTAATTTTTAAGGCTTACCTCCTAGAGCTTGAGAGTGGCAATCACCTCATGCTAGAATCTAGGAGATGCTACCTTCTATCTTGACAGGATCATCCATTGTACCCACCTGGGTGTACACGACCCGTCTAATTATTCAAACTCTATGAACTACACATAGTTATTACTCTGCCGAACACCATGAAGAGTCACCATTGCTCAGGGTCCATTTCATTCCAGTCCTTTTTTGGAACATTTTGAAGGCTCAAGTCTTTAAGGAAATTATCTTGCTTAGAGTCCCTCCGTGTATAGAGACCACCAAATAAAAACTTATTAATTCCTCAATCCTACCCTATCCCCATAAATAATTCTGAACCACAACATATATGCAGGTTGCATGGTCTAAAAACTACAATTTTTTTGCATACCAATATGCTTAACAGCATGTTTTTCCACAAAATGCAAATTACAAGTCAAATTATTTCCTTTTAATTGTGATTTAAATAATGGTTTCATAGCATGACAGACCTGTAGATTTGGAAGGGACCAGGATAGTCATCTAGTGCAACTCCTTGCAATGCAGGACTCTTTCAACCAACATGAGGCTCGAACCTAAGAGTCTCATGGTCTAACAACTTAGCTATCCCAACTAAATAAACCAGTTCATCCTGTTTTGAATATAGGTAAAGGGACCCCTGGGACGCGGGTGGCACTGTGGGTAAAACCTCAGCGCCTAGGACTTGCCGATCGCATGGTCGGGGGTTCGAATCCCCGCGGCGGGGTGCGCTCCCGTCGTTCAGTCCCTGCTCCTGCCAACCTAGCAGTTCGAAAGTACCCCCGGGTGCAAGTAGATAAATAGGGACCGCTTACCAGTGGGAAGGTAAACGGCGTTCCGTGTGCTGCGCTGGCTCGCCAGATGCAGCTTGTCACGCTGGCCACGTGACCCGGAATTGTCTGCGGACAGCGCTGGCTCCCAGCCTATAGAGTGAGATGAGCGCACACCCCTAGAGTCTGGCAAGACTGGCCCGTACGGGCAGGGGTACCTTTACCTTTAAAAGGACCCCTGACCATTAGGTCCAGTCATGGCAGACTCTGGGGTTGCGGCACTCGTCTCGCTTTATTGGCTGAGGGAGCCGGCGTACAGCTTCCAGGTCATGCGGCCAGCAGTGCACAGGGGGAGGAGAGGAAAATCCTTCCCTCTGGCAGACTGAAATGCTTGCACTGATGGAATGAGCGCCAGAGCACTACGAAGAATTGCTCCTCCCTTTCAATCCAACAGATCAAGTTCAATGTCAGTTATTTCTGTAGGGGTAACTCAGGATAAGGTATTCAACATGTCCTCACATATCAGATATAACAGTTATTTTGCCTGCTTTTTGTTAGTAAAGGAATAAAGAAGAAGAAGAAGAGTTTGGATTTTATCCCGCTTCATCACTACCCTAAGGAGTCTCAAAGCGGCTAACATTCTCCTTTCCCTTCCTTCCCCACAACAAACACTCTGTGAGGTGAGTGGGGCTGAGAGACTTCAGAGAAGTGTGACTAGCCCAAGGTCACCCAGCAGCTGCATGTGGAGGAGCAGAGACGCAAACCCAGTTCACCAGATTACGAGGCTCTTGAGCACTACCCCACACTGGCTCTCCCTGGAAGAGAGCCTGTGGAAATGACCTTATTTTTCCTTGCTTTGTGTGGATACAGGCAGATAGACACAACCTGGGTAAAAAAGAAGGTTCCAACTGAACACATTCATAGAAAGGAATATAGGAGCCAATAACAGTCACTTTTAATATGAGTTTACATCCTCATTTTTTCGTTTTACTCCTGACACAGTGAGAGTTCCACAAGAGTTGAGAAATAAGTAATTTTGTTAAACAAGTAACTTTTCATGAGCATGGCCCAAGAACTTGCACATCATAAAAACTAGATGAACAGCACTATAGAAAAATCTTCTGGACCTAACATCATATATCATAGCACACCTAACAGTGGGAAAAGTCTATGCTTACGGAAACACATGGGCCTACATATATACTTACTTACACACACACACATGCGCACATACACAAATTATACATATCTAAGCTTTATTAATTGTACAACTATTTCAGGGAGGGAGGGAGACTTGTTCTGTCACACCCTCTCTCTACAATCACTAACTTGCCTACCTAACGAGTCAACCCACTTCCACAAAGTTCAAACCTTAAACAAAATGTGGCCATTTCACAGGTTTCCAACAGTGGAATGATAAAACAATGAAATCTATAGACTGCCTCTAAACATCGCCGCTATTTCTCAGCACCAGTGGGCCACACTGGTTTCCCTGAAGTCCTCTTCTTCCAGAGCAGCAACCCCCCCAAAAAACCCCAGAAGGCAGGTCCTTTGTGGAGATAAACTCCAATGTCTTTCAGCAATTTTGTTACTGGTGGGGAGAAACGAACATAAAGATTGGCTCCAAACCCAATGCATGCCGCCGCATCATAGAACCCTAGAGTTGGAAGGGATCCCAGGGTCATCTAGTCCAACCCCCTGCAATGCATGAACCTCAGCTAAAGCATCCATGACAGGTGGCCATCCAAGCTCTGCTTAAAACCCTTCAAGGAAGGCGAGCCCACAACCTCTAGTGGGAGTTCGTTCCACTGCCAAACAGCTCTTACTGCCAGAAAGATTTTCCCCCTGAATGTTTACTCAGAATCTCCTTTCTTGCAACTTGAAGCCACTGGTTCGAGTCCTACCCTCCCGAGCAGGAGAAAACAAGCATGCTCCCTCCTCCATGTGACAGCCCTTCAGATATTTGAAGGCGGCTATCCTCTCTCCTCTCAATCTCAGCTAAACATACCCAGCTCCTTCCACCGCTTGTCATACGGCTTAAGTTTCCAGACCCTCGATCATCACGGTCGCCCTCCTCTGAACACGTCGGCAGCCCACCTTCTTGCGGAGTTCTCCTCCCAAACCGATTCCCGTCGTTTCGAGACACGCGCGGGAACCGACGGCGATTTTTGCTCTCCCAAAGCCATTTCTGACATTCTCCCCGCCCGCCCCCCCAACAAACCTACCCTCGATGTCCCCATCTTTACCCCTCTCCTTCTAGTTCTGCAGTAGAACGAGGGGGCCGCCGCCCTCAGGAGGAAGGTAACCTCATTTCCACGACACCGATTCATCCAGACCTGGTCGCCCCCCCCCCAACACGGCCAGCCACCTTCCCCAAGGCCGCCCCTCGCTCACCAAGCTTCCCTCGGGATTCCTCCAGCTTCTGGATCTGGTTCTCCAGGAAAAGGACGGACACGCCGAACGCCAGCACGGCCAGCAGCTGCAACTTGGGCGGCAGCATAATCCGGAGCAGCCCCATCGGCAGCAGCAGCCGCAGCAGCCGCCCAGCAGCAGCCGCCGCCGCCGCCGCCCGCCTGGTCGCACGTCCGCCGAGGGATCACGACATCACGCGAGGCCCGGGCAGGGAGGCCGGAGGGAGCTTCGGCTCGGTTGTGAGGGGGGGGCGGCGGACACCACACACACACCGCGGGCGAGGGAGGCGGCGCCGGCGGCGGTTCACATCCCTCGGGAGACGTCGCGGCGGCGCCTCAGCGACGGTCCCTTCGGCCACCGACACGTCCGAAGAAAACACCTCAGCGGCGCCGTCAGCGACTCCCGCTCGCAGGCACGAGCTCAGCCTGCGCGCGCTGCTCAGCAACCGAACGCCCGGGCGTCCTCACGCCCACCGACGTCGAACCAGCCAGGACGCGGGTTCCGCCCCGGCGCTCGCTTCTCATTGGCCGCCGTTCGCCGCCCTCCCGGCGCCTATTGGCCGAGCGCGCCGCCGGGCCCGCCTTTCGCCGCTACGAAGCCTAGCCCCGCCCAGGGACGTTTGGAGCTCCGATTGGGCGGCTTTTCGTCCCGAAAGCCCGGCCGCTTCCACCCCACCCCCCGCCCCCGCCCCGAAGGGATTGGATGGTGCGAAAGGGCCGTTCGTCGCGGTCTCATTGGCCGAGGTCCTTTGCTCCTTTTCCCGTGTTCCGTAGCGCAAGAGTGTTTGCGGAACTGCCTGACAAGAAGCCCCCCAGATTATGAAAGGTTTTGAAGCGCCCCACCAGCACCACAAAGACACCCCAACTCTCCCCCTTCTTGCTCTTCTTAGAAGTCATCTTGATGGTTATGGGAGCGCCTGAGCGGCACTTTACTGTTTCCTTCCGATCAGGCGAGGCTTTAGACGCCTTGCCGGTTGGAGCGGGGGCTATCAAGGCATTTCCGTTGGTGCCGTCGTCGGTTGGGGCGCCAACATGGCGGTGGGGAAAGGAGCAATGGGGTTCGGGCGCTGCTGGGTGTGGCTGTTGGCGGCGTGGCAGGCGGTAAGGGGAGTCTTAAAACGGGGGGTCGGGAGCGACGGGCTCCGCGTGAGGGAGTGGACGGAACCGTGAGGAGACACGGAGTCACTTTGACCCAAAACCAGACCAGGCCTGTCTGCCTGCTTGTCGTGGCACCTGGGACCATGGCCGTAGCCGGGATTTTCGTTAGTGGGGGGGCAGGCCTTTTGTTAGGGGGGAAAGAACCTCAATTAGCTATGTATTTTTATTGATTTTCAGGGGGGCAGCTGCCCCTCCTTGCCCCCACCCCACACCTTGGCTACGCCCAAGCGTGAGACATCTGTTTCTGAATAAACAGCCGCAGGTTCAAATTGCGGATTTGTTCCCCTTGGTTTTCTCACCTTCCACCGTGCAGGAGCGCTAGCTTAAAGAAAACAATTGTGTGTGTGCATATAAACATGGGTGCAGCGGGGGGGGGGGGCAGACCCTCAAAAATTATTGAACAAACTGTGGTTCTCCCCCCCCCCCAAAAAAAGGCAGAAGCAACAGGCGATTTGGACGAACGCAACAATTTTTTCAGCCTTCCCCCAAAAAACCTACGCCCATGTATATATAGATATCTCCCTGGTTTAACTGGCCGTCCTTTTCTCTCCCCCTTGAAATGTTAGCCTCGCTGCAGATCGTGTATTAGAAAGCTTATGCCGTGGCTGATATGCGAATGTGTGCAATAACCTAGAAACACGCCCCATGGAAGGAAACTGCTCAAGCCAGTAGCAGTTACCAATGTAACCCGTAATGGCTGAGATTCAAGTCTACGTGTTACAGACAGGATATGAAAGCGAGGAGCTTAATGGCAACTTAAACCGAGGTTGTGGACGCAACAACAGAATGTCTGGGCGCACTTTTTTATAACTAGAATACAAAGCTGGAAATGAATGAACTGCAACTAAAATACTATGTTCATTTTTCATGTGCTCTAGTCCTTTCCCTGTCCACCCCCCTAATATTCTTAAGGGGCCTGTTCTCCAGTCTTCAGAGAGAAGCTGGAAGCCAGGAAGCAGAAAAAAATCATCCTTTTCTTCCACTGCAGTTTTAATCTGAAATCATAGATGCAGTACTGCTCCTGGAGCTCAAACAGATTGTGCTAATGAAATTTCCAGTTGCAAAATGCACCTAGAACAATGGGAGTTTTGAACACTGTGTGTTACGTTCTAAGAGACCCAGGTTCGAAGCCCTTCTTAGCTATAAAGCTCACTCAGCATAGCCTGCTTTGCAGTGTGGGGTTGTTGTTTTTTATCGTAAGTTCATCAGTTAAAAAATGAATGGATGCCAATTCTGAACATTGAGCAAAGTTGAAATCTTTGGACATTTTGTGTTTTTAAAATAGACCTCACTCTCTCCCCGCTCCGCCCTCATCATCAGCTGTCATGATACTATAGACATCAATGAAACTTGTGAAGATTGTAAGGCATTAGTGCCTGTTTTTGTAATGAGAAAAAATTAAGAACAAAGTATCAATTTAGTTTAGCAACTTGGAGTAGCTGTTAAACCAAAATGCCAACATTACCTGTCTTTCTTTTGCTCTCCTCTAGCTCTGAAGAGTTACCACAAATTTGTAATATGTGTTAACTGAACAGTTTAAATTATGTTAATCCATAATACGGGGGTTGTCAAAAGCCTGTTTTCTTTACAGTCTTCAACTTGTAACACCATGCACTCATTCCCCTATTTTAATAATTTACAGCACTTTAAATGCACTTTTTCCTGGAACTAATTCACATTGTGTCCAGTGGTGCTAAATCAAACTTGTATTTAGCATTGTCACTGTAATACATTATATTCCTATTTGTGTTTATGGCTAGCATTTAGGTATGCACTTTGTGCTGTTTTGTTTTACAGTTTGTGATCTTACTTTGTACATATCTTCAGCTAAGTGCCATTGCATAGATTTTTCAGTGATGGTGAGCTCAACTCCTTAAAGAAAAAGCTGTGTTATGAAGTGATGGTTTGTTACACTTTAGAATGGTATGGTTGTTCATTCAGATTTTTAAGTGAATTGTACAAATCTTAATTGCTTTTAGGCATCAGTATATGGAGCAGAATTATCATCAGAGGCCTGCAGAGAGCTGGGCTTCTCCAGTAACTTGCTGTGCAGTTCTTGTGACCTTCTTAGCCAGTTTGGCTTAAATCAGCTAGATCCATTCTGCAGAAAGTGCTGCCAAGAAGAAGCCCAGTCTGAAACCAGAAAGGTAGGTTGAATAATTAGATTTGAAGACCTGGACTATTATTTAAAGTGTGTTAACATGAATGAATTCCAGACCTAAAGCTAATTGTTTTATTGTATTTTTTTAGCAGCCATTTTAATACCGGTTGTTGACATGGTTCTTCTGTTAATGTTATTTGTGATTGAGTCCCTTAATTCATGAATGTCACAACCCTCTCTATCTTCTGTCTGCTTTCTGCATCTTGAAAAATTGAGGTATATTGCAGGCTTGAACAGAAGGGAAATGCACAATTAGTGAGGGAAAGGGTGGGCAGTTTCACAATTGCAGAAATGTTAATTTTATATCACTGACTTTGGTTAAGGGGTTTGGTAAAAGGGCTTGTTTTAGTATTATAACTATGTATTTGTCAATTTATATACTGGTTTACTGCCAAGATGGTTTGGGGGAATTTGGAAAAGTTCCAGCTCCGTGATCATTTTCCTTCCCACCCCTTGTGTGGTGTGTATGCGTGTAGTTTGTTGTCTCTACAATATTCTTTCTGAGCTGTCGTGATCAGAACTGGATGCAGTAAATCCAAATCTGCTCACACCATAAATTTATATAAAGGCATTGGGATACCGGCAGTTTTATGCCTTGCACAAAATGTGAAGAGTTCTTGTTCTGTTTGTACTGTTTTGTTGATAACAACAACCACCCAAAACTCTGTGTGGGGCCAAGTGAGGTTCCATTTTCAATTCATAATGCTGTACTTTGAGTACCTATACTTATTGGTTCCAATGTAAATACATAATAGCATTCAGCAATACACAGACACCATAATATAATAATTAGCATCCGCTTTGCAATATAGATGGAAATTAACATTCCTATTCACATGATATAGTTAAAGAAGGCTCCATCAGAAGCCCTGCATCCAAATATGCATTGCCATACAAATGTGCAGTTGTCTGTCCACATCGATCTGCACATGGGGTTCCAAATTGAGTAATGGAGTCTTTGCACAGAAGCAACCTTCCTGTACATACATCCTGTGCTGGACTGACCAAGCAATATTTGCAATAGATGTAGTGTCTGAAAGGATTGTGTTGCTCGGGTTAATATCTGCAAAATAAACCTCCACAAAGTTAATGAGTCCAATGGGTCTGATTTATACTTTGGGAAATCTATTCTTATTTGGAAATTTCCAAATGTTTGTTGAACACTTTTACAAAAAGTAATCAACTTTGAGAGCATCAGAAATACCTTGGATAAGCATTTTTAAAAAGTAATGCTGTTATATGAGCAAGGAATAGAGCTTGAAACCATCTGGCTGTTAAGACTTAATGAAGCCACTGGTTCTAGAACGCAAACTGACTGGAATTTTTTTGTTACAGTACATGGTATTTTGTGCTTTTAAAGGAATTTTGGGAAATCTACATGTTTTATGAAAATTCTGCTGCTTGCAGACTCTACAGGATGCTATCATGGAATTACAGAAATCTTGGGAATATATTTGTATGATTTTCTAAAACTGGTACTGCACAAATATTAAAATTGCACACGGCATATAATCTAAGAAGAAAGACCTGCACATAAAAAAAGGGAAGAGGATTCTAATCTTGCAGCTCAAACAATCTGTGGAGATGTTTTCCCCAAAAGGATTTGGGAAGCTATAGGTAATTGTAAATAATTATTTAAAATATGGAATCTAAAAAAGCTTCCTGTGCTAGAAAGTATATAGTATATTCATTTATTCACACTTCTATGGAAATAGCTGTTCAGAAAAGTAATTGAATCAAATACTAGAGATGCTCATTGGGTATGTTTTAAAAAACCCTTTTAAATCCTTGGTGTTAAGCCCCAATACTGTTAAACTAAAATATCCATAGGCTAGAATTCATTTTGCAGAAAGTGAACAGGAAGCAAATGGGGAGCGGCAAAGGAGGGTTTGGGCCCAGAAAACACATGTCCTCTGATGCCAACTTCTGTCACCAACCCCAGGATCACTTCAACGGCAAACTGGGGCTGCCCTTTCAACAAACCAGAAGTGGCATGTGAATTGGACTTGCAAGATGCATTCCCTCTGACTCCAATTCTCCACCCTGCTATCAGTGACGACAAAGTACTGCTGCTCTGCTAACATAGAAAAGATGACAGCATGCAAGTTGAGGGGGAAATGAGCTAATCTGAAGAATTTTTCCATTTTAAATTGCTGCAATAATTGCCTTTCCCGTAGATTTTCACGCGTGCTCTCTCTTCTTCTACTTGTATACATTGTCATTTAAGCAGCAATCACTTAGCTAGGGTGTGTGTGTCCCAATTTATTCCCACTGAGAAACAACAACATCGCTTTGTACAAGACCAACCTGCTAATTTTAGTAGATGAGTTCTCCATATTCATTATACTGAGGGTGCCCTTTGGGTATTCCTGTTGATTCAGGGAAGGTCTTCAATCAAGTGCCCTTCAATTGTATGCTCAGTGTTTCAGAAATCCTCTGCTCCAGGGAGCAGCATTTGTCATGAAGAACTTATTTATAGAGACTTCAGAGCTGCATTACTTACAAATGGAAGCTTCTCTGAATATTTTATCTTGAAAAGAGGCATGAGACTAGACTATCTGCCATCTTCATTATTTTCAAGAACAGAATCCTGACAGTTTTTATCAAACAAATGTCCTGTGAGCAACAGAAGGAAACATTGGCCTTTGCAGATAATCTATTGTTGCTTTATATCCAAATGCCTTCACTTAATTCAGATGTGGGGATCTTAGCTAGAATCACTGCATTGTTGGGTGCAATTTCAACTTGTTCAGCTTCAGAATGAGTTGTTTTGATTAGAAAGAAGAATTAAGTTTGAGCAAACCTATTCATCCCTTTTTACCACGGGCATACCAATTCATCTGCCATACTTGGCATGGCAAGCATCCCTGTCTCCTCTGTTGAGGACTCTGTGGAATCCAGTGCACAGAGCTTCCTTGCTTCCTTTTCCTCTTGTGGATTATTTCCGTTTCTTTTGGTGATTTTCTTTTTTCTCTCTCCCCACCCACTTCCTACATAACAACCCCTGAGGGCCACCAGTTTTTCATGCCAAAGGTCTGAACTGAGGGCTTACAGAGGGATGTTTTTCTCCCCACTGGCTACTCCCACCTGCATTTCTCATCTTTATTCTAGAACAAAATCAGTGGATACAGAGACTGCTATGCATGCACACACCCCTCTGACCAACCAAATCACAGCATAAGTGCTCCTATGTTGCACATTGGGGGAAATTTTGGGACTTGAAATTGCCACCAGATATTTTTGCTCTGACTATTTCCAGGAGCGCTTTAGGAAATTTTGAAAGAACAAGCATGTTGTGGTTACAGTAACGACAACAGTGAGATTTTGTTCCAGAGAACAGCATGCTTTACAAATGGTGAACAGTCAGGACTTTAAGGTTAATCAAAACGGATGACTGAGAGCATGCAAGTGCATTTCTGCTGACCTTTCACACTCCCTGACTCCCATGCCATTCTGGGTTGGTCCTCCATTCCGCTCTGTGAACTGTATTGTTTTAAGAAGGTTTTAAAACAAATCACGTTTGACTTGAAAGAGGCCTTGCTAAGTGCTAATTCAATAAAGTTGATGATATGAGGTCAGGCTTGTCAGAGTGAGCACCAAGAGAGTAACAAGCATAATTAACACTCTTACAAATTGAGTAAGAGGGGATATTTCTTACAAGAGTCCATTGTTTCATGACAGCTACGGTTGCTGAAGTGGCATCTTACATGGGCTTGCTGTAATTTATCAAATACTCAAGCAGAGCACCCTAATGTGCCCGACTGGACCCTTGTGGTCCCTTCCAGTTCTATGATTCTATGACTTGGAGACGGGGGGGGGGGGAGAGAAGAAGGAATTGGAGAAGAAAAATGCTTTGTTCTCATCATGAGAATCATCCTTCTCCCACTTCTGCTGTCTGAAAATTAACTGCAGCTCTAGTCACCACCAAAAGAAGGATGAGTTCAGGTTACAGAAGCAAAAGATGGCAAAGGAGCTGTTCTAATCAATTATGATCACTCTCAGAGAAGCAGGAAGTGCTTTTTAGGGACACAGAAGACGAATTCTTCAGGAACTAGAGGGAGAGCAGCAGCAGAGGCTGCTGGCTACCAGTTGAGGCTGCTGATCTGCTTGTTAGCAAACCAGTCCTCCGAAGCTGCATTGTATGGTTTGTGTGATTCACATGCCTGTCTGTGAGGAGCATGAGAAGGGAAGACAGGCTTATCTCTCTTCCGGAATGAGACTGTAAACTGTGCTTTCACTTTTACGCTGTGGGTTCTTTTGCTCTCGGAGCTCTGAGAGAGCACCGTGATTGCTTGTTTGTATAGTCTGTAAATAAATTAGTAGTTTAGAACTACAGTGTCTCTAACGTCTTGCAGTGTTAAGCCAGAAGGATAGTGTGCTTACACCAGCTGGTGTAGCTCGCTGAGAGCGCCCTGGAGAAGAAGGGGATGCCTTTTCCAGAGCTACTCTCACCGGGGTACGTCCAGAGGAATGGGGGCTACAGACACCCCAGGGCGTTTTCTCCCAACACTGCTTTGGTGCACAGTGGATCTTGGGGTCTGGTCATAGGGGAGTTCAAAGAGGTGTGGCTGGGGAGGATGCTGTGAGGAGACATAGAAAAGCCTGCCAGGCTGAATTTAGTTCTGGGGATCATTGCCATAATCTCCTTTTTAAAAAAAATTGTTATAAATTTATAAATAATAATTGTAAAGCTATCGGGTAAATCTTAGCTGTCCTAAATATGTTTACTTGAAAGTCATTTCTGCTGTGCTGAGTAGAACTTTCTTCCTGGTGAGTGTGCTTGGCTTGCCTTTTATGCTAAGGCTTAAATTGTCAGAGAGCTGTTCACCTAGGCCTGGTTCACATGGCCTTGGCTTACTGAGAATATGGAGTCCATAGTACTTTGGCCCTCTCATGGCCTTTTTGCTGCCACACTAAGCCATCGTTTAGCTTAGCATGTCATCTGAACCAGGCTCTTGGTTAAGTACTCTTCTTTGACTACAGCTTGCGGTAAGTCAAGAGTTAACCACTAGTCCCAGTTTGGACAACACATGATGTGATAAACCTTGGCTTGACTTAGCACAGCAGCACAAAGCTCATGGAGGCTTTCAACTGTAAATCTTTTTAATAAATGAAATCCTCCAGCACACTTTTGAGAAATAATTGACAGTACTAATATTTGAAGCAATTATTCTTCCATGGAAAGAGATAATGGGTTGCATTCAGCATAGCACTAAGTAAATCCTTGTTCTAGCAGAGAGACTTCCACTTGCCCACTAGGACTTCTGCACCCTCCTTCTCCCTCTCTCAATTTTTTTCTGGGGGGTTACCTGAGCCCTTTGGATCAGATCTGAGAATGCAAGGGGAGAGGGTACGCATGATGGGGGAGAAGAGGGAGCGAAGCCCTGCTGTGTAAGCAGAAGTTGCATTTGCACAAGGATTTAATTGAATACGGTCCTAAGGTTTTTAAATGAAAAAGTGTTTATTTCAAATACTTGTTTGACCACCCTTCATCACTAAGCAGTCCCAGAGTGCACCATATGGAAACAGTTAAAGACCAATAAAAGCAATTATACCACGGAGATAAGAGTTCCTCAAAAAGCAGATTTAAAGTAAACTATTACAGTCGTACCTTGGAAAGCGAATGGAATCCGTTTTGGAAGTCCGTTCAACTTCAGAAACTTTCAGAAACCAAAGCACAGCTTCTGATTGGCTTCAAGAAGCTCCTGCAGCCAATTGGAAGCCCCGTCAGATGTTCGACTTCCAATAATAGTTCACAAACCGGAATAGTCACTTCCAGGTTTGCGGCGTTTGGGAGCCAAAATGTTCGAGAAATAAGCCGTTTGGAAACCAAGGTAAGGCTATATTTGATTACATTTGTAAGGCTATCAAGAAAATATGAGCCTTCCCAACAAAAAGCAAGGTGCAGTTAAATCCATACTTGCTACTATGAATTATTTGGATCACTGCAGGTTCAAGGCCTATCTGCCCTGTACTTCATTTCCACTCTGTTTTTGTATTTGTACCAAATATGTCCCATTCCAGTGACCTGTGCATATGAACAGGCTTCCTCTCATGTGCTTTGTGAAGAACTGTGGGCATAAATCACATACATACTTAAGTGTCTCCATATTTTTGTACAACTAATTGCACTTAATGCCACATAGGACTGCAGCTGGGTTGAGGTGTTGACCCTGTAAGTACTAGCAATTTTCCATTGATGTTAGTGAAGGCAAGGCTTTATCCTCGTATACTGAAATGCTCTTTGCTCCTTGCAAAGAAGAAAATATTGCAGTAGCAATAAACAGTTACAAAGTATTGTCCTAACACTGGCAAATTTGCTCCAAACAATGCACTGACGACTTTCAGCGTCCGGAAATCCTGTATCCAATTTCAGACTAATTCAGAAAGTTGCTTTAGCAGCATTACTTTAGACAGCTGCACGTTGTAAGCCTCGCTCTCACCAGTGCAGAATGATGCTGGTTTCTGAAACACGGAAAGATGAAATGGAGGCGAAGGTAACTGTGCATGAAATTGTAGTAGTAGAAGAAATTGCCAACATTTTGCAGTTGCTGAAAATAGCTGCACTTAGGAGTGTCTGTTACCCTATATCATCTGATTGAATCAAAGAAGCTTGTGTCCTTAATTGCAGGAAAATATGATTGTTGGGAGAAGCCGGGCGCTCTTATGTTTTGGTTATGAATTGTACTAAAGTTGCATATAAAAATGCATAGTGCTCCAAAATCTGTAGAACCCATTGAAGCAATTTTAACAAAGCTATTACATACCATTGTCAGTAACATCTCTTATTTACTAAATTATCACTTTGTGTTTTTGTAAAAACGGGAAGATTTCCACCAAAAGAGCAGCAATCTAAAGATATTCCAAGTCAACTTTTACAAATAGCGTTTTTTCTTAAAACCAAGTGATGTCTTTGTGCAGGTGGCTGCTGTCATCTCCACTTTCATGGATGGCAAACAAAAACTTAAGGGCCTTGCCTGAGTTTTTGGGGATGACAGCCCTAGCAGAGCTATATGAGAAAGGGTTGTAGCTCAGCTAATGGTCATTGGCTGCATTTGGACATCACAACAAATCACTTTTGTGGTGCGTGGTTCCCATTCTGGCTCCCATGTTTTCCTCCTTCTCCCCCAGCACAGCTGCTTTGGTTGAAATATGTGTAGTTCAAACCATGGTTTATGAAGCAGACTCATTTCAACAAACCATAGTTATGGTACACTACAGTATAGGGTATTATTATTATTATTATTATTATTTATTTGTACCCTGCCAATCTGACTGAGTTGCCCCAGCCTCTGCTGGTGGTTTCCAGCATACAGTCATACCTCATGTTACATTTGCTTCAGGTTGAGCATTTTCAGGTTGCGTCCCGTGGCGACCTGGAAGTACTGGAAAGGGTTACTTCCGGGTTTCGCTGCATGCGCAGACGCGCAAAATGACATCATGCACAGAAGCGGCGGCACGTGCAGACGCGGGTTGCATTCTGCTCATGTTGCGAACGGGCCTCTGGAATGGATCCCATTCGCAACCAGAGGTACCACTGTATATAAAAACATAATAAAACCTTAAACCTTAAAAAGCTTCCCTATACAGGGCTGCCTTCAGACGTCTTCTAAATGTTATATAATTACTCATCTCCTTGACAGGGAGGGCATTCCACAGGGTGGGCGCCACTACCGAGAAGGCCCTCTTCCTGGTTCCCTGTAGCTTTATGTGGAATTGCCAAAAGGCCCTCGGTGTGTCCGGGTTGAACAATGGGAGTGGAGATACTCCTTCAGGTATACTGGGCTGAGGCCATTTAGGGCTTTAAAGGCCAGCACCAACACTTTGAATTGTGCTCAGAAATGTACTGGGAGCCAATATAGGTCTTTCAAGACCAGTGTTATGTGGTCTTGGCAGCCATTCCCAGTCACTAGTTTAGCTGCCGCATTCTGGATTCCTTGTAGTTTCTGAGTCACCTTCAAAGGTAGCCCTACTTGAAGCGCATTGCAGTCGTCCACACGGGAGATAACCAGATAAATATGGTTATGTCCCTGGCTAATTGGGAATCAGAAACGAATACTTGTTGACTCTTTGTCACAGCTGCACTGGTGGTCAAGACAGGAACATGGAACAGCAGAGAGAGAGGCTAGTCTTGCTCGCATCATGATAAATCATTGTTTATCGTGATGTCTGAATTACGTACGGAGAGCAATCAGATGGTGTTGATGCATATGTAAACTGAGCCTTTGAGCAACCTGGAGTTGATCTAGGTGATCCAACATGTTTTTCATAAGGGCCCAGTCTTGGGTATGACTTAACACTTGATGAACTAGTTCACAGTAGCTGTCATTTTTCTGTTGTAAATTTTTATCCAGGTGGTAGTGTACTAATGAAGAGCAATTTATCAGGTTTCTGAATTGAATGGGGATCCTTAAACTCGTAATGGGGATAGCAGTGCTCGTGGAGTGGTGGCAGAACTTAGCATGAGCTTGTCCCCACAAATGTGTAGGTCTTACACATAAGTAGCATACCTGAGCTGGGCTGTGTATGCCATAGAAACTTAATAGAATATATGTGCGCCTCTTTCCTTTTTGGCACAGCATTCATCTCCTTAAGAACTATCTCTTAAGTAGCATCACACCAAGCAATAAATAATAAGGGTTTTTTGGCAGGCGCAAATGCTCTGAATAACCCATGGCAAAACAAGTAATCTTACAGAGAAGTCTAATTTTGGAAAACAGAACATAAATTCACCGGGGGGGGGGGGGACTACAAAACCAGCAGTCCTGACTTAAATGGCTGTTGGTTCTTTTTAGGAAATTGCCATTCTGCAACCTTTTATAGAGGGAAACATTATTTTATTAGGTGCAAGATATTGACATTTATTGGGAGGATAATGCTCATTGCTGTTGTTTTAACTTTTGATAAGTGTATTTAGGGGATTGCCTGTACTACAGTAGAGCCAGAAAAATATGAAACAGTTCTAACAGAAGATGGTCGGGCCTGGTGGACTGAACCCCTAACTTTGGTATTATTTATTTAGTTATTGAATTTCCTTCCTTTCAAAGGAGACCAGGGTAGCAATTTTTCTATTCATATGGCTTCAGGTGCTACTGGCTCTTGGGCCAACAGGAATGTTACAGTTATTGGTCAGAATCCCAGTGGTTGTGGTCTGATCCTGCACATGGAGCTTTCAGTTACCTCTTCAGTTAGAAACCTTCCTCCCCAAAGATTGGACAGCATTATGGGGTGGCACCCCATGAGGTACAACAGCCTGCTGCCACAATGAAATATAATCACTGCTGGTATGTCGGGAGGACAGTTTGATCACAGCTATACTGTCAGGGGTCCTTTACCTTTTTATATATATAGAATATACAGTCGTACCTTTGCATACATATCCCTCTGGATATGTAATCTTCAGGTTACAGCCGCAGCAAACCCGGAAGTGTATACTTCCAGGTTTCACCGCGTGCGCATGCACAGATGCACTCAATTGCGCAGAAGCGCACCTCTACGTAATTTTCGGGGTGCGAACAGACCCCCGGAATGAATTAATTTTGTATCCGGAGGGTCCACTGTATATAGAATACAGCCTATGTCCTGTGTCTGCAGCATCTGGATTTTAAGTTACCTTATACAGTGGTACCTCTGGTTAAGAACTTAATTCGTTTCAGAGGTCTGTTCTTAACCTGAAACTGTTCTTAACCTGAAGCACCACTTTAGCTAACGGGGGCCTCCTGCTGCCGCCGCACCGCCACCGCCCGATTTCTGTTCTCATCCTGAAGCAAAGTTCTTAGCCCAAGGTACTATTTCTGGGTTAACAGAGTCTGTAACCTGAAGCGTCTGTAACCCGAGGTACCACTGTATTTTCCCTCCCTCCCCACCCCAGTCTTAATCATTCTCGATTTAGGAAGATGGTTCTGATGTTGATGTAACAATTCTTTAACACGTTGGTGGTTTTAAAATATTTTTCCTTTTATGCATTAGTCAGCAGTCAGATTAGTGTGATGTCTTCCTTGAGCTTGCTTTCCAGGGAGATTTGTGCTGCAGGGTATGCCTGAAGCTAACTTGCTTGCTGCGCTTGGAACTGTGACATTTGGTCGGTTGTTGAGCTCTGTGGACCAAGGCTCTCCAGATAATTGCAGAAGAGCTCAAGGAAACAAGAATGCCAGTAAAAATGAATCCCTCTTCCCTTTCTTAGATATATATTTTAGGCAACTTTCAATTTCTTGCCTTCATTTCACTGGAAATATAGCATATGAAGATGTAAAAGGTTCAGTATTAGGGTTGCCATACGTCCAGAATTTACCAGACATAGCCGGAATACAGCTGTTTCTGGGTGGAAATCGCTTAAATGTCCAGGAAAATCCGGACATATGGCAACCCGTGTCGGCAGTGTCGTTTTTGGCAATTTCCCTTAAAAATAGCTCAAATTTTGCCAAAACTCTTGTGTCCGGATTTCTACTTTTTGAACTATGGGAACCCAACTCAGTATAGATATAACGTGGCCAAATCCCAAGAGAACAAGGACATGGTTCTTCCTCTTCCCTACACAGTTTCCTCTTACAGCTTTTGCTCTAAGAGTTCTGCAACCGAAGACAGCTGGCTTTTCAAGCTGAATGGCAGCCTCTTTCTTTGGTGGCAGAAAGAGCAGCAGGGAAATGGAAAGCAAAGTTCTGGCTCTGAGTGTGTTCTCTCATATGCACATGTACACTCCTTTAAACCTTACACATAATGCTGCTTGTCTCGGGCAGTTAACTGAGCTGTCAGACTTGTTCCCCTGTTGGACATGTTCACATCCTTGCGACTTTTTAAAAAAAAAAAGTAGGAGGGGTGTTGCCTGTTTGCTGGAACCCTATTCAGTTCTTTCATGTTCTCCTGTATGCACACACTTCTCAGAAAAGGGCAGAGGGAGCCAGAATGGACGGTTGCCATTTGCATTCTGCTTTTTCCATAATGCAGTGCTAATGGCAACTGCCCTTTTGTCTATTCTCTGGCCTTAGAGCTACAGGAGTTAAACTGCCTGCAGAGGAAAAGAACACACTGGAGCCACTTTCAAAAGCAGTGCTAGGAAGACCCTTCCTAGGAAGACCCTTCCTAGGAAGACCCTTCCTAGGAAGCAGTGCTAGGAAGACCCAAAATATATCTATTGAGAGCACCAGGGCAGCACCTGTGGGTGTTTCTCATAATGGTGGGAAGTTGGCAACTTTGGGGTGGGGGGCACTGTGGAATGGGATCATGGCAGCAGACCCCAGAGCGCCAGAAAAGCATATGAAGGGGTGGGGTGGGGTGTGGAAAATGTGGGATTTAAGCAACGCATGTAAGCAGAAAAATTGCTCCCCATCCTACCAAGGCTAATATGCCAGTATATAAAAATCCTTTTTACAATAACTTGATAAATCCACTTTTCCAGTAACTATTCACTTTCAAAAACCTATTTTGTGTAGCAAAGAGATAAAAGAGGTAGAAATATTTGAACGGCGCGGATCTTTGAGAATAACTTTATCTGGGTTGCCATGCAGTTCAGAGGAATTGATAATAGAATGCATTTAGTGCTTTGGGCTGATTTTACTTTGAGTGACCTGATTTCACTTCATTTTAAAGTCTGTTTCATTCTGTTACACTAATTAAAATGCAGCTGTCAGCTTTAAGGATTTTGACTTTTATTTTTAGTTCTATGCAGCCTTTATGTCTCTGGGCTACTGCCAGAGGCTCTATCAAAGTAGTGGTAATTGTTCATTGGGCCAGATTCTCATCTTGCTCATGACAGTATCAATTGGTAATGATCCTTCTCCCCCCCTCCCCCCCAGTTTTCCCCAGTTGTCATATCATTATTACAAATGAAACTTTGGAATTTTATTCAGTATTTGCCTGGCGTGACCATTGCAGCTGGGAGTAAAACATGGATTTTGGGTATTCATATAGCTTCATTTTATCTGGCTTATGGATAAAATGAAGAACACCTAAAAACATAGAAAAAATAATAAGTAAAAAACAATTATGCAACTCCTCCCATTTGTCTCTGTTTGCCTGCTCTTTCCCAGAAACCAAAATGGTAGCTCCTTTGGTAACGGCTTGTCTTTTATTTTACATACTAGCCATATATTTACCAGAATTTTAGTCAGGAGGTTTTCATGCTAACCAAAACCGATGAAAGTTGGAGTCCAGCAACATATGGAAGGCTAAAGTTCTTTAATTGATGGGTAAATTCTCAAATGTGTACATATATTTACCCGTACATTTATTTTGTGGATTAATTCAGATAAATGTATGTACTTTCAGTTTCTGAGTGGTAAATGTTGCTTTCCAGTGCTACCTGTTACTTGGCTTACATGCTACTTATTCCTCTGCTAGTATTTTCTGCTTTGCTATTTGGAATTTGAATACGAAATTTGAAATTTTTGCTAATTACGAGGAACGTGGGTGGCGCTGTGGGTTAAACCATAGAGCCTAGGGCTTGCCGATCAGGTCGGCGGTTTGAATCCCCGCGACGGGGTGAGCTCCCGTGGTTCGGTCCCTGCTCCTGCCAACCTAGCAGTCCGTGACTGGATCTAATGGTCAGGGGTCCCTTTACCTTTACCTTTACATGGCTTCAAGTGGTTTAGAATTATTACTTGGCCTTGACTCTTTGCAAGTATCAATAAAAACTCAAGCTGTCATTTGACAGTGTGAAATACCATTGCAGTTGAAGTCTTGGTTTTTATAAAATAGCTGTCAAATATTTTGTTAATAGTCCAGCATACAGATATAACTTGGAGAATGTTTGACATGATAATTAGCAGAGAAGAATTTTCAGCAGCAAAATTGTTGCCAGTCATCCTGAGAAAAGCCAGATAGAAAATTCTCAGCACTAATATTTGTAGACGATACAAATACAAAGGGCATAGAAAGCATTTAGACTCACTCTGGGTCAAATTTGACAGTTTGCTTGTAAATCCAGATGGTGAAATATACCCAGAGAAAGGTTAATTGTTGCTTGTACACTAAGGTGTACTTAGAAATGTCAGAGTATGCGAAAAGCTGAAATAAACATTTAAACCTTAAGTATGACATTGCTTAATCACATGCACAGGAAGATTAAATTCAGCTTACTAAATTAATTCTAACTAGACTCTTGCAGCTGAAACAGCTTCAAATAAAACCTGGAGATAGTTTTAAGAAAATTTCTCAAATATATTTGTAGAACTGAAGAAACATAATTATTTTCTCTTGAAGTGGAAGTCCATGCTTACTGATGGTTCACAGAGTTTACTTATTCACAATGAACAGTCTTGTGAACTTCAGTATTTTTTCTTTATTCCACCCTTTTTCATTACTCTTCTGGAAAGAAGAATTGACTAATGCAGGTCACACAACAAGCACTTCTTCATCCCAGTCGTTAGTCACAATCCACACAATTTTTATGTCAAAATGAAGGACAAAATTTCAGATCTGACTTGAAACTTGGTTTTAACAAAGTTGGCAGTGCTTCAACTTAGGTAAATACCAATGCATCAAATACGTAAATGAACAGGCTTACTGAGATTGCTTGCTTTCACAGACAAACTCTTAACTATCAGAATGATCATGCTCAAAAAGAGTAGATGGCATGGGAATTCTGTCTTAATAATTATGAAAAGTATTGCATGGGGCAAACTTTGGTTAATGGCAGTAACCATTGTTGCTATTGAAGGTGCTGCTGTGCAATGCCAGGCCAATGATTCATAAGACCACTGCCATCCATGACTTGATCATGGATGGAGGACTTGACCCGGCATGTGTAACAGAGACTTGGTTGGATGAAGCAGATGGGCCTGTCCTTGCCACTGCTTGTCCACCAGGTTTCTCTTATGCACAGCCTTGTGGGCGAGGGGGGGAGGGTTGCAGTGATTTTCTTAATACCAAGTCTCAAGTCATTAGTTTGCACCAGGCGTCCTATTGGGAAGACCCAGTTCCCTGAGTGCATGTTCTGGAAGTTGGGCAATAGGGGCAGTACAGGATTCCTTTTGGTGTACCAACCTCCCCACTGCACCAAGGATTCCCTGTCTGAGCTGCTTCAGGTTGTGGCAGATGTTCTTCTGGAGACACCTAGTTTGGTTGTCCTAGGGGATTTTAACATGCACGCCGACACGACCTTAAAAGGGGCCGCTTGGGACTTCGTGGAAAGCATGGCCTTCATGGGGCTGTCCTGAATAAGTCTGGCCGAACTCCTAGCCACGAACATGCCTTAGACCTGGTGTTCACCTCTATGAATGTTGGTGATCTGACACTAAGTAAAAGTGAATCACTGGGAGCTGGGGGCACTGTTATACAGTGGTACCTCGGGTTACATACGCTTCAGGTTACAGACTCCGCTAACCCAGAAATAGTACCTCGGGTTAAGAACTTTGCTTCAGGATAAGAACAGAAATAGTGCTCCGGCAGCAGTGGGAGGCCCCATTAGCTAAAGTGGTGCTTCAGGTTAAGAACAGTTTTAGGTTAGGAACGGACCTCCGCAACGAATTAAGTACTTAACCTGAGGTACCGCTGTACAGTGGTTCCGCTCCTTCCTCCTGGGCTGTGTTCAGAAAGTGGGGGTGGGGGAGATGAGTGTTCAGACCCCTGGGCTCTCAGTTGTGGGGTGCCTCAGGGTTCTGTCCTCTCCCCTATGCTTTCCAACATCTATATGCAGCCACTGGGAGAGATCATCAGGGGGTTTGGGCTGGGTGTTCATCAATATGCGGATGATACCCAGCTCTACCTCTCTTTCTAATAAGAACCAGCGAAGGTCCTGTGTGAGTGTCTGGAGGCGGTTGGAGGATGGATGGTAGCTAACAGATTGAGGTTGAATCCTGACAAGACATAAGTACTGTTTTGGGGGGACAGGAGCCGGGCAGGTATGGAGGACTCTCTGGTCCTGAATGGGGTAACTGTGCCCCTGAAGGACCAGGTGCGCAGCCTGGGAGTCATTTTGGACTCACAGCTGTCCATGGAGGCGCAGGTCAATTCTGTGTCCAGGGCAGCTGTCTACCAGCTCCATCTGGTACGCAGGCTGAGACCCTATCTGCCTGCGGACTGTCTCGCCAGAGTGGTGCATGCTCTGGTTATCTCTCGCTTGGACTACTGCAATGCCCTCTTTGTGGGGCTACCTTTGAAGGTCACGCGGAAACTACAACTAATCCAGAATGCAGCAGCTAGACTGGTGACTGGGAGCGGCCGCCAAGACCACATAACACCGGTCTTGAAAGACCTACATTGGCTCCCAGTACGTTTCCGAGCACAATTCAAAGTGTTGGTGCTGACCTTTAAAGCCCTAAACAGCCTCGGTCCTGTATACATGAAGGAGCGTCTCCACCCCCCATCGTTCTACCCGAACACTGTGGTCCAACGCCAAGGGCCTTCTGGTGGTTCCCTCACTGCAAGAAGCCAAGTTACAGGGAACCAGGCAGAGGGCCTTCTCGGTGGTGGCACCCACCCTGTGGAACCCCCCCTCCCACCAGATGTCAAAGAGAACAACAACTACCAGAGCTTTAGAAGACATTTGAAGGCAGCCCTGTTTAGGGAAGCTTTTAATGTTTGATGGATTACTGTATTTTAATATTTAATATTTTGTTGGCAGCCGCCTAGAGTGGTTGGGGAAGCCCAGCCAAATGGGTGGGGTATAAATAATAAATTATTATTATTATTATATATCAACCCCAATCTAGAATAAGTTAAGTTGTTCTGCTGGCCCGGAGGTCCCCATTCCACCTCTCAAAAGTGTGGATAAACGATAGAATTGCCGCGCTTCGTGGAACCGTAGAATTGTAGAGTTGTAGAGAATTGTAGAGACAGGGACCCCAAGGGTCCTCTATTCCAACCCCTTACAATGCAGGAATCACAACACGGGGAAGCCCTGTTGTGGTGAGGGCCTGAGCCACACTGGGATTCACTGGATTACAGCAGGCCTTATTGCTAAGCCTGCTCCAGGCTGGCATAGCTCACAGCAGACTTTTGCCTGCCCACACCTTCTGCTGTGAGCAGCGCCACCCCTGCCTGTCGCAGGTTTGGATTGCTCTGTCACTTGCCGGGGGGGGGGGGGGATATTGGTTTCAACAGTAAGTCAGTGCAGCTGACTTTCACTGGATGCGCATCATCACATTTATGAAGATGTAGCTCTTCTTGCTCCATGAAGTTGCACATCTTCTGCTTCATCCAATCGTATAGGTGACTTTGCTTGGCCTGCAGAATGTATTTGTGGTCTGTGAAATGGGAAGTTAACACATAGGTGGTATTCTGGTGGTATTGTGGTCATGCCCTTCAAACAACAACTGACTTAGCAACGCATTTGCTCTAGGAGCATTTAGGCTATCGACGCTGAGTCCTAGATGAATTCATTTTTAGTGAATTATTATTCTGAACAGTGATGCCACGGAAGCCACCTTCTCAGGTTGGAAAATTGGCAATTCTTCTAAATTTACTTACTTCTCTTCCTAATTTCACTAAAGCCAATAGATGCTGTATTCAGAATAGATTAGGCAGGTCATCATTCTTTCATTAGACTTTGAGTTTTGAATAGCAGAGCGATAATTTTGCAACCCAATAGGAATAAAGGGGTTTCTCAAGTGACACATTACAACCCTCTTATATATACATTAGTTGTGTCATTTGTTCAATTGATTTAGTATTTTCTTCCCTAAATATATTTTTTCTGTTCTTTTGCAGCTCTATGCAGGGGCAATTCTTGAAGTGTGTGGATGAAAATTGGGGAGGTTCCCTCAAGTTCAGGGTAAGTGAATTTGTAATTTGTCCTTTTAGTTATTTAAGAATGATCACCTAAAGGAAGACCTCATTGCACCTGAATTTTTTGCATGGATCCTGAAGCAAAACCCTGTCCTATTGTGTATATACATAGATATGGCAACTTACTTTTATGTGAAACATATGAACTCCAAGTAATAGGAAAGAGCAGTGGAAAACACATGTCAGATTTTTTTTTCCTAGGTGAAGTAAAAATTGAGCTGCTAATTTTTTTAAAGTAGTTGTGTGAAGGTACTTTTCTCTGTTGTTTTCATTAGCCTTGTTTTTGAGCACTTGAGTACATTTTTAACAGACAAGTCATGTGAATGCAAAATGTCACATTCACTTCCTACATTTGGGACTTCATTAACCTTTTTGAACTGAATAAAGCCAGTCATTTTATGACTCTTCTGACTGGCAGACGTCTTTTTTCCCTGATGGAAGAAGTGGGTGAGATCTTGCTCATCATACTTGGAGGATTGAAACAGAAGCAGGGGAAGGATTAAGGGTGGCAATCCAAGGCCACCAGATTTTCCCCTTTGTCACGAGTTTTTTCTGTGTGTGCATTATTCATAATGCTTTAAAATACCCACATGTGCATAGCCATGCTTGAAAAGAGAATCTTAATTGAGCATCTTTAAGTTCTATTCTGCCAACTGACCCATCATCTGTGATTGATAGGTAGTGGCTTTCCTTTTTTATTTATCAAGTATTTATTTAAAGCAGTGTTTCCCAAACTTGGGTTTCCATGGTTTTTTTTGGGAGTACAGTTCCCATCACCCCTGACCATTGGTCCTGCTGGCTAGAGATGATGGGAGTTGTAGTCCAAAAAGTTTGGGGAACACTGATTTAAAGCATTTTTATTCTCTTTGCTGCTTAAAAAAACCAGGAGTAAGATCGTGACTAAGCTCACACTCTAAAAGGCATAATAATAATAATAATAATAATAATAATAATAATAATAATAATAATATCTTTATTGTCATTGCCCCCTTCGGGGACAACGAAATTACTTGACTGCTCCATAATAAGACTAATTAATCAATACAGTATAATACAGCAAGGGAGATTAGATGACTTTCAAAGTCCGGGCTTCCCATTCAGGGCCGAGATCGCTCTGGAGAAGAAGCTGTTCTTAAGACGGCTCGTTCTTGTCTTCATCGTCCTGTATCTACGTCCCGACGGCAAGAGCTCGAAGAGACAGTGACCAGGATGCGATGGATCTTTTACTATGTCCAGTGCCTTCCTATGGCACCTTGTGGCATAAATCTGCTCTAAGGTGGAGAGTGGGCAGCCAACAATGCTCTCTGCTGCCTTAACAACCCTGCACAACCCCATCGTGTCCTGGGTAGTACAGCTTCCGTACCACACACATAAGCCATAAGTGAGCACGCTCTCAATGGCACAGTGATAGAAGGCAAGATAATGCACAGGAGCAATCTTTTGTGCAGCTTCTTAAAGTTACAGTTATAACTGCACTTCCTCTCTTTATTTTCAAAGCCAGGGTGATGCTCCTGGAGGTTACAGCCAGAGAGAGAGGAGTTCCTCACTGCACCCTCCAGGAGGGTCAGCCTTGCCCCATAGCAGCTAGGCTTGAAAAGAGCCTAATTGCAGCAGGGGCGGGGGAGGCAGAGCCAGCTGTGGTGGCACTGCCTTATCAGTCGTACCCCCCTCCCCCCAAAAAATGCCCCCTCTAAAAGCAGCCTCTTGGTGAAGAGGAGGTGCTGGTGTCTCCTCCCACCCTTGTTCCTGATATAGACCTTCCTTCCTGGTGGGTACGTGGGTGCCGGTTTGTGGCTCACCGAAGGTGCCAAAATGTCTGGGGCCACCCTGTTGGTGGTTCCCCACCCCACTATATCTTGTGCATGCCTCATCCTTTGAACCCAAAAGGCCATGGACTGAACCTGGGACCTTCTGTCTGCAAAGAACATGTACTGCTGACCTACGGCCTTCCCCAGATGGCTCTAGTAGGTCTGCACAAAATACAGGCAAGGCCCCTTTGCTCCTTAAACTAAGCCTCATTCAGCCCTTTCTTTGTATGATGCGGCTCGTAAGACCTGTCTTCACCCTAATGGGTTCTTCGGCATTTTTTGTGTGGAGCTAACCCCCCGCTTTTCTTTCTATGGGGATGCAGACCATTCCTGCATTCTGCACACCTAAACCAAAATCTTCTTGCATCTCAACTCTTCCTGTTTGTATAATTTAAGCCACATTTGTAGCTTGTAGGGGGACCAGGCAGCTGCGTTTGCCCTATCTTTCCATAGCCAGGTTGCCCAGACTGTGAGATTACACAGTGGAAATGCTGCTTGTCAGGCTGTAGCTGCCCCTCTTTGCACATTGCAGTTGGTTTTAACCAGTGCTTTTTTTTCCTTTAAAAAAATGTTTAGGGGTGTTCTCATTTTCCTACGCATATTGAAATACTGCCCCTCAGTGAAGCCAAACTCAGATTCACAAAGTGTTTAGCGGTATGCGTACCCCCCAGAAAAATGCACTGGTTTTAACTGATGGTGAAAGGTGGATAATAATTATGTTGTTATTTATGGAATTTCTTATTTTAATGCTGATTCTTTTCTGGGGTGGTTTCCTTGCTCTTGTTTCATATGCACACAGTCTCGGGGCTAACAAATAGAACTTTAGCGGATAGGTTTTCATCTTGCATCAGTTTTTTCTCTAAGCTTTTGAAGCTCACTCATCCTCAGAAAGCTTCCCATGTTGAGAATATCTCATCAGAAAATGAAACTGTAGCAGGTTGTCTGCAGGGTGTTTTTTTAAACCAGAAGATGTCTCAATTCATTTTTCACTAGATTTAGAAAGCTGCCAGTGCTACAATATGTCTGATAGTTTAAGTTGACATCAAACATAGCAAAGCTGGTGTTAGATTTCCCCCCGCTACCCTCCTGCTTCATTTTGTTCTCCGCATAGTGTGATCTGTTCTGTCTAACATCATTGCACCACTGAAACAGAAATGTGTCAACAAAGAGGTGTGCACAACTGCTAGAAACACTAGGTGCTTTTAGGCCATCATTTGACCAAGCAACTTGCAGCTCACCTGGACAATTTAACAGTGGGCCTCAGGCGAGCAGCTGAGGGACGTGTTCATCCGGCAGCTGCCATAGTGCAGAGCTTTGCAGCTACTGCATAGCTGTCAACCTTTCCCTTTTCTTGCGAGGAGTCCTATTCGGAATAAGGGAATTTCCCTTTAAAAAGGGGAAAAGTTGGCTGCTATGATCTATTCTCATACAAGAGACATATAGGAAGAAAGAGCAAACATGCAGTGTTCGAAACTCCCATTGTTCTGGGCGCATTTTGCAACAGGGAATTTCATGCGCATGAGCAGTTTCTGAGCTCTGGGCACAGTACTGCGCCTAAGATTTCTGATTAAAACTGCAGAGTGGAAGGAAAGGAGGACCTTTTTCTGCCTCCTCACTTCCAGCCCCTCTCTGAAGACTGGAGAAGAGACCCTCTTAATAATATTAAGGGGGTGGGCAGGAGAAAGACTAGACCCTGTGAAAAATGAACATAAGTTTTTAGCTGCAGTTCATTCATTTTCAGCTTTGTATTCTCGTTATAAAAAAGTTCGCCCAGACGTTGTTGTCGTGCCCATAACCTCAGCTTAGGGTGCCATTTAGCTCCTAGCTTTCATATCTCCATTTCTAACACTGCACACATGCAGGGACAGGAGATAGGGAAGGGCAAATTAAACAGGAATGTTGGACTCTGTTTTTCCATCACACCCTTTTTTTTTAAAAAAATGAAAGCCTAATAATTAGTCCAGATTGTAGTACTGCTGTTTCCAATCTTTCTCCCCGGGGTGGGTCACAACAGTTCAAAGCACAACATTAAAAACCGTTTTTATTTATTTGAAATGCTGGTTGTTTCTGCCTAGTTGCATCTGACATGTGCCTTCTTCAGGTGAGTGAATTAACTCTGGTGGGGGCAAGGGGACACTGAATGGGAAGCAAAATGTCATGTGCACATTTAACAACATTTGCTCCCTGGTAGAACAAGTATTCACTAGAGCTTAAACCACTCGCTGCAGTTTAGCTTCGGTGATCTGTGTATATTAAAAGTCTGCCAGCACATCTGGGGTGCCACAAAATAAACCCAGGAAAAGGGTTGTTCAGTAAGTGTCTGGTTCTTGTTCCTGCAGATGCTGTCTATATGTGACACAAGTGGGTATTGCAACTCTGGCCCTACCATAGGATACAAGAAGGCAGCTGCCTTGGGCAGCAGCTGCGAAGGGGCTGGGAGCTGGGCCAAAGTTGTGTCATTGTGTCCTTTGCCTCAAGCAGCAAAATGTCTTGAGCCAGCCCTCTGTATTGCCATGACTTGTTCCTATCAGGCAAGAGCAGAGGGCACTACAATTCCCTTCTGCAATATGGTGAATTTTAGACTACAATTATACATATTTCTGTGTTTCATCTCGACTTTGAATCTTGTTTATAAAGCATGAGAAGAAATGCTCATTCTGTTTAGAATAATTCTTTCTCTTTGCCTCCACATTCTAGCTTTCGTCAGGAGTGACAAGCCCAAACTGTTCAGGGGACTGCAGATCAAGGTTTGTACTAGTTTCTGGGTTTTTTTATATTAATTTAAATCTATCAAATGTTACCTTAGTATTGGATAAAGATGTGAATTGTCCATCTGATGGGTGGGAATTTTCAGTGGAAGGGGACAGCTCAGTTGGCAGAGCAGGAGACGCTTAATCTCAGGGTTGTGGGTTCAAGTCCCACGTTGGGCGAAAAGATTCCTAAATTGCAGGGGGTTGGAGTAGAATGATCCTTGCGGTCCCTTCCAACACTACAATTCTGTGATCTGTAAATAACTGATTTAGCTTAGTATGGGGAGCACAACAATACTGAGTTTGTACATCAGTCCTGAGTGCATTTTGTCTTTGAAAATAATAGCTATGCTGGTGGCAATTCATTCTGTCTGGAATCAAAGTCTTGCATATAGTAGTCATTGTTTCAGAAAATCACCCTACATAGCTATACATTCAGAATGTATATCCGACCACAGCATTTAATTCAACCTGGAACTTATACTTGAACAATAGCATTAATTCTGAGTTACTTTTGGAAGCAAGAAAGTGAAGGTTGAGCTTGCCAGATGTGTTGAATCCAGGCAGACAGTAACTTTGGATTTCTTTCCTCTGCAGTACGTACGTGGTTCGGACCCCGTACTGAAGCTCTTGGATGACGGTGGGAACATTGCCGAAGAACTGAGTATTCTCAAATGGAATACAGACAGCGTAGAAGAATTCTTAAATGAAAAGCTAGAGCGCCTCTAAAACAAACAAAAAAAATCTTGATTATTATGTTTTGGGTTTTTTAAAAGTTTTTATTTCTCACATCATTTTTCATCATGGTAATCTTCTCAGACAAAGTGTGATAAACCCCGGAAATCATTCCAGCTTCTGCATTAATTTCAGAGCCATCCCATACTGTGTGGTGCTCAACATCTTTTAATTAGGAGCTGAAAGCTTCAAGCACAGCACATTTGACAAATTGGCAGGCTGAACAAATGGCCTGTCCTGGTACATTTCAGCTCATCTTAGTGGATGGATATCATTAATGAAATGCTTTGAGACAAATGTAATGCAAATACTGAAATTTGTAATAATTGGGCCATTTATTTTTACTGGCAAAGCCTTATTTGTCAGCTCCCAATAATTGAGATGATTACTCTGCTTTTTTATTTTTTTAATACACTGCCACTCTTTGTACAGCCATGGGAAGTTGGAGCCAAATAATATGTTCTCTGCCTCCCAAAGAGACATCGGTTAGCATCTTTGCATTTTGTATTTCCCAGCTGTCCTTTTTATAGAACCGTTATTTGCAATACTCGTAATGAATGCCTGCTCTGGAAGAAAAAAATCATTTGTAGTCTTGTTCTGAGAGTGGAACTCGTGATCTGCAGTGACTGAAGAATGCTAGGGGAATGCACTTTAATGATGACTACATCTAAAACCTCTAACAGAAGGCATGTGTAGGTCTGAGGTCAGGTGCACTTTCTTGGCACAGTTTAACCTTCATTCAACAGACATGAGTTCCCTGGAGGGGAAAAAGTTGGAGAGGGCAATAAAATCTGTATCACAAAATCTGTATCGAATGTCTCATTCTTCAAAACATTTTGCCTGAATGCACTTAAAGGTAACTGTTTTGCTATAGGCCAGTTTATCCAATGACTTTTAACTTGCAAAACTGGGATATCTGTCAAAACGGAATGATAGCTTAAGTATAGAATCAGTTTTTAGCTGGTGATTGTACAGATTCAACATCTTGCCCTGATGATGGCACCGTGCAGTCAGGGTTTCTGGGCTGCAAGTGTTTTAAGTTCTACTGTTTCAAGTCTCTTATATATTGTACCCAGTGTTAGAAATGGAGATATGAAAGCAAGGAGCTAAATGGCACCTTAAACTGAGGTTGTGGGCACAACAACGGAATGTCCAGGCACGCTTTTTTAAAAATAAGGCTGAAAATGAATGAACAGTGGCTAAAATATTATGTTCATTTTTCACATAGTCTAGTCCTTCCCCTGCCCACCCCTCTAATATTCTTAAGAGGGTCTCTTCTCCAGTCTTCAGAGAGGGGCTGGAAGTGAGGAGGCAAGTGCTTCTCAAGTGTTGGTTTGAAGTGCTTTCAGTTGCTCGAATGGCTAAAATGTGCCAGCAGCTCTTTCATACATTTTCTTTAAGAGTGTAAGGTGGCTGTGTTGTTTTTTTAAAAAAACAAAAATACTTAAAAGGTGTGAATGCAAGAAACAGACATCATACATTTGGCAGCCAAGCGTGGCTAGATCTCTGTGCAGAACTGCTGCGTGCCTAAATAGGTGCAGGGAGAGAGCAGGGGTGAGTACACACTGAGTGGGGATCTGCTTTTGTGCCATAAATATGTTGGAGGGGTGTTTAAAGCCCAAACCAGGAAAACGGGATGGTCAGCACAAAAGATTTCCACTTGAACAATGGACACACACACACACATCCCTAAATCTGTCCTAGGTGTTCCCTCAACCCTCTAGAGAAGATTTTGGGGAGGAGGCGGAGCACAAACCCAAGAAAGGGAAGTTCTAGTGTGCCATCTTTGCATTTATGGAACATATTAGCTGGATTCCACCTTTGGACTATAGAGTTACAGGAAGCTGAAGGCCTTGCCCAGGAGCAAGAGATGATGCCTATAGGAAGTCCACAATCAGAGCATGAAGGCAATAGTTGTTCCTTAATGAATGGTTTTCAGCAGCATGCTCTGTCCTGCTTTATCCCATGGGCTCGGAAGAGCTTTCATCCTATTTTCCAAAGGTTCTATCCTCAAGGGTCACGCAATCTAAGGCTATTAGAATAGTGCAGAACAGCAAGACCCATGGAAGTGGGATTTAAGGGGAACAAGTTGCCTGTCATGGGAAGACACTTGAGAACGTTCCACGGTGTGGGCTTAGAAACCCTTTCCAGCAGTACATGGAACTTTGAGGTTGCTCCAACACATGCCGGTCAGGGACAATGTACCGTATTTACTCCCAAGTCTAATGCACCATCGAATCTATAACGTGCACCTCAATTTTCAGAACCTTGAAACCCAAACAAGTACTTGCTGGCAAATGTGTCATCGAATCCAATGCGCACCTTGATTTTTGCAAAAATGCTGAGCACTAGATTCAAGTAAATATGGTATGTGTCCATGTTTGCCCTCCACAGATTGAGAACAGTTTAAAGCAGGCATGGCCAAACTTGGCCCTCCAGCTGTTTTGGGACTACTATTCCCAGCATCCCTGACCACTGGTCCTGCTAGCTAGACATGATGGGAGTTGTAGTCCCAAAACAGCTGAAGGGCCATGTTTGGCCATGCCTGGACTCTAAAGGATAACCTTTCAAAGTCAAATAAAGCAATTCTGCCAGTAAGATATGTATGGACCAAGGAGAAATTAATAAATTCAGCATTTTGATTATCCATGAATTATTGTTCTGGTCTAGACTTCTTGCATATCCAATTAACTCTCAGTGTTAATTGGAGGTTTAGCAGTCTGCATCACATTACCGAAGCAATCCCCGGTCCTTTCCCCTTCCCTTTAATGAAAACTTTGCAAAACTAAACTTTCCTGGAAATGGCCAATGTCTGAACGAATGTTTAATACTGCTGATAACCCCCATTGGCACTTAATAGTGTACCGCATTTGCATGGAAATATGTGAAGATGGCCAGTATTTTTCTGTCAATCCCCAAATACATACTTTTCTAAACATCAAAGAGTTCAATACATGTATAGGGGGTTTTTTGTTTTATTATAAGAATAAACTTCTACCTTTCAATTCCAATTACATCATTTGCTCATGCGTATCTTCAATTACTAGGCCTGCCGACTGCAATGCACACATTTCAAAGGAAGCCAACAAAAGAAAAATGTGAAATATTTAAGCGTTAGGGAAAGGAACTGATAGTAAAGTAAAACAAGCAACAACAAGCTACAGCATTAATTTGTGAAAACTATACACAGTTTTGTTCAAAGCCTGAGTGGCACAATATTATTACCATCACATGCAATTTAAACCGCACATTTCCCTTTAGATCAATGTGTCCCGCCCAACACATTTGTTAGTTCTAAGCAGTGTGTGAAAATTGTAGCTACTTAACTGCAGAATTTAGCTGGTCATGGTTTCGCTGAAAACCCGTCATCTGAATCGCGCCCAAGCGGCGCCAAATACCAGCAAAAGGCCCCCTGCAATGTTTGGTGGCAGAAACCCCATGTTTCACTGCGGCCCAAAAAATGAGCCTTTGGGACCTGAAAAAATTCATCTTGGGATCTGAATAGGATCACCTTTTCAAAAAAATACTTTAAAATGGGTCTTTTCATATACCTTTTAATTAAATAACTTTCTAAGGAAATGCCTGAAATAACTGATATTACGGTCTGAAGTCTTGTTTATTCTGTTATATTTTACTTCAAAAAGACCCATTTATCCTAAATACAACCCAATAAGGCAGATATGTATGTACAAAACATTTTTAAAAAATGTGATCCCATTGAGATCCCATGATTAAATATTGCAGATAGCTCTTAAAAATATTAAATAAATACATTTTGGGGGATTTTAAAATCATATTAATTTTTTAAAACTTTAAAATTTTCCATTTTGTAACTTAAATTTAAAGTAAGTCCATCTTGTGACATATCATAATAAAGCCCATGAAGTTCTGAAGAGACTGATGGTTTTAGTTTTGGCATATCTCAATTCTGAGCTGAGCTCTTAAAGTTTATGTGTAGTCCGGCAAGGCCAAAATTGTCATTTAAAAAATAATAATTCAAACCCTCATAACTCACAAATAGGATGAGATTTTTAAAAATAACATTTCAGATTTAAACTTAGTTTTGATCATTCAACTAGTGTACAAAATATTAAGAAAATTGGATGACATGAGGTAAAAAAATTGTATCACTTGATTGGAATGACCCAATGGAGGGGCACAAACTGGACGCAACTCTTAATAGACTGTGTCGTGTCTATGTAAAAATGCATCTGTTTTGTCTGTAAGGTACCACATGGCTCTATATTGCTTTGGACTGTTGTTTATAACCCAGAGCACAATGCAAAAAGCTACTTAGGCTCATGTCTCCAATTATCATGGTGTTTGTAATTGTTTTCATTCAGGAAATTTGCTCAATTCTTTCAGCAATAAAGCGCCAAAGATTTGCAGTTTCATTTCTGCTCCTAGCAGAACAGGGAAGTCGCCTTTGAGGTACAGTGGTACCTCAGGTTAAGTACTTAATTCATTCCAGAAGTCCATACTTAACCTGAAACTGTTCTTAACCTGAAGCACCACTTTAGCTAATGGGACCTGCTGCTGCTGCTGCCGCCGCGCTGCCAGAGCACGATTTCTGTTCTCATCCTGAAGCAAAGTTCTTAACCCGAGGTAATATTTCTGGGTTAGCGGAGTCTGTAACCTGAAGCGTAGGTAACCTGAAGCGTAGGTAACCTGAGGTACCACTGTACTGGGTATTGGGATTTGCCTCCAAAGTTAAAAATCCTTGAGAGCATTAAACAAAGCCACACACACAGAAATGGACGTCTGCCATTACTAACCAGGTGTCCAAGCCCCACACGCGAGTATCTGCACTTGTGCTGCCTCCCTGAGAGACGCTTTCGAACTTAACGCACAAAGTCTCGCTAATGCTCTCATTACACGAACTGCATTAGTCACAGAGCGTCAGGTTTTATGGCTCTTCATTCCCCAAAACCCATGGCCTCTGTTGTGTGCTCACAGGTTGGTCCACCCGATACTCTCAACACGCTGCTAATGCTTTGCCGTTTTTCATGAGGGGAATTACCTTAATGGTGTGCGAGGATCTCGGCTGCGCAGCTGCATCTGTCATAAATGCCAGGGAACCCCCTTTGTTGTTACCGAAAAGCCCTTAAAGGATTTTAGGCTTTTCATCTCTGCTAGGAATTGCTCAGACAGAGGTTCCCAGCAGTCAGAAAAACTTATTTGTGTACTCAACAACGGCCAATTTAGCCCAAAAATGGAAAGTGGGAGAGGTCCCTAGTATGGAAGATTGGCAATTTGAGATGATAGACTATAGGGTTGCCGTATTTTAAAGAGCGGAAAAGAAGGCGCTGTGATTTTAAATACCCCTACTATATGTAAGCTATAGAAACTGATATACAGTGGTACCTCAGGTTAAGAACTTAATTCGTTCTGGAGGTCCGTTCTTAACCTGAAACTGTTCTTAACCTGAGGTACCACTTTAGCTAACGGGGCCTCCCACTGCCGCCACGCGATGTCCGTTCTCATCCTGAAGCACAGTTCTTAACCCGAGGTACTATTTCTGGGTTAGCGGAGTCTATAACGTGAAGCGTCTGTAACCTGAGGTACCACTGTATTGCTAAGGGGGGCAGGAGAGGAGAAGAGGAAAGCAAGACTTCAGCCGCCAGCTATGTCTGTGTCTCATCCAGAAAGTATAGCCAGAGACATTTTGGCAAATTTGAAATATCCACCCGGACAGAAAATTTACTCCTGAAAAAGAGGACGTGTCCTGGGAAAAGAGGTCACATGGCAACCCAATTAAGAATATGCAAAATCAGCAGGTCTTACAAGTAGAGTAAGAGGACAAGGAGAACAGATACAGTCATACCTTGGAAGTCAAATGGAATCCGTTCCAAATCATGGCTCCTGGTTGGCTTCAGGAAGCTGTGGAAGCCCCGTCAGACGTTCAGCTTCCAAAAATAGTTTACAAACCAGAACAGTCACTTCTGGGTTTTCAACGTTCATGAGCCAAAACATTCGGGAACTAAGCTGTTTGAAAACCTAGGTACGACTGTATTTTAAAAGGAATGGGATTTTGTCGTCGAGTATTTTGAAAATAATTGTGCAGAGTTAAAAATGCTGGCAGTATTAAAGTAATTCAATAGTATAACATATTGTGAACTGGTGTAAGATAGGAAAATTAAATGAGATGGATATATTAAAATATGCAGGAATGGTCAAATGAAACTTGGGAGGGGAGGGAGGGAAGTCAGTGAATGTATGGTATAATAGAAGATGTTTAATTTGAAGTGTAAAATTTGAAAAATTAACAAAAATTATTATTAAAAATAAATAAAAGATTTTAGGCTTTAAGATTACATCCCTCAGAAAATGCATTAGAAGGCTGACTGGAACCACTAACAGGCCTGTTTTACTAGAGGAGACAGGAAAACGCTGCTCATCAGCCATCTTGATTTCAGCTGGGCTCCCACGTTCTGAGGTAAATTTGAAAGGGCGTTTGCTGTTGAGGTTGGTCACATTGTTGTGATGGAGCAGCAGGTCCACAGGCAAAGATCTAGCAGGCTTTCCACAACTGGGGAACTTGTGGCCCTTCAGATGTTTTCGGGCTCCAACTCCCATCAGCCTCAGCCAGCCATGGTCCGTGAGGGGTATGGGAACTGGAATTCAGCATAATCTTGGAAAGCCACAGGTCCTCCAACCCTACTTTATTGCTAAATAAGACATCTGGAATAAGCTGCAGCAAGCAAACTTCAGGATCCAAACAAATGCAAACTCTGAGGCACCCATAACATGTCTTCTCCTCCTTTAGTTAGCACAGTCCTTCAACTGAGGAGCGGGCAACATTTTGCAGGGCTGTCTCTGTATTTTGTGGGCAAGTGTGAAAATCTCAGGCAACTCAACTTCCACAAGCGCTATGGGCCAGGGGGAATTATCGCTTCCTTCGTAGCAGGAATGTCAACTCCAAATTGCTCTGGAGATGCTTCTGATGGTGTGTCGTTGCCATCGAGTCGTTCTGCGAGGAATGCCTTTTCTCAATCCATTAGCCTGAACCATGGCAGGCCCTCAGCCCCCCAGCAGACATAACAAGCGTAAAGCTATAGCTTTGGACATGGTGTGCTAGAATCTCAAAGAAACTGTAAATCAAGGCAGGACTTTTGTTTCTTAATCCTCCTTTCGGTGCAAAGTGGTGGGATTTCCTGTAGAGAAAAACAGCAGCTGCTAGCGGCATTTGAACAGGGGAGCCGGTGCCAAGGAGCAAAGCTGTTCTCCAGTTGCTGTGCATTTCTCGGACAAAGGATCGATCCTGCCATCGGAGCCACAGTAAATGTTTCCATTAACTCCAGAATGTTAAGCTACCCGTTTCACTCGAAACCAAGTCAGGGACCTCACAACTCCCATGTCAGTCACAATGTGTGTGTACATGATGGATGCTGTACAACAACAATACGGCTAGAGGCGAACCAGTTGTCAAGTGTCAAAATGGCTTGGACTCGGTTCTAAAACTTAGGGCTTGCCATACGTCCGGATTTTGCCGGACACGACCAGGCCGGGATTTGGACAGCAGAAAGGCGTCCAGGCAGATATTTGCTGAATCAGCAAAACATTCGGGGAAAACCCAAATGTATGGCATGGGGAAGGGGGATTTTTTATTTTAAAAAATCCATTCAAATGACAAAAAGAGCCCCCAAACTTAGTATTTTTTTGGAGTGTATAATTGTTTTGTTTCTTTGTTTTGCTCAACAACTGTGAGCAATTGGGAATTGGGAAAAGAGCACTGTTACTTGATTCCAGTGACAGAACACCTTGATGGTCCAGCTCTCAAAACTCCAATATTCCATGGGAAGCACTGGTCTTTACTCAGTGGCAGTGGCTTCCCTGGGTTTCAGGCAGGGTTCTCTTCCAGCCCTGCCTGGAGATGCTATGGATGAAACCTGGGGCCTTCTGCATTAAACCAAGATATTCTGCTCCTAGGGACACGGGTGGCGCTGTGGGTTAAACCACAGAGCCCAGGGCTTACCGATCGGAAGGTTGGTGGTTCGAATCCCCGCGACGGGGTGAGCTTCCGTTGCTTGGTCCCTGCTCCTGCCAACCTAGCAGTTCGAAAGTATGTCAAAATGCAAGTAGATAAGTAGGTACGGCTCCGGTGGGAAGGTAAACGGCGTTTCCGTGCGCTGCTCTGGTTCGTCAGAAGCGGCCTAGACATGCTGGCCACATGACCCCGAAGCTGTATGCCGACTCCCTCGGCCAATAAAGCAAGATGAGCGCCACA